TTTCTTTTCTTACTTTTTAGTATATATATATATAAAATATTAATAAGAGCTAGCTTTTTAGAACATATTACTTTTTACTTCTTTAGGCTATCTTTAATTAATAGAAAGCTTTTATATCTATAAGTATTAATATTACTTAGGAAGTAATCTAGACTATTAATACTTACCTTTTACCTATATATTAATATCTTAAATACATCCTTAGGCCTTTCTCTATAATAGTCCTATAAAAAATACTAGCCCTATAAGGAAGATACGTTATATACTTATACTAGTAGAAGAGAATATTTTTATATAGTAGTATCTTACTTTTAATAATTAAAAGATTTACTAAGTAGACTTTAAGAAATAAAAATATTATATTTATATACTATAAAACAATCTCTATATACTTTAATTTAATATAGGCAATATTACTACTATTAATAGTAAATATCTAATATAGTTTTAGACTTTTATATAGAGCAGAAATAGTATAGATATCTTATATTATAGTACCCTCCGAGAAAGACGAAGGGTCGACCTCGTACTACCTATAATTACGACTATCTAAGTCGCCTTAAATAGACGTAGTTACTATAGCCGGCGGAGTTAGATACAATATATTATTTCGAAGTATATAGTAGTTAGTTATTTAATTAACCTTTTTATAGAATACGTCTTAACTATATAATATCTTAACTAGTAATATATTACTTATTCTAATAGTTTAATAAGTTATAAGAACTATAAGTAAATATTTCCTAGAATAGATCTTTTAGAGAAAGATATAAGTTTAATTCTAGCTATAAGTTTAAAGCTATTAATAGAGTTTTAATAATTTTTCTCTCTTCCTTTATATTATAGTATTTAGTAATTAAAGTTAGTAATTAATATATAATATAGCTAGAGTTTTTAAATTTGTTTTAGAAGGCTACTATATAAGATTAGAAAATAGAATAAGTAAAAAATAATCTCGGATTATATTCTTTTAACCTAGAGAAAATATTCAAGAAAAGAGTATTAAGACTTTAGAAGTTCTATAATTAGTAAATATCTTAAATATTCTTATACTACTCTATAGTATATAATAATTTAGAGAGAGAATTATATCTATTAATAAAAATCTTCTATATTCTATAATTTTTAACTTATAATTAATAATTTATAAAACTTTTCTTCCTAAAAATACTTCTTATACTACTAGTATTCTAAAGTATTCTAGTTAAATTTAAAGAAGAAATAATATAAATTCTATATGAGGTACTAGAATTATATAGAATATTTAACTCTAGAAGACTAGATATCTTTTAATTATATCAATATAAATACTTCTATCTTTTTACAAATTCTCTAAGTTTACTTAGTATTATTTATTATTTCTCTCGTTCTTAGTATTTATTTAATTTCTCTTCTTTAATTAGGCTAATTTTCTTAATAGAGTATAATAAATCTTTTTTATTCTTCCTCTTATAGAAAGAATAAGTATACTCTAAAATAAATTTTAGAAGCTAAAAGTAGGTCTAGTTATATTATTTTAAAGGTATAGAGATTAAAGTTTCACATAATAGATTATAAGACTCTTAGTAATAAAGATAGAACTCTATAAATTACTTATATATCTACTAATTCTATTATTTATCTAGTACTTATAGTATTTATTATATATCTATACTATTATTCTATTATTTATCTGTATTTATTTATTCTATTATTGATCTATATTTATTTATTCTATTATTTATATTATTTAGGTACTATATAGTTAAGATATATTCTATAAAAAGGTTAATTAATTTAACTAAACTACTATATTTTAACTTAATATATAAGGTTCTAGCTCTACTAACTATAGTAATTACGACTATTTAAAGTAACTTAGATAGTCGTAGTTATAGGTAAGTATAGCTAGTAGTAACTGAGTCGACTCTTCGTCCTTAGAGAGTACTATAATATTAGGGGTATTTTATAGTTTTTTCAATAAAACTTATGATAGAGAGTAGACTAAAAGTAATACTATATAGTAGATAATATAAGTACTAAGTATTTAGTAATACTCGAAAAGTAAGTATTTCTCTAAAAATCTCTAAAAGATTAAGAAAATACTATAATATACTAAGAGCTTTAAATTAATAGATATTACTTCTCTACGCCTTAAGAAGCTTATTATAACTTTTACTTTAGAAAAGCTTTTAAGATTTAGAGAAGTATAAAATAAATAGTAAAAAGGTAATATAAAATTAACTATTAAAGTTATATAGAATAAATAAATTAAATAGGAACAAAGTACGAAAAAAGTAGGGAAAGTATTACTACTAGTAAAAATATTTATTTAAACGAATTCTTAAGAGCTAGATATTTTATATAATTTAGATATTATATTACCCTCTAAATAAGTATAAAGGGTCGACCTTACTACTACTAGCTATACTTATATATAATAATAATAGTCTAAGGCGACTTAGATAGTTATAGTTCTTATAGCTAGTAGAGCTAGAACCTTATATAGTAAGTTAGAGTATAGTAGTTTAGTCGATTAATTAACCTTTTTATAGAATATATCTTAACTAGATAATATTAGACCTTTTATATAAAATATAAATTATATAAAAAGATAACTCTGTTATCTATATAAGGCTTATATTAATTATATTAAATTAAGAAATTCTATCGAAAGCTATTATATTAGTTTTAATATTCTAATTTTATTTTTCTATTCTAGTTAGAAAATGAAGTAGAATACTAACCTTTTACTAAGATTATTATAATTATTATAAAAGAAAATTAGTAGTTAATAATACTTATTAAGAGCTAATACCTTCTAGAATATTAGATTTTTTTAAAGTTTATTTTAGGGATTAAATCTATAGAGATATTTAACTAAATGTATAAATATAATATTAAACTTTCTTAATATTATTAATTAAAATTAGTAAAAGAATTATAATATTTTAGTTCTCTCTATTTAGAAACCAAAATTAAGATGCTAAATAAATATTAAATAGCCTATATACTAGCCTTTATCTAATTTTAAGTATACTAGTATATTATTTCTTACTTAAACTAATATAAGATAGACTTCTTATTAATTTTAGAGGATTTTTTAGAACACTTAGAAAGCTTATATTCGTAGGTAAAGAATAAAAAGAGAAAGTAATCTATATTTCTATAGTAAGAGTAAAACATAAGAAGGAAGGTAAATAAATAAGAAGATTAGCTAAATAAGTAAGTTATAAGAAAGAATAAATAAAGGCTACGAGAGAAAACAGATTATAATATAATCTATTTAAAGATTAGCCTCTTAAAATTAGGTACTTTATAGTGATTTAAGCTTTTATAAGTAAACTTAGTACTATAGTAGTTATAAGGAGGACGAGAAGCCTAGCTAATAAGAAGGCTAGGAAAGGATTTTAAAATAGCTTCTTACCTTCTAATTAGGTACTATATAAAGAGAGTAACTACTTTGTTATTCTTTATAATTCTGATTTTTATTTTTAAAGAGGTTCTTCTTTTATTTATATAGAGAAATAGGATGTAATTACGAGCTAGCCTTATAGAGTATACTTATACTTTTACTTCTTTAAATTATAATTAATTAATTAATAAGAACCTTTTTATACCTATATACTATAAGATATTAATACTATAAAAATAGTAATTTAAACCTTTAATACTTATTCTATACTTATATCCTTCTATTTCAGTTACGTCCTTAAGCTTACTCTTATTTTAGACCTATAACTAATAATAACTTCTTAGAGGAAGTAGATTATACGCCTATAGTACTAAATATTATTTAAAATTTAAAATTTAAATATATTAAGCTAGGAAGAAGCTTAGGTATCTATATATAATAATAGTAGTAAGATCTACTCTACTATAGTTTATACTAAGAAATAATAGTTTACTTTGTTCTCTAATATAAACTAATTACTTTTTTAAAAATTCCTAGTATATTAAATCTCTAATTATAGTAATAAAAAGAGCTTTTAGTATTTTTTAGAACTAGTTATATATAAAAGAAACACTATAGTCTTAAAAGTTTAAAATTAATAATTCGAACCCTACTATCCTAAGAAATCTTTATTATGACCTTTAGTAGGATTAATTAAAGTCTATAGAACCTTAGAAATACTCTACTAAAAGCTAAGTAATAAATATTCCTTGAAGGTAATCTCTCTATCAAATTATATAGGTATTAAACGTTAGCGCTAGGTACTAGAAAGTAGCTTCCCTTAGAACATAGCTACTAATTTATTTATCTATTATTCTTATCACTAAAAATACCTTAGTTATAAGTATAAAAGAGCTATATCAAGACGTTTCTAGCTTTCTCTTACGTTATATAATTAGCTTACTCGTTAAAAATTTAGGTAATCCTTAAGGTTTTTACCTTATAGCCAATAGTCTTTATTCTTGTATAATTATTAAAATATTAAATCTATTATAATTAAATCTTATCAGTTTTATTTTCCTTATAGCGCCCTAAAAACCTTAGGTATACGGAATTGCTTTTAGAAAAGAAGAAAAGGATAGTACTTTTATAGTAGTATAAAAAATTATATAAAGTAAGTAAGAGTCCTTTGAAATTTAACGTTTTAAGAAATATCTTACAACCTCTAGAAACTTCAAACTAATAATTGGAATATCTCTCGCTCTAGAGAGATCTCTTTACTAACCTTAGAGAGGTTTTAATAGCTTAAGCAAATTTCATAGATTATAGAAGGGAAATATAAATACTTTCGCTTAGTAAAATAGAGAGAAAAATAGTAGAAAAGAAAGTTATTATAGTAGATATCTATTAGAAGTCTAGCCTATTAGGGCTAGACGTCGTATACCGGATAGAAATAGTACTTACAATTAAATAATTAAAGTCTCGAGTTATAGGTTATGTACTAGTAATTAGCGTAAAGCTCTAATAGTATTATTTTCTTACGTAGTTTTAGCGATTCACGGTAGTATTTTCTAGCGATTTTTCGTATATGCTCGAGTATACTTTCGAGAAAAAATTGCTTCTCGTTCCTAGGAGAGATCCATTTCTAATCCGGGAAACTATAAGTAACAGAACTCTAACGATTAATTTATCTGCTATTCTGACATCATTTATCGCAATAAGTTAACAAAGACTGTAAGTCTTTCCACGTCCAGACCTTTGTTCACAGACTCAGGTTTGTCGGGCTTTGTAGCCGCGATTTCTACATCGATTCTGTTCACACCTGGCACAAGTCTACCATCATAAGTGTGTGTTCGCCGCCCCGACTCGGTATTGAGCTGCGTATTCTGTTGTAGAAGTGATACACCATTAAGGCTGAGGAAGAGCTTGTACGTCCTGCCGGCTGAGAGCTCACGCGATATCGTGGGCATAATTTGAACGACTGAGTGCGCAGCGGGTAATGTGAAAGCAGCATTCTGAGAGGCGAGGAATGCATGCGGGTAAACAGGCAGGTTGTAAGGTTTGGAGTTCGACCCGGGTAGCGTCGAAAGTGTTACCACAGGAAGGAGTGCGGCATCAACCGAGTAGGTACGCATCGCAGTGGGTGGTAGTAACAGGGGCGTCGCATATTGCAAAGCGCTAGGTGCCGCCGGCGCCTGTGAAGGAGGCAAGGGGCTGGCGCTTGTCATTCGCGAATGTGGTGGCGGAACATCAGGATCGCTGGTACTGTGATTGACATTGGCCGACTTCACCTGCACCGTCGACGCCAAAGTTGGCACAGGGGACGATGTTGTAGTTCTCTCGTGCTTCACAGCAGCAGACGGATGATGCTCATCAATTTGCTTCTCTGGTGATTTGGCTTTCGCCGCAGTTGATGGGGTTCCGTTTGTAGCAGGGTGCGGCTTGTCGTCGAGTAATGATGGTGGTCCTGGTTTTTGCTTCGAGGGGCCTTCGTTGTCCACGGAAGCCATAGGCACTGGCGAACCGCGGTGCTGACTTAGGTTGAGTGTTATGCCCGACTTTGCCTTTGGTGCACCGAGCTTGATGCGCATGCTCGCTGGCTCTTCTACTTTCTCCTTTGCCTCTGCAATACGTGTTTTGACCAGAGTCTATACCGTCCGTCAGTACAACCAATGCGCGTTTTAGTATTCGACAACATAGCTTACCTCAAAGTCATTGGCCAACTCATACATTTCACTACCATCCTCGTTGTACTCGCGAGCATTTTTCCAGATATAACTAATCTCTTCCTCGAAGGCATCCCATGTCTTAAAGTCTGACACACCGGTGGGCGATGCCCGACCGTGTTGACCTCGAGTTCGTTTCTGGACGCTTTTGATGGATACTGGATGCCGAATGAGCTTATAATAATCTTCAAGCTTCCGACTCGGAAGGTTAACGAATGGTGTAAAGATCTCGAGGCCACTGCAGAGGATTGTCAGCAAATGTATCGTTAAGAAGCTTGATTCGGTGAGCATACTCGACATCCGCGTGTGACAAAAGCTCGGAAATGATAATTTGTTGTGCTTCTTGAAATGATTTCCCTTCGAAATTGTAATCGGGGCCTTCTTCGTCGTTTCCGACCACGCTTTCGCGAGGATCTTCGCTAGGGTCCATGGACGGTTTTGGTTGGGAACGTGGCTCTGATGATTTGGTTATTCTTCCACGCTGCGCCTTGTCGTCCTCGCCAGTTGATTGGCGATCTTGCTCCGACGCTCGGGGCGCTTGACCCGCAAGCTTGGCTTTTTCCAATGGAACAGGAGTGGGAAAAGAGGAATATGAGGGATCCAACTTGTATGCCGGATTGTTCACTTTCATGTAATTGTACGCCAGCTTTCGCATTCGTTCTGCGTCTTCATAGATCTCGCTCTTCGGTATGTTGAAGTCCTTCGCGTTTTGAATCATTCTCTTCACGTCACTCTCAACCGTCGTGACGGTAGGATATGCGCCGGCCAGTAGTTTCTCCTCGATGGTGTCAATTGCTATTGGGAGCTTGATTTGCTCATAATATTCGGGCAACTCAGCGGGTGCCGGGAGCGAGAGGAATGCGCCAGCGATCGATCGACCAGTCTTGTCGGAAGCATTTCGTAACATGCCGACCAATTTGAGGCCGATCTGTCGTACGTCAGGGCCGATGGGGGCAGGAGTCGTAGGTGCGGCATGGTTGGAGTTCTGTCGAATCGATATTAGAAGAGTCAATAGGTAAATGGGGTCGTGTGATGACAGTGGGCAATCGCGAACTCTGTCGCAAGCATGGGCTTCTCAGTGTCGTTTCGCGCGAAGGCTTCGCCCGCCGAGCTATCTCAATCGCGGCATCGCAAGATGCTTGGATGCATCCAGCTGCGGCACATTGTCCAGCGGTCGGAGTTGTCGCGGTCACAAACTGTAGACGGAGGGTCCATGCTGGCAGGATCAATGAGCAACTTACCAGTAATTTGATCCTCTTGGACGTGCTACTCGGTGTAGAAATGCTGCCGGCGGCTTTCCGCTTCCTGGCCGAGTCCATGTCTGACGGCAGTGAACTTGCGGCGAACTGCACGAAATAAAGTCGCGTCTTCTACCTCGACCGCAAATGCGAATGCGCGTGCACCACTTCTGTTGCGCCAGCGATGTCTCTCAAGCAAATGATCCGCGCAACGGATGCGCGAAGGGATTGAGATTAGCAGGATTCTAATATTTGGATGTGGGTGAACGACTATATGTGAGATTCTGGTCGTGGTCGCGGGCGTCTTCTGAACGGGTGATTGCTCTCACTCAACAGGTAGCATGGCAGATGTCCTGTGGAGATCGTGCAGTGCAAGCCCGCACCCTTGGCTTCCCCGGCGATTTATTATTATTATCAATTTCTACTATGGTAACCATTTCTAGGGTTAATACACCCAGGAATAGATTCCGACCTCGAATAATTGCTAAATGTCAACACAACAACACGGGTTGCAACAATTGATTTGAGTGTGAGATCCGCATATCGCAAGAAGTAGACTCATAACATACCGTCTCATTTATCAACGGAAATTTGATCATCAATCATCGAAAATAAGAGGAAACCAGACTCAAGCACGGGTCATGTGATAACGCAAGCCTCTGGCGCAGAAGCTGACTCATGCAGTTTACTGTCATTGAGATTTCATGAGTCGTGCTGAGCCGAACGGCGCGATAGATCTGCTATCGATGTGCTTCTTGTTCGAAAAGCATCAACAATCTTGCCATACATTCCTCGCTTCAGCATTTCTGAGGAGCAGCGATCACTGACGAGCCCGGATGTGCGCGGTTCCTACCTGAAAACAAGCGTTCGAGCCCGATCAGTAATAGATCATGTCTGATGGTATGAGATGTGTCTCGAGCACGGCTTTCAAGTCGAAACATTCTGACGAGAATCTCTAGCCGACTTCGACAAAGTGCGAAATGCGCAAGCCGCACGAAATGCCACATCGAAGAAGCCGTATGGCGCTAGTCAACGAACGGGCAGCGACAAGGTCTCTCTGACCTCGAATTTTGATAAAGATGTATATGGAGATGATTCAGACGACAAATTTGCAGGATATCACACATCACTACCTGCAGATGAAGAAGATGAAGAGGACGCGACAGAGGCGGATCAAGGCCGCCTAGTCGGTCAGTACACGGCAACTGCTGCCCAAATCGGTGAATACGCTCAGGGCGAAGCGGCAGAAGACGACATCCTTCAGAGCCAAGAGAAGCGTGCTCAAATCGCAAGCCGTGAGACCGACTACCAGAAACGGAGATTCGATCGCATTGCTGCAGAAACCGGCCATGATGGGGGCAGTATGGCGGAGACGCGGACTCAGGCTGAAATCATGCGCGAACGAGAAGTCGAACGAGAAGAGCTTCGTGTGAAGCGTGCGATCGAAGAGCGGCAGCGCGACCAGCAGGCACGCGGTGAAGACGAGGAGGATGGAGCGTTGAAATACAAGGCTACACTGAAGGAGGAGGCAGAAAGTGCGCAGTCAGGTGACGCGCAGGGTGAAGCTGAGGAAGCTAAGACAGCACCAAGAGCACGGAAGAGGAGATGGGATACGGTTGAAGTATCTACGGCTGATACTGTCATGGCCGAGAACGGCGATGGTCATGAGGGTGGTGCTACGACCGAAACGACGTCAGCGAAGAAATCCCGATGGGACGATGCGCCAGCCGTTACTCGGCGGTCCAAATGGGATCTTGTAGGGACAACAACCAATGGCACACAAACTACCAATGGTAGCGCACCAGCCGCAAATGGTCAGCTCGCTTCAGGCTTCGGTACTGACATTTCCGGGAGAAACGCGCCATTGTCGGATGAAGAACTCGATGAGATGTTTCCAAAAGACGGCTACGTGATATTGGTGCCTCCTCCTGGCTATGAGCCACTACGGGCTCCTGCCCGACGGGCAGCGCCTGCGGCGGTCTCGAAACCAACTGGAGGATTCATGAATCAGCAATCAGTTGACCCAAGATCCTTGGGCAAGCAACTTCCCTCTGACATTCCGGGTGTCGGCGATTTACAGTTCTTCAAAGACGAAGACATGACATACTTTGGCAAATTGGTCGAGGCTGTCAACGAGAACGAGATGAGTATGGAGGATTTGAAACAACGGAAAATCATGCGATTGTTATTGAAGGTGAAAAACGGCACACCGCCCATGCGAAAAACAGCCTTGCGTCAACTGACAGACAATGCCCGGAACTTCGGAGCAGGACCCCTATTCGATCAAATTCTCCCGTTACTCATGGAGAAGACCCTCGAAGACCAAGAGCGACATCTTCTGGTCAAGGTCATCGACCGTGTTTTGTATAAGCTCGACGATACAATCGGGCCTTACGTGCATAAGATTCTCGTCGTCGTCGAGCCTTTACTCATTGACCAAGACTACTATGCTCGTGTCGAAGGCCGTGAGATCATTTCGAATCTCGCCAAAGCAGCCGGTCTTTCCAAGATGATTGGCAATATGCGACCTGATATCGACCACGCGGATGAATATGTGCGCAACACAACTGCTCGCGCTTTTGCTGTGGTAGCCTCAGCATTGGGCATTCCTCAACTTTTACCTTTCCTCAAGGCTGTGTGTCGGAGTCAAAAATCATGGCAAGCACGGCACACTGGCGTGAAAATCGTACAACAAATTCCGATCCTGATGGGCTGCGCAGTGCTACCGTATCTCAAGGGACTCATCGAATGCATCGGCGAGAATCTGAATGACGAGCATCCAAAGGTCCGAACCGTGACGTCTCTCGCTCTTGCAGCGCTTGCCGAAGCATCAAGTCCTTTCGGTATCGAGAGCTTTGACAAGATTCTGAATCCGCTCTGGACAGGGGCACGAAAACACAGAGGCAAAGGTCTAGCAGGTTTTCTGAAAGCTGTCGGATACATTATTCCCTTGATGGACGAAGAGTATGGAAATTATTACACGAAACAAATCATGACCATCCTCATTCGCGAGTTTGCCAGCCCAGATGAGGAGATGAAGAAGGTCGTTCTCAAAGTCGTCAGCCAATGCGCAGCAAGCAAAGGTGTCACTGCAGCTTTCCTACAAACCCAGGTGCTGGACGATTTCTTCAAGAACTTTTGGGTTCGCAGGATGGCACTCGACAAGCGGAACTACAAGCAAGTTGTTGAGACAACAGTCGACCTCGGCAACAAAGTCGGTGTTGGAGAGATTGTCGAACGAATTGTTGGCAACCTCAAAGACGAGAACGAGGCATATCGCAAAATGACTGTTGAGACCATCGAAAAGGTCATATCCGCGCTTGGCGCTGCTGACATCGATGAAAGGCTGGAGGAGCGCCTCGTGGACGGTATCCTGCATGCCTTTCAAGAACAAGGTGTTGAGGATGTCGTATTACTCAACGGATTCGGCACTGTGATCAACGCACTGGGAATGCGATGCAAGCCATACCTACCGCAGATTGTCAGCACTATTCTATGGCGACTCAATAACAAGTCCGCCACTGTACGTCAACAAGCTGCCGATCTTATTTCACGTATCGCGAACGTGATGAAATCTTGCGGTGAGGATGCGCTCATGAGCAAGCTGAGTGTGGTATTATACGAATATCTCGGAGAGGAATATCCCGATGTCTTGGGCAGTATCTTGGCGGCGATGCGCAGCATTGTCAGCGTAGTGGGCATCAGCATGATGCAACCACCAATCAAGGACCTTCTGCCGCGCCTGACGCCCATTCTCAAGAACAGACACGAAAAGGTGCAAGAGAATGCCGTCGACTTGGTGGGTCGAATCGCTGACCGTGGTCCCGAAGCTGTCGTTCCGCGCGAGTGGATGCGTATTTGTTTCGAGTTACTGGACATGCTCAAAGCGCATAAGAAAGGAATACGCCGCGCGGCCAATAACACGTTCGGATTTATTGCAAAGGCCATTGGACCGCAGGACGTTCTCACGACTCTACTAAACAATCTGCGGGTGCAGGATCGTCAATCGCGTGTCTGTACTGCCGTCGCTATTGGAATCGTCGCCGAGACCTGTGCGCCCTTCACTGTGCTGCCAGCGCTCATGAATGAGTATCGCATTCCGGAGCTCAATGTGCAGAATGGAGTTCTTAAAGCACTCTCTTTCCTCTTCGAATACATTGGCGAGATGGGCAAAGACTACGTATACGCAGTGACGCCGCTGCTGGAAGATGCCCTCATCGATCGCGATCAGGTACATCGACAGACCGCAGCGAGTGTGGTCAAGCATATCGCCTTGGGCGTGGTCGGACTGGGTTGTGAAGACGCGATGCTGCATCTCCTCAACCTGCTATTTCCCAACCTGTTCGAAACCAGTCCGCATGTCATAGATCGCATCATCGAGGCCATCGATGCAGTCCGGCTTTCTGTCGGAACCGGCCAGGTCATGAACTACGTCTGGGCAGGACTCTTCCATCCTGCAAGGAAAGTCCGAACACCTTATTGGCGACTGTACAACGATGCGTACGTGCAGAGCGCAGATGCGCTGGTCCCCTTTTATCCGGGCCTCGACGACGAGAAAGTCAGCAGACCAGAGCTATTCATAATGCTGTAGCCACGTAAGGAATGATCATGGCCCTCTGTAAACATAATTTAGGCTTTGAGAATATAAACCCTCGGAACCGGTTCGCTTATCGATTTTGTCCCATGGTGCATTTCGTGAACGAGGTAGCTGAACAAGGTGGACGTACGTGAGGTGTAGCATCTCTCCGATGCAGTCCACGTCCGTTCTGAACGGCTATGTCAAGTTCGCACTCACTGCTCACGGCGCTGCACAGCTGAAGCACTCTGGCCGCACAGCTGAGCACGGTCAATGCTGACGCTCGGCCCGGCTGCTCATCAAACACACATTTCATTGCTGCAGATCAAAATTTTCTTTCCTATCATCAGACATGTCGAAATCCTCGCACCGATTGGATACAACCATGGATATTCACAGGCATCTCTCACACCTGCCGCGCGTGCAGAGTGATGAGCAGATTTCCAAGGACATGATCACTATGAGCCATCACAGACAAGACTATTCCGCGTGTCCCATCCGCCTGTCATTGTGATCCTTCTGGTATCTCCATTGCCCCATGGCAACCTCAACGACAACATGCAGCCCGACGTCCCGATATACTGCTTGCGGGGCAACCAACGCAGAGTAAGTTCTCACTACCACTATGCTACTCCCGCCGCCGTTCGATGATGATTTCCATTACATTACTTTTTTTCTGGTACCTCTTATGTCAGAATCCCGAAAGGGATTCGATGATCTAGATGGACTTCTGATCGCTGTTCTCACTCAATCCACTTTTTCTCCTGCATGATTTTGACCACGGAAGAGCATAACTGACGAAAGCTCTCAGTTTACTTGCATCGTGAAGGCCAGGCCTCTTCCCTCTCTCGATTTCTTCTAATACGTGCCTCTGTGTCTCGTCCGTCGTCTTATAGAATACCCTCCTCGTAGCTCAACTAGATAATATTTATACACGGAACAATACTAAACATACTTGCTTATTATCTATCCACAATTGCGCTGCGCAAGGGACCACACCTCTTAGAGCAGGCTCGGCTGATGCTCCTCCACACACCTAAACAGACAACTCATCGAGATCGACTGGTGAACACTAGTCAAGTACAGCTGATGAACCGCAAGTTGACAAGTTTGGCTCGAGACGCGTGAGGCACAGCGGATGGTTGGCATGACTGAGCACAACACAACAGACACGTTTCCAGCACGAAGATATAGACTGGGTCCAATTCCGACTTATACATCACAATCGCGTGGCAGCCGCCATCGATGCCAGCGTGAATCCGATGGGTCAAAATAGATAAATACAGTAACAATAACATCGTGGCATGGCTCGAAGCGACTGAACGCGCGTCAGATGAATGCAATCACTTTCGGGACGCGTAGACCATCATTTGCGCCGTTATGCGAATACCGACCCTGAGAAAACCGTTTCATCTCTGCAGGTGAGCTAAAGAGTTTGCACCTGCAGTAGCGCCTTACAAGATATTTGGCCTCAGGATAATTCCCCTGCGCCCATACTGGACCAGTCAGCGACTACGACCGAAATGGAAGCTACCTAGAGATGCCAACACGCCAGTATCAGGGGTAAATAACCGCCGGCGCGATCAACACACCCGACCAGTGGGAAACCTTGGGACACACCAGCCGCCTTTCCCGGCCATGCTACAAGGAGAAATTGCATGCACCAGTGGAAGAATGTCGGGCGGGACCCATGCATGCCAGGCCATGTGTGTAGTGTCGACTGGAGGAAAGCCGCATGGGCGAGCCTGATGTGATTGCTCTACGTATTCATTTGTCCGCCACTCCTCTCTTCTTCTTTCCACAACTATTGCTCCAACCTGACCAACAAGTCGCTCATTTCAGGCTTCATCGCCGTCCGTTCTTTTCAGGCTTGAAGGAAGTCGATCTTCCGCAGTTCACGTCTCACTCGCTCAGAGAGTTGAGGAGGCAGTATCAACACCCACATAACTACCACGGGCGGACTTCATTCACCAAACATGAGATACTCAATCATTTCAGCGGCGCTCTTCGCTGCGGTGGTCACCGCCGATGCGGGTTGCGCTACAGATGGCCACGACAACTGGTACTGTTCGGAGGTCAAGGCCATCTCCTATACCGGCGTTGGAAGTGCCGCCAGCTACAAGAAAATTACCAGCATGAACCCCTCCAACGGTGTCTGCTCGAGCACTCCTTTCGCTTACTCTGGTCCTTTGTCGCCTTTGAACGAGGAGGTACGTCTACGTCAAGTTTGATGCCGTGCGCGAAGATTCGGGCGCGGTTGAACCAATTTCTAACGCTGGCTGTGTACAGGTCTCCATGCACTTCCGTGGACCACTAAAGCTCAAACAATTCGGCTACTACACCCCGAGCGCCAAGGGCAACTCTCGTCGTTCCACTCATCAGCGCCGCCACGCACATGGCCATGGTCACGCTCACGAACACCTTCATCATGCTCGTGCCCCTAGCCCTGCCAAAGAGGAGCGCGGATTGGGTGACTTCGTTACAGCGACGATCAACGGCATTGTTCAAAGCTGGGCCAATGATTTCGCTGGAGGAAATGCGCCAGCAGCCACCGCGCCGGCTGGTGGTGACGTTGTTACCGCGACCATCAACGGAGTCGTCCAGACCTGGGTCAACAACTACAACGGTGGTGCGGCCGCTGCTGCCCCAACCGCCGCCGCCTACGCTGCTCCCGCGAACAATGCTGCTGCCCCGGCCAACTACGGAGACGCGCAACAGGCAACTGCCAAAACCTCGACTGCTGCTGCTCCGGCATACACCGCGCCGTCTTCTGACGATAGTGGGCTCTCCGCGGGAGGATGGACTCGTCAGGCTTACTATGACTCTGCAAGCGGTACTTCCCATGGTCTCACGTTCCTGAACCACCACGGAGGTTCCGGATCTGGCGTATTCGACACCACCTTCGGTAACTCTCTCTCATATGCCAGCTCTGATGGCAAGAACGGCGCCTCAGGACCTCAGACCCTCGCCGACACCACTTTGGCCTCGGACGATGAGATCATCATCATGAGCGACCAGAAGTGCGCGGCGAACGATGCGGACTGTGGCTACTACCGTGATGGCAGTGTTGCATACCACGGCTTCGGCGGTCACAACAAGGCATTTTTCTTCGAATTCGGCATGCCTGACGATGGTCAGACGAGCTACAGCCCTTACAAGCCAGTGAACATGCCTGCCATCTGGCTCCTCAACGCCCAGATCCCCCGGACTCTGCAGTACGGACCTGCGGATTGCTCGTGCTGGACCACCGGCTGTGGCGAGTTTGACATTTTCGAGGTCTTGATGCCCGGTGACACCCGCTGCAAGAGCACTCTACACGGCAACGTCCAGGGTGGTGACAGCAACTACTTTGCTCGACCGACCACCGGCACCATCAAGGCTGTCCTGATCATGAACGACAACAACATCCACATCAAGATCCTCGACAACAACGACTCATCCTTCGGCGCCAACATCGCCGATAACCTCCTCACTAACTTGATTAAAGACACCATGAGCGCCATTGCCGGTGTATCTTTGTTCGCGCTCGGTCACTAAATCGGCCCTTATTCCTGCGAATTTATGTTTCCGTCAAAGCCCGGTCCGGGCGCGCATCTACTGATGCTGCTGGACAGCGCAACAGAGATATGCACGTCGCGTGAGGGCGATTGACTTTGATCATGTACTTTGTTTTTTTTTTCCAATCTCAGAAATTTGATTTTTAATTTTCAGAGAAGGGTATCCGTGTTCGTGTCCAAGGGAACGATTGCCACAAGATCAAGTTCATTATGTTGCATGTCTGGACTGCTAGATGCTTCCGACCAATGAAAGCAAAGTCCACAGACCAGGCAAACGGACAAGCATTATCAACTGATCGTAATATCAACATCATATCGTTCGCGAGCAGAAGTCGCATCGCCGAACTGTCGTGTGTAATTGTACGCGACACATGATTTGTGCAATCGTTCGTCCTACGGACTGTTGTTGCCATCTCCACTACCATCGCAACGATCTTCCGACTATAGTATTGCTGTATTCAATAGTATGCAGTAGTCATTATGCAGGATGACTCTACTGCATACCATACAGTTCACACATAAGCCGTCAGTCCGGCCGAGTGGCGTGCACAGTCATGAGTGAAGTGAGCCGAGGCACTTCTCCCGCCAGGTCAAAGGAGGACGCCTTCGCCCAAGGCCGAGAATGATACGAGAAATTACGCCGTCTCTTTCCCTTGATTCTACTGTACTGCGGCTCTGTGTGCTGGAGTATGTTTGCCGTACAGTACAAGGATCCCCTCTGAAGCCCCCAAACTCGACTCCGCGGCCACGCTCGGTCGCGTCGATTCAGCGGTCTTCTCTTTTGCCGTATTGACCTGACCCCATGCGCACGATTGTCAACTCACCACCAAACGTGATTGCAACCCCGAGTGCATCTCTCTCTGTCCTTAAGACCTACGCTGACGACACGACGATCGCCAGCTTGCCCGCAGAACTGTGTGGAGCGTCGTCGCAAAGTCGATGACATAACAACCTCAGGGCTGCTAGCGCTATCGCCCGTTTCGTTCCAGACTTTCATACCCGAGAACGTCGCCTTGACTCGACCCAAACTTCACCCTCACTAACACCATCACGTCGACGAAAACAAACGAGTGTCGAGCGCGTTCACTCGCGGGAACGTTGCTGGGGGCTCATCGTTGACAACTCGCGACAACATGTCCGCAGGAGGCTCACCACCAAAGCCGTGGGAGAGAGCAGCCATAGGTGGCGCGGGTGGTGAGTGTCGATGCAGACATCGCAAGGTTCGATAACTGACATACAAATCGATAGCATCCTTTCCGACATCGACAGCAGCGTCATCATCAACTGCCGCGATCTCAACAATGACAGATTCTACTGGTGCTATCCCAGCACTTCCTCCGCGGACAGACGCGCTGAATTCGGTCGCCGCGCGCACTGCATCAAATTACTCTTCTCCTTACAACCGGACATCCGCCTACTCTTCTCCATACGGAGGAGCTTATGGCGGAATGTCATCATATAGCTCGCCCTACAGTCGTTTCGGGGGTATGGGCGGCATGGGGGGAATGTACGGCGGAGGCATGTACGGCGGCGGCGGATATGGTGGCATGGGAGGATACGGAGGCGGCATGTACGGCGCAGGGCCGGGCATGTACGGTCCAAACGGCGAGCAGAGCTTGACACAGACGTTCAGCAACAGCACCCAGGCCACGTTCCAGATGATTGAGAGCATTGTCGGCGCCTTCGGAGGATTCGCGCAGATGCTGGAGAGCACCTATATGGCCACACACTCATCTTTCTTCGCCATGGTCAGTGTTGCCGAACAGCTCGGTACCCTCCGCCAGACGATGGGCTCGATACTGGGCATCTTCGCCCTGATGCGGTGGTTCCGCGCCGCTGTGGCTAAACTCACCGGTCGACCACCGCCAGCTTCTTCAACAGACCTTACAGTAGCAAACTTCGCCGCCTTCACTGGTGCACCTAGTCCCGACGGCGCTCCTGCAAAACCTAGCCGGAAACCATTCATTTTCTTCGTGTTGGCAGTCTTCGGTCTGCCTTATCTGATGGGCAAACTGATTAAGTCACTCGCATCATCACAAGAAGCAGAGCAGCAACGGCAATTAGCAGCTGGCGCTGCCGGGCTTGATGGACAACCGCAATCAATTGATCCCAGCAAGCTCGACTTCTGTCGCGTGCTTTACGACTATGCCCCGCAAGCTCAGCCTGGTCAACAATTCCAGGAGGGCGTTGACATCGTTGTAAAGAAGGGCGATCTCGTTGCTGTTCTTTCCAAAACAGATCCCGCTGGCCAGCCGTCTGATTGGTGGCGCTGCCGAGCTCGTGACGGCGGTGTTGGCTATCTCCCTTCACCTTATCTTGAGACCATTCAAAGGCGGCCGCAAGCACAAATCGCTGCGCACGCCGCTCCGCTGAGCGAACCCAACTCGCGAGTCAACACCATGACTGCGAGCACATTCGATGTCACCCGAGCCAATTCTTTGAAAGTACCTGCCAAAGAAAAGGTCGAGGTGATGAAGCCCTCCAAGCCTTTGCCAGAAGCTGCCCATGGTGGAGACTTGCCGGCGACAGTTGAACACTTCCAGCGTGGAGGATTTTATTCATGAACTAGCTGACTTCGCATGATCGAGTTCTGGGAACGCAAGGAGTTTCGTTCATGGGGGGTGTCTGCCTTTGAAGGCATTGACGGCGTTGTATCGACTACCAGGCACTTCATTTACGTGGCAATGTGGGGATTGTACAGGTCAATTTACATTTCCGCTATCATTCGATATTTCCCCTTTTGGATAATTCATGCATTTTTTCCGCATCTGAAGTGTCGAAGTAATCCCACGTTTGAATTAGCTGCATCACAGAAGCACATTTAGAGTGCTGCAAGCATTTCTGCTCCGCCGTGGGAGAGATGGTCCCAGATACGATCCTGCTCCTGACGCCGCATTGACAAAACCTCCGTGCAAGAATGTCCACGTACGAAACACCCACAGACACAAACCCATCCGATAAAGCTTTCCGACCTGGCTGATGGTCAGCACACTCGTCTCGCTTCATCAATCGTTCCGATCGAATGGTTCACTAATCACAGAAGGATGAAGGTCTAGGTGTTGGCCTCACTTCATTTTGGCAATCACGGCGACTTCGAACTCCCTGACTTTATCCGGTGACCATTGAAAAAGTTTGCCGCCGTCTTTGATGGCGAGCGCAATCTTGCCCAACTTGAACACACCGTTAAGATCGGCTTCCTTCTTGCCGTGGCGAGCGGCCATGGCTTCAAGGAACTTGAAGGTGTCCATGTGGAAGGTCTTGGCAGCTCTCTTGACATCCCCATCACTGGCAATCCCGCTTTCGATCGTGACGCTCTCGATACGTTCTGCCTCGACTAATAGATTGAGGGCAGTTCTGGCATTATTTTTCTGATACTGCTTGATCTTGATGTGGCGCAGCCTGCACTTGACGGAAGGTTGGACTTGTGAAAGGAATTCCAGGAGGTATTGTGTTGTTTCGAATTTGATTGACTGCTCGTAAAGAACCTGAACGGCCACCTGCGAGACAGCCTTGTTGACTGCTAGGAGTGCTGCTCGATTCTTGCTGCCTGCTGCATACTTCTTGGCATAGACCTCCTGATTGCATCTGCGCCTCGCTTCGATCACGATGCCTTCGTCCGATGGCTGGAAATAATGACGATACACCATGATTCGTGCTTCTTCGGGAAGCTTCATGAATGGAAATTGGCATGATGTCTGAACCAAGATCGCTTGGCAATTCTTGTATGGTCCGTCTTCGATGACGATTGTCTTGTACAGAGCGAATGGGTCCGCTGCTTGCAACCTGAGGGTATGAGTGAAGCAACTACCTTTGGGCGCCTTGACTGACAACGTCAGCTTTCAGTTCACCACATGTGAGCCAGATTACTTGCCTTGGCTGATGCCAAGCTTCTCTCATGGAACACGTCAACAGTCGTCTGACCATCCGGCTCGACAGCAAGCTTGAGCATCTCTTTCTTGGCTGTAATCGCTCTTGGTGTGGTCTTTTGGACAGAGTCGGGTCTTTTGAGCATCTTCTTGTTAGATCCAGGGGCTATCGAGTTTCTCTTCGTAGTCTTCTGCGCTACATTGCTCTTCGGGGCCATGACTACTAGCGATGGATATGTTTACAAATGATTGATTGTGACGATCTCGTCGGGGAACTTATGTGACAAAGAGGTTGGTGATGCAATGGGTGTGAGCGCGCATGTGGTGTCGCGAAAGCAGATGAACATGGTATGATCTTATCATGGCGATATTTCCAAGACAGATGAGTGAAGATAAGTGATCGGCGGTCTGTAGGCTTCCTGCAAAGTGATTGCGGAAAGGCTGGCACCAGGCTCGTGCAATGGCAAGATGAGAAGTGAATGATGGTTGCAACACCTACTGGCTACCTCAGCAGAATGTCGCTTGTGAAGAAACTCAACCTTGCCGTCCAGATCCTGATTGACACGTGCTATTTGTCGGGAGGATTGCCACAGGTGACAAGTTCATTCATCGTCATCTCCTGAAAGACAAGTGGAACTTCCAACACGACCCTCGAGGTTTTTGCGACGTCCAGACGGGACATCTTGCTGCGTCAGTCACAAGAGCCATGCCCACTTTGCGTATCCAGGTCACCTGAGGGCGATAGCCATGTTGATGTGTTCTACTCATGTAGCACGTGTCAGCAATTGACGTGTTCGTTACAGGTGATTATCTACTCGTGACGAGGAAATGTTGTTGTGAGGTTATTGGAAACCTGGCAAGGGTTATACTGGCAATAGGGTTGGGGTAGGTGTGTGTTCCTTCCTCTCCTTTGGCTCGTGCATGCATTCATCTGAACTTCTTCCACGCCCCTTTGTTGTTTTTGAAGTCATTGATCATTGCACAGTATACAACAACACTTGATCCATCGTCCTTGACTGTGAACTCCCGCGGGTCATTATTGTGGATAATCATTGACATTCCGCTGTCATTTACGCGAATCATCGACCATTCGGACAGAGGCATCATACCACGTTTACCTCACGCTCTGACTCGATGCCAGGCAACCAACTTGACTGCGAAGTCCCAAATTTACGGTTTGATTCCGACTCGAGCTCATGAGAGATCAGCGACTATGGTCCAAGAGGCTAGATCACTGCGCAGATGGGCTGTTGGACAGATTTTCGTATCGACGTCAGTCATGGCATGCATTGCCATGATCTACATAATCTGACCTAGGCAAACTAGTATTCCATCCATTGTTGCCGGGGTAGCTCAATCGGTAGAGCGTGTGGCTCTTATCATCGAGAGAACAACCTCAAGGTCGCGGGTTCGAGCCCCGCCTTCGGCTATTCCTATCACTGCCACACTCGCTGAGTGTGATCCAGGCCAAGGCTCGATCTTACTTTTTTTTAAATTTTTCTCGGTCGGCGACATCCGCTCTGAAACCGAGTGACATCCTTCTGAAACTCGTCCACAAACAATGGCAGAACATATTTATCATTGGGGTCCGTCAACAACTATGCCGGTCGAACCACTCTTTTTACAAATTTCAAAGCGAAGCACGCACGGTAGACTGCTGCTCTGGAAGTCAAGCGATGTTCTTCTCCAGCCATTGCTCCCAATCGGCCTTGGAGAAGCTGCTCGAGATACTGTTCTCGACATTGCCCTGAAGTTGCGCGTCAGCCTCAACACCCTGTATCGGCAACCAGAGGGTTAGCTCACATTGAAAAGGACGGTGGGTGTGACGTGTACGCCTTGAAGACGAGTAGCCTATTGAGGAGTCAGTGACCATACGTGACTGACGTTTTCCGTGAGACTTTCCTTCGTCAACAATTTGATATCGTTGGTGACTTTGTTACCGTTGTTGGTATTTCCGTCAGCATCTGGCTTATCTGAGATCTCGAGAAGACCATAAATCTTCTTGTCGTCAAGTCCGACGGTACCGGCAAGCTTAGCGAGTCGCTCGTAGGTCTTGTTACGCGGCTCGTGAACGACATTGGCGTCGAAGTATTCGGTCTGCTTAGCAAATAGAGCCTTGCTAAAATCCCAGAATTTCTCAGGCTGAGTTTGCAGCACTGCTACGCCAGCTTCATGCACCAAGGTTGAAGACGGATGCCAGGGCTGAATCTGCTGTCGGAAGATGAATTGAACCTTGTCACCCCATTTGGCCTTCACGGTCGGGAACACCTGGTCGTACACGGTGTCGAACATCTTCCTGGAGAACTACCACTTTTCAGCATTGAGAGCGGAACGATATGGTGATTGAAAACTTACTGGACAAACATAATCGAGAACTCGAAGAATTGTCAATATCACAGTATCATTCTGAATGAAGTCGTAGGCATCGCTTACACAACTCAATCGTGTGGACCGCGTTTGGCGATCCGGATGCAAGGAATCGCTGACCGGCGAATTTAGGATTGAGCGCCATGTTTGAGATTTACTGCAAAGTGGCGGAATTGAGGCTGACGGTGTGGATTAAATGTACAGGATTGTTGAATGAAGAGAAGCGATACTTATAGCTTTATCGAACGTTCACAGCTTCTATATACTGTACCGACATGCATGCTGATGTGATTGATTACAGTGTACAGGGAATCACATCATCAGCCCCACTTGCGTCATTCGAACCCAAAACACGCGCTAAACGCGTCGCGCTTCCCTTGCATGAATTGGCTGCTTGCGTCTATTTGCACCTTCCTTCATGGGCCAAGAGACAATCTGACGGCAGACACAATGGTAATCGAGGAATTGCCAATTGCAGTCGTGAAGAACCTCGGGTCCTCTCAAGCCCTCGCTACTTCTGTCGCTGCAGTCAAGGAGCTCGTGGACAACGCGCTCGACGCGCGAGCAATTTCTGTCACCGTCGAGATCAGTCGTAACTCTCTGGACATTGTACAGGTTCGCGACAATGGTTGTGGTATTCCGCCAGAGGATCGCCGGCTCATCGCGAAACCTCACTGTACAAGCAAGATTAACAACGAGAGTGACTTGCGATTGCTTGGAGGCTCCTCGCTAGGCTTTCGCGGCGAGGCTTTGGCCAGTGCTGCTCAGCTCAGCGGTTTATTGACGATGATCACGCGCGTTGAAGGCGAGCCAACTGCTGTCGAGTTGAAGTTCTCTCGGAATGGCGACATACAAGATGAGCGTAACGTATCTTCGCCCGTGGGCACGCTTGCACGAATCTCCGACTTCTTCCAGGTCAATCCTGTTCGTCGGCAGTCGGCGATCAAGAACGCCGACACTACCCTCAAGCATGTCAAGAAGATGCTACAGGAGTATGCGCTAGCTAGACCGCAAGTTCGCTTCTCGCTCAAAGTCATCAAGTCCCCCTCCGTTCACGGTGATTGGATCTATGCTCCTCAGCTCCAAGGCGACACGGCCGCTATGCAAGCTGTCTCAAAAATTGTAGGTTTGACTTGCGCATCGCAATGTATTGCGCGAAGCTTTGAGTCGGACGGCTTCGTATTCTCGTCTGTGTTGCCTCGTTGCGACGCCGACGCTTCCAAGGTTGGTGGATTCGGCTCCTTTATCTCCATTGATCATCGTCCCGTCTCGTCGAGCAGAGGCACACTCCGCAAAATTGTGGAGTGCTTCCATGATGCGTTGAAGAAAGGCAAGTCCGCTACGCTCCGTGGCGTCAAAAGCCCTTTTCTCCAGCTCGGCATTGCATGCCCACAAGGTGCTTACGACATCAATGTAGAGCCGTCCAAGGATGACGTACTTTTTGAGGATCCCTCTGCAATTCTGTCAATGGTGACGACTTTCTTCCAATCAGTGTACCCTGCTAGCGACGCAAGACCTGAAAGCGCAGAGCCCTGTGAACCCGTATCTGCCAATGGCTTCGTGCACAGACAAGGCAATGCTGAGGCAGGTGAGTCGTAAAATCTGCGGCATGCTGATATTTGCGTGATTCGACCGAGCAAAAATCATGTCATACCACTTCATGCTTAATATTGACAAAAGTCGCTCAATTCCAGACTCAGCATCTTTACAGCTTTCGCACGCACGTACAACGCAAGATAGCCCCCAGACAGTTCGTGGAGGTCGATCGCAAACAAATCCTTGGCATATTGCAAAGCTGAATGCTCGCGCACAAATGTCAAAGATAGTGTCCGACAGGCATTACGAATCATTGCCTGCTCACGATGCACGATCTACAGGACTGTTAACGCCGCAGAATTCATCGCCAACGCGATTGGCCCATTCCACGATACACCCTTATGGATTGAACAATGCGCAGATTGTTCCGACACACGTTGTCTCCGAAATCAGGGAGACCTCCGTCCGTGATTTCCACGTGCCCACAGTGACTCGCGATCGTGATGGTGTGTCTCGACTAACACAAAGGTGGGCCCACAATGAACAACTGGGGACACCAGCGAGTACGGAAGGAACTCATCTCCAAGGCAAAGGCATGCGTCCGGCGCAAGTGATACCCTCCTTTACTCGACCTGAGAGTCAAGCAAATCGCCGAAGAGCCAGAGGTTCAACCGGATATTCAGAGAGATCGCAGAGCAGTGCAATTTGCAAATTTCGAAAGGAGAGTGCACAGGGACCTGCTCAGCGCTACAAGCAAACGCATCTTTCCATATCACCGTTTGTCCCAAACACCGTGGCCAATGCCGGCACTGCGCCCAGAGCAGGACACGAGAGGTCTGGCCGATCATCACCGACCTCCAACGCTTCATACTATCCTGAGCGAGGACGTTTGAAAAACACCCTGCCTCTGACGGGCCGCTCCATGCAAGAAGCAAATCGTGTGCTTATTAGGCCCTCACCAACCTCAAACATGCGGATACCTATCGATCTATTTCCGCAACACAGGGATGACTGCGAGTTCCCAATTTCAGGCAGTGGTCTCCCTACCACCGAGCCCATCGCACAACCTACGCTGCATATCCCCTCTGTTGGCCACCCCACAACCAGCATCACAAGCAAACAATCCACCGATCCTCGCCTTCTCCCTTGCAGCGTTCCTCGCACGCGAACAGCAAATCTAGCACTAGAAAGCATCCCGCCCGAACAGGTCGTATGCCATTTGATCGCGCACTTGAAAATATACGCCTTTCCCTTGCTCTTCGAAATCGAGTCCAAGGCTATCAACGAGAAAGCTTGCATGCTGCGCTTGAGCTTGTCGTCCCGCAATCTTGATTTCAAGACTCTTACATTTCCTGCTGCGGCGATGGTTGAGATGGAGCGTGTGGTTGAAAGTGTGATCAGCGACGCGGATTCTGGGAAGAAGCGTAGGCTCATCGGGGGCTTAAGGGAGGCACTTAGAGGGTGGTGATGCATCACATCTCAGGGCAGTGTGACACAGTTGCTCCTTGTCTAGTTTCTTGGGGTTTGAGTACAAGAGATAGCTTCATCAAATCGTGCTGTAGATTGCTGATATCTGCACCGCTGTCCACGAAACCGAGCTTACAATACTCCTCAATTAATTCAGTCGATTGAATCGAGGTTGGACAACTTCTACAGATTCTATGACGAGGGTAAATAATCTAATACGGTATATAAATCCAAGTTTCCCGTTTAGCCAATCCTCATGAATCTCTATTGCTTGACTTATCATCGTTATCAACCGCATCCTCATCGTCCTCATCACCGCCAATATCAAAAGCGTCCTGCTCAACCGCATCCTCATCGTCCGTGAATTCGTCCCGATACGTATGGTTCCCTCCACCAGCACGGCGATCAGAAGTCTGATGTAATGAGATATCATCTTCTTCACGCAGCGTATCAATCTGTTCACGGAGCATCGGATCATCGATATACTCAGCCCCATCATCGGCGCTGTCCCGACCAGCTCCCGCCATAGCAGCCGCTTCCTCAGCCTCGAGGACTTTGGCGCGCGCAGCGGTTCTCATATAGATGAGGTAGCCGGTACCCACACCGAGGAGCATACCGACGGCGATGCTGAGATAGCTGATGATTTGAGTTTTGGTATCCATCTTGTCGCCTTCTTCAGCGAGCTCGCCGATTTTCGAGCCGACGAAGATGTGCAGGAGGAGTTTGGGGGAGGCGATGGCGGTTGCGAGCATGAAGTTTGGCCAGGTGACGGTGGAGATTGTGCTGATGGCGCCGTTGGCAAGACTGTAGGGGAGGGGACATAAGCGGATCAGACAGAGGAGTTTGAGACCATCGTGTTTGAGGACGAGGGACAGGGCGGCGAATTGCTTGTTTTTGGCGGTGATTTTGCCAACGAAGTCCCTGAGCAGTGTCCTTGAGACTACTAGGGAGCAGGTTGATCCGATAATCGTGGCAGATGCGATGATGAACCATCCTCGCATGCCGAATACAACACCCGCTACTGTGACCAGGGTCGAGTAGCCAATCAAGGGTGGAAAGGACACTATAAAGGTCAGGACCCACAGGATCAGCCAACCAGCAGGCATCTCCCGCCATTTATGTGCGGCACGGCCCAGGGCGTGGAAGAGCTCATGTCGAAACACCGTTGCTACGATCCCCAGGACGAGAAATAGAACCGCCGCAAAAACGACGCCCACCTGTTGTAGCAGTGTCAAGTGGTACCACGTCTGTAACGCATGTCTCTGCACCATCAAAGCGCTCTGAATCCATCTATTCTGACCGGCCCTTCGTCTATCATGTGTGCTTCCGCGAACGGAGTCGCGTGACCGTCGTGACCATAGCGGCGACTCGGAGTTGGGGCTGTGGTGAATCGGCAGGGTTGGACCGTCGGTGTCGTCCTCGATGCGAGTGGCCAGCGCTCGCGCGGTGGAGTTGTAGTCGGACTCGACCATTGTGAATCTTTCAGAAAGGAAGTAAAACTGGGGCAAGGGTTTTGTGGAGTAGAGCGACAGAAGGCAGGGATCGTTCCAGGAGTATGAGAGTGTCGCGATCAACAAGACTGGAAAGGAGTAGCTGAAGTGAACATTGCCGCTATGCTCGCATGATGTCGGGCCCGGTTACGGTGAGGTGGATCTGGTTTCTGGATTGTTCGTCTCGAGTTTGAGGCGCAACGTTCGTCAATCGGCTGTTGGGCCTTTACCGAAAGACGAATATCAGAGGCGGAAGAATGTAGGGAGCAATGTAGGGAGCAATGTAGGGAGCAATGTAGGGAGCAATGTAGGGAGCAATGTAGACTGGAATGTAGTTACATGATTGTCCACACTACCGTTGGTGAGATGGGCGTCAATTCAGCCCTGGCGGCGCGACTGGTTACATCATCGCGCCAGGTCGGGGGCTCGACTTACGCTAGCACGTGAGCCATCGTGAGACATGCATCCTCTGAAAGGTGCAATCTCCTGATCTCTCCGCACAAATGCACATTACCACAGTCATCTACGAAAGCTCTCATTGCCGCGAGAAGGACTTCGATTGCGACGCGTCAATTTCTCGAGTCCAGCTCAGACGCCATTGGAACTGGTTCAGGGCCACGCAGCGGCCCTCGAAGCTATGACCGCCCGAACCATAGACTCGGTGCCACGAGTGCAGGAGTGCCGAACAATCGAACTGTGTTATTCCATGAAGACCTAATTCTCCTTTTGTACTGCAATGCACATTAACGACGGTTAATGCTTCGTCGTCTCGATCTCATCCACCATTTCATCATGCTAGCCCTCTAGTGTCCAGACACGAGGCCGTAGCCACCATCGACAACCACAGTCTGACCGTTGAGATATTGGTTCGTTGCCACGAAAATAATCGCACTAGCCATATCGCGGTCGTTGCCAGGACGTCCCGCAGCAGTCTTGTCCTCGTATTTGTCCTTGGGGATGTGAGACTTTTGGGCCTCGCCGCTATCGCCGGCAGTCATCTCGGATGGGAAAACTCCAGGAGCGACAGAATTGACACGAATCTTCAGTCCGTTCTCTTGGATCTCGTTGGCAAGCATGCGTGTCAGATGGATCGTTGCGGCCTTTGAAGCATTGTACCTGCAGAATGTTTCCGTCAGTGGATGATCACAAATTATTCTTCACTTGGAGAATCATACTGAGGATGATGTTGGGATGTCTTGACGATTCCGGACATGGAGCTGATATTGATGACAGTGCCGGACCAGCCGTGTGACTTCTCGGTAGCCTTCTGAAGAAGCGGCAGGAATGCTGTGGTCATGAAGTAGCACTGAGCCACGTTTGTACGGTAGACGGACTCCCAGTCCTCGAAGGTGGCCTCCTCGTTGTCGAAAAGGTTCTTCTTCATTTCTTCTGCAGTCTTGCTCTCAGTTTGGAAGGTGCTGGTGCTAATGCCGGCGTTGTTGATCAGAATCTACATGGCGAGTCAGCGAATGCATAATCCCACAGCGCGATCTCTGCGGCATGAACGGTTTGTGATGGACAAAATGTGCTCACATCGAGATGCTCTTCCTTGTTGGAAAGTTCATCATAGAGCTTGGCGATGCTGCCTTTCTTGCTGACGTCGGCAGTGAGTGCAATAATGTTGCCCGCAGTGTCATTGCTGTAGGTCTTGACCACGGTATCCAGCTTCTCAGCAGTTCGGCCGATGATGTACACTTTGGCACCGTTTACGGCGAGGGCTTGAGCGGCCATCAAGCCGATTCCTGATCCACCACCTGCATATTTCCATCAGAGTCGTGCTCTCAATCTGTGAGTGCAAGCCATCGGAGGATTGACAAACCGGTGATCAAGGCGACTTTGTCCTTGACGTTGAAAACATTGCTGAGGAGAAAGTCTTGATTGTTGTTGTCAGGTTTGGACGCCATGTTGCGATGTCTACGATATGAATGGTTGATTGTAGGACGACTGCTTTGAGCTGGCTTGACCGTAGAAGTGGTTTGGAGTTCGAGAGATGACGGAGAGATCGTGACAAGTGAGAGAGGAGTGATGTGATTGTTGGCAGAGCTTGCGATGATAGTAAGAAGAAGACGGGCAGACGCACGAGAAGGGAATGGCTGCGACGAGTGATGACCGATGTTACACCATGCAATGAGGCAACCATGACGGTGCAGTCATTACAAGTGACGGAAAGACGCTGTATGTCACGTTTGACAAGTCCGAGGTTGGGAACCGAGGGATACACTCGATTTATTATTATTAAGAAAAAGACTGGTCTGGTCAACTATACCACAGGGTGATCGTTGGCGACGACGCATTGCTTGGAGTGATGATGTCCATATCGACACGGCTGCGACAAGCTTTCTTCTGATCATTACTGAACGACCGGAATCTATCACTGTAATAACCCAGACGACAATGACGGGCGCCACGATGAACTTGCCTTCTCTCTGTTTTTTTCGGCTGATGACCACTGTAATGCGTAGACGACCCACCATCGTGGGGACATCTATCATCGATTGCTCATCCTGAAGCTCCCCGGGCCTTTTGACGATGTCGAATTCGAGAGGGTCGGCTACTCGTCATAGTGTCATCATCTCGTGTCAGGAACAAGAACCCACAGAGCAGTACGTAATGAGCAAATGTATCCAATGGTCATTGCAATTGGTGACCAGAACAGTCGATGAAGCAGATGGATTCGGAGCTGCGTCCGAGTCAAGAAGGACAGTGTATTCCGCATAGTACACGTCGGATCCATATTCACCGCGAAAGATAATCTGCTCATTCATGAACCCTTACTCGCGGCTGGCTCGGCCTGACAATTCGATTTCAGCCTCGATGAACTGCCGTTCACACGCCACCCGTCCGCTCATCAATGGTCCCTCAAACGGTCCCTCAAACGGACTCTCAAATGGTCCCTGCTGTGGGAAATCCCAGCATCTCTTCCGCCTACAGCAGACCTATTGTATCTACCAACGTGAACCGATGAGACATTCTTGGTCGCCCACGTGCTCTAGAGGGATCAAGATACATACCCACGATGCATCAGTGTTACCATCCGCGGATCTGTGAACTGGGGTGTCCAGTATTCCGATTCCAATGAGAGTAATGACATGAAAACCTCTTGTCATCCTGGAGAGGGAGAATAGATTCATACAATGGATAGATAGGTACTGTGTGTTTTCGCCCGCTTGCCCGACCACCCGCTTGCCCGCAATCGCTCCGGTCACCGGTGGATAAAATGCTTATGGTGAGATAAATATGTACTGCTGGCGGGCTAGCTCCGGCTTAGGTGCGTGCAGCAGCAGCCCCAATCTCGAGCGACAGCAACACTGCAGCCAGCTCTGTCATTCCAAGGTTCTTGCGGTCGGTAGATACTGCTCTACTGCATATCTGCTTAATTGTCTGTTCTTGCCTGATTGCTTGCTTCTTTAGCGAGTTCCACATTCCTGAGCAATGGCCGCCCGTCGAGCTCTCTCCTCCAGCCGACTCCTTCGACCCACGAGCAACACCATTCTACGTTCTGCTTTTGCCGGCCCAGCACGCTCAACTGCCTACAAGATGCCGATCAACAGTGACGCCGGCAGCAATGCTCTGCGTCGTCTCAACGCCACTGCCTCACACTTCTACACCACTTCCGCCGGATCATCAGCCACCGACTACCGTAAGTCGCACGACAAGGTCGAGAACCCAATCGACACGCACAACTTTATCGACAACGAATTTCGTCCTTCACAGGCTACCGAGTGGATCGACCTACATGATCCCGCAACCAACAACCTCGTCACCCGCGTTCCTCAGTCGACCGATGAAGAGCTCAAGGCTGCCGTGGACAGTGCCGAGAAGGCCTTCCCGGCTTGGAGGGCGACCAGCCTGCTGGCGAGACAACAGATCATGTTCAAGTTCGTGGCTTTGATTCGTGAGAACTGGGATCGACTTGCGGCAAGCATCACCCTCGAGCAGGGCAAGACGTTCGCCGACGCCAAGGGCGATGTGCTCCGTGGATTACAGGTTGCAGAGACGGCATGCGGCATCACTACCCAGCTTCAGGGAGAGATTCTCGAGGTCGCCAAGGACATGGAGACCCGCTCATACCGTGAACCTCTCGGTGTGACCGCCGCCATCTGCCCGTTCAACTTCCCCGCCATGATTCCTCTCTGGACGATTCCTGTTGCAACCATTGTCGGCAACACCTGCGTCATCAAGCCTTCGGAACGAGACCCCGGCGCCTCATTGATCCTATCTGAGCTGGCAGCCAAGGCCGGCTTCCCACCAGGCGTCATCAACATTATCCACGGTTCCCGCAGAGCTGTGGACTTCATCCTCGACGAGCCCCGCATCAAAGCTATTTCATTCGTCGGATCCAACAAGGCGGGCGAGTACATTTACGCCCGCGGCAGCGCCAACGGCAAGCGTGTCCAGGCCAACTTGGGCGCGAAGAACCACGCCGCTGTCCTACCCGATTGCAACAAGAACGCCACTTTGAACGCCATTGCCGGTGCCGCGTTTGGTGCTGCAGGTCAACGATGCATGGCTCTCTCGGCGCTGGTTCTCGTGGGTAAGGAGACTCAGGGCTGGACGCACGACTTGGCCGAGCGAGCCAAAGCACTCTCCATGAATGCTGGTTTCGAGTCTGGTGCCGATCTCGGCCCAGTGATTTCACCAGAGTCATTGAAGCGCATCGAGGATATCATCGCAACAGCTGAGAAGGAGGGCGCAACGATTCTCCTGGACGGCCGAGGTCAGAGACCTGCCAAATACCCCAACGGCAACTTTGTAAGTGCTCGCCCAATATCGCGACTGTGTCGAAACCGTTGAGGAGAGCGAATTGCTGATTTTCCACTCACAGATTGGCCCCACCATCATCACCAATGTTACTAAAGACATGACCTGCTACAAAGAAGAGATCTTCGGCCCCGTGCTCGTCTGCACCAACGTGGAGACCCTCGACGACGCCATCAGCCTCATCAACGCGAACGAATACGGCAACGGCGTCGCCATCTTCACCAACTCCGGCTCGACCGCTAGCCGTTTCCAAAAGGAAATCGAGTCCGGCCAAGTCGGCATCAACGTGCCGATCCCCGTGGCTCTGCCCATGTTCAGCTTCACCGGAACCAAGAAGTCCGTCGCCGGCGGTGGACTCAGCACGTTCTACGGCAAGCCTGGCCTCAACTTTTTCACCTCGTATAAGACCGTCACCAGCCTTTGGAGGGCGGAGGATGCTATTTCCACCAAGGCTACTGTTGAGATGCCGACACAGTCATAGGGATGGCATATTTGGCAGCGTAGAATAGGGAAATATCGATGCGCATTGTGAAACACATAATAATAGGTTTCTGTCACGATTAAATCGTGAGACCGCCCCGCGTGGTGATGTTTTGATAGCATCTTCCAATCCATTCCCCTCATGAGCCATCCTCGAGAACCATCTTCACCCCTTCGTCCGGGTTCTCCTCAACGGGAAGTTCGTTACGTCCTGCCCGATGCGTAACTTGACCTGATCAAAAGCAATTTCCGTCCTCTCCAGTGCTTTCCGCAGATCTTTCGAAATCGGGACCTCCCGAGCCACCGTGTCATGCTTGATAGCCGTCGAAGAATCTGCAGGCTTGTCGCTGCTCGTCAAAGTTGAAAGAGGGGGAGGTTTCAATGCCCATGCGATAGAAATATGGAAATGATCCTTCTCTGGCCTTTGACCCCCCTTGTGCGACGAAGCATATAGCAAAGGCTGACCGAATCTCTTCGCGACATTGTTACATACTCTGAGGAGGTCCCGCAATTCGCGTTTCTCTCCGCCTTGCTCGGAGGAGGAGGATGAGGTGACTCGTAAGACGAGAAACCATCGCGTGCCATCTTCATTGGGATGCCAGATGAGGTTCTTAGGACGGACACTGAAGGCTTGGATGTCAAGAGCAGCGAGTGAGGTTGAGAGATGGTTGGTGAAGGGTTCTTTGTCAGAGGTTTTGAGGACGAGGGGCCGGGAGAGGGAAATGTGTAAGGGTAAAGGGACGCCGATGGGGGAGAGGAGGAGGCTGTGCAGGTAAGAGGAAGAATGCGTTTGAGATTGGATGATTTCTGGTACGGCTGATCTTTCCAGATCTTGGAGGAGTTCGAGTTCGTGAGGAATTGGGTACCCTTTGGATTTTTGCAGGTTAGCTCGCCGTGATTACAGGATGGGTCTTCTCCTCCAGAGCGTCCCTTGTACTGTCCCCGAAGACAAGGAAGACAATGATGATGACTTACATTCAAGTGAGATGTGGGTTGGCCAGTTGCCGACCAAATGAGGCGTGGCCCGCTGTCGTCCAGCATGCAGCGCGGGATCATCCTGTGTTGTGGTGCGTACAGTAGAGGAATACATATCGCGAAAGCTGGCGGGCAGCGCAGGCAGTGATGAGGCTAACTTTGGCGCAGGCGGACTGATGGCCGCCAGACTTGACGATGTTCTACGTTTCTTGTTAGGTGGCGCATCACTGTCGTTGTCTTTACTGTGTCCTCGGTCAAGATGAGGCTTTTGCGCGTGAACCTCGTTCCGATCTTCGCTGTCCGAGGATGAGGGATAATCGACCAGGCTCATCGTATTTGCTTAACCTATCGCCATCGATTCATAGCATGCCATGAATCCTGAGGTTGATACTTGTTCCTGACTTGCAAAAGTCCAATGGCAGTGTTGATCTGTGTGGTCACACCGGCAAATGGCGAAGAGCTAAAATTACCTAGGTATACAATTATCACATTGGCTTCCGCCCCAGTTTCGTTGCTCTCTGATTTTGGAGACGTCCGTTGCAAGAAAATGGCATGTAAAATCAACAACCGTTATTCACAACAATGCGCCTGGGATTGCACTTCAATTATACTGTGAACCATCTTATTAGCAGCATCATAGACTCTACAGCCAGCCGAAAATCAATGCCCGCTCCCCGTCTCCATCATTTAGCGTTTCCTCCATCAGTCACCAGCCCTCGTGCCTTCACATCGCGGATCAACTCCTGGAAATCCTCGTCACCCTCATCTGCAACCTTTTGAAATCCGGCCAGATTCTCCTTGAGCCAAGTCACATCATTGCCTGCGCTAGGCAATGTGAAACCCGCCTCGTAGCCTGCGATCAGGCCGCCGATGATGAAGACACCACGGATGCTGTAGTCCAGCTCCGTATCGGCAGGACGAATCTGAGGCAAGCCTTTCCCAACAATCCGATCCCATGCGGCAGCGATGTCGCGAGAATGATCGTCCCAGTCCTGTTGGGTGCGCGTAGCACCCGCGCGCACGAAGCCTTGAATAGTGTTGGAGACTTTCCGGCGGCCGGCGACGTAGGTCGTTGCTTTGCTCACGTCGGTAAATCCAACGTTCACGAACAGTCTCGGCGTCGTGAAGCGAGTGGAATGCAATGTCGTCAATGCCTCGGCCAATTCATCTTGTTGAGATATGGTGAGAGGCACGGCATGCTGGACTGTGTAGAAAGGCATGATCGCAACAGCAGCAGCAGCAGCAGCAGCAGCAGTTGTTGTTGTTGTTGTTGTTGTCGTCGTCGTCGGCGTCCAGATAGGATGCCGGACGACAAGAAATCTCGCGCGAGGAGAGCGCTCCTCTTATATTCTCACTTGGCTATATAGAGCTCACCTGTACTTCAAATAACGTTCTGGAGGATCGATGAATGTGTTCGACTAGCGGCATGCCCAGGTGGGTTCCTCTTTTCCGAATAATACATCATTGGCGATGGCAATGACGATCAGTCTGCTTGATTTGTCGCCATATCTTTCGGCTGCACTAGATCTCATTCCCTCAAGTCGCTCGGTCATCGGGTGGTTGTTCACGATTTATATCCAAAGCACGCCATTGATGTGGCACTTCTGCTGAATAGCTCTGCTGCAGCATACTTTCATTGATCGCCCGCGGTGTTTTTGGAGATGCGGGGCAAGCTCCATTCACCACCATCACCAATGATAAGGTGACTTGGTGATCCTTAACACGTCAAGCCGTTGTGATTAAAAACGTCATGACATGTACGGGACAACTTCACGCCGACTCGTAGAACTCGTGATGACGAATCATCGGCGCCCGGTCAAGATCTTTGTCCGAACCACTGATTTCGATTGCAGATCTTTGACCTTGAGAATACACGTTGCTTAATCCTCGACACTACGGTGTAACTGCTGAACATTTGACACAAAAGCAAACTTACCTACGTATACACCATCTTCTCCACGAGGAAACTGTCTCGAAGCTTTCTCCATTCATCTCTTATCTCTCGGTACGCACTCTCAGCACGCAATTTCCAGATCAGTCAAATATCATATCAACGTCGCAATGGCGGGAAACCCAATCGCTGTCATAGTTGGTGTCGGGCCAGGTACTGGAGCAGCGATAGCGAGGCGTTTCGCGACCGCATATCCAGTTGCATTGCTTGCTCGTAGTCCCGAGAACTTCGAGGGCCTGGTCACTGAAATCAACCAAAGCGGCGGCAAGGCTCTAGGAGTCAGCACGGATGTCTCAAGCGAGACCAGCGTCAAGGCTGCGTTCGAAAAGATCCAACAGGAATTCGGCAAAGTGCCCATCGCTGCAGCTATCTTCAATGCCTCTGCGCGACCGCAAAGAAAACCTCTGCTCGAACTCACCGTTGACGAATTTCAGGCTGGCTTCGACGTGAGCAGGTACGCTTCCCTGTCCCTCTCGCACTAAGCGCAAACCCTTTTCTCCTGACACATTATTCCAACAGCAAAGGAGCCTTCATTTTCTCGCAAGCAGTTCTACCGGGTTTGATTGAACAAGCCGAGCGCCAGGATGCCAAATACCCGCCAACGCTGATCTTCACTGGCGCGACTGCTTCGGTGAAAGCCAATGCTCTCATGTCTGGCTTCACCAGCCCGAAGCACGCATTGAGGGCTCTCTCGCTCTCGATCGCAAGGGAATTCGCACCCAAAGGCGTGCACGTCGCCCATGCCATCCTCGATGGAGTGATCGACATCCCTCTCACGCGAGAATGGCTCAAAGACCAACCGGCGGAGGCCAAGATCGCGCCTGACGATATTGCGGAAACTTATTGGAACCTGCATCAGCAATCTCGAAGGTGCTTCACCAATGAGATCGACATTCGTCCCATGTTGGAGAAATGGTAGAGGGAACCTGCCAGGTACTGTTCGGGGGCTGCCGTTCGTTCCGAAGATTATGAATAATGGAAATGTAATTTACCATGCGTCGCGCATGCTCCCACTTCTCATCATGTGCCACGGTCTCTCTTCTGCTACCACTCCGCGAATGTGTCCTCCGAATACAGCGGTAAGTGTAGTATCAAGATAATAGGCGTTCAACGGACCTGACCGCGATTGCAAGGACTGGAACGACATCCGTCCAGGCGAAGAGTGCCCTATCTCATTTTCCGAGGATGAGCTATCGGCGCACACGAGAGATGGAAGTGGCTGGAACGACCATGCTGACTTCTGGCCTTCCATTGCTCCGCTCGTGACCAGGGACGGTTTTGTGGCGAATGAGGATTACGGCGAGGCGCTCGAAGTGTTGCAGGCTGCCCATGAAAAGTGACCCCGGGAGTTTGATGGCGAGGAGAGAGCCGGGTTCGAACGTGCGACTGGATGGGCGATCAAGAACTTTCTCTCGAAACCAATGAAGTAGGCGAGATAGCAGCTGTCTGACTACAGATGATATGCATGCGACTGCACAACCTTACAGGGGATTTCTCACTTGCCAGCGAGGGACTCCAAGGTTGGCGCATGTACAGTGGCCAGCGACTTGAAAAATGGATGGTACTAGACACCGAAGATGCCCTGGAGATGATTAGATGATGTGGTTAATATAGAAGCCATGGCCGACAGCGGAATTGAGGCCAAAGATAAAGGAGATACAGCAACGATGGTCTCCTCCTGCCATGTCGTCGCTGACAGTGCTCGCCCGCCTCGTACTTCTTGCTGTTCGCGATGGGATCCTGCCTCGTTTGTATAGTCTGCGCCTGCTTGATCTTTGTTGGACTTGCCGCCTTCAAAAAGTAAACAATGTAATGAGTGAGTTGATATCAAAGTATTTGAACCTGCTTGTCCCTCATAATTAATTCCATTCTTCTTCTTTTAAAGTCCCTCTCTCTCATCGTCCACATCAGTCTACACCTCGTGTTCTCTTCCGGCTTTTGTGATCCCTCAAGCACACCTCTCTCCTCGCTGATAAATCGTCGTCTCACGCGTCGCCTGTCGCTCTTGTCTTCAATCGCGCATTCGACGTGTCATTCACCATGCCTCTCGCCAGACGCCTCGACCGCCATTCAACCATAGCACCGCCCGCATCAGACTATCGACGATCTTGCTGACTTCGGGCTCTCGCCTACCCGTCGCTTTCGTCTCTCAGATTGTCATCATAGGGATGGGTTGGGTTGTTACGATATTCCTTGGTAGGTGATGTTTCATGCTCCTTGATACTTCGAAAGTTGACCTGAGGCCTTGGCCGTCGATGAAAAATCTTCATTCTTGAGAGCTCCAGAGGCATCACCTACCGGTTTCGGCTGACATCCCTACGGATCACAGGCTTTCAAACTTTCCCAATCGGTCGGTCAGCCCTGGCTCAGTTGGACCTTGCTTGAAAGGTGATGTTTATTCCTCTTTCATGCTTCGAAAGTTTGACATGAGGCCACGGCCGTTGTTGGCGAGCGTTTGAAGACATCCCTTTTATAGAGAAATAATTCGAAAATTTCGTCCTGTGAAAATTTTGCTTCGGCAGTATGAGAACATGAGAAACTAGAGCCGAAGCAGCCCTCGTCATTCGTCATATGAGCCATGTGGTTGTTTGTATAGCGTAATAAATCGCAGGTTGAAGCGGGACCGACGACGAAAGTGCGGTTCGCTGCAGGGAGACGCTCAGCGTAGCAACTATTGCCGGGGTTGTGCCAAATCACCCTGTCGCTTACAATCGAGAGAAGGAGCAGATGCACTGCGCTTACGTCGCCGAGCCTTGCCTGATGGCTGCGTCATGCGCTGCGTAGACGATATGGCGTATCTCGACTCGAAAAGCAGGTCGACTTCAACGGGCTATAGCGCCGTGCACCGAAGATCTCCCACCTTAATCGAGACGATTCGAGGGCGCGATGTTTCGCCCTACTCACAAGCTAACAAATGTTGCGATGGCGTCGAAGCAAATTCAGAATGAAGCGTCACGCGTATTGCCCGCGCGACGCCTCGAGTTCAGCGGCGGTCTTGCCACTCCATGGCTTCCGCAAGGCTCAAGACCCAGCGAGTCTTAAGTCCCAAGCATCAGCTGCTACTGCCAGGCATAGCATCGACAGAAGCGTCGTCGCTCTCATCTTGAGCTTCCTCGTCGTTGGTGGTGAAAGAGGGTCGTCGCGGCCTGACAGATATGTTGTCGTCTGTATGTCGGATCGTCAGAAATGTGTAGGGTGCGGGAAAGTTAGAGATAGACTGCCGCAAGCATTGAAGGGAGATCTTATGTGAGATGTCGATGATAATGTCACGACGCCATTGTACTGCATTTATGAGATGGCGGATGGGAAATGGGGCGTCAGCCTTCAAGTCGGCCTCGTATTGCTTGAAGACTATGTCCCTCCAGGTACGATTGAGATTCCTGGTCGTCATAATCGAGCAGGTGTAAGATGACTGTTGGTGAGTGCCTAACTCCGTGGACTTGAAATTTGGTGCTCTAACGGAGATATTGTGGTATACCGGGTACTGTCCTGTGACTGACTGATTATATAAATCGAGGCAAGATATTGCTATCAGCTCATCGCTCTTCGAATCTCATCTGCACCGTGAACGACAAAGTTGAATGGACCAGCTACCGACAATGCCCAGGTGGTCTTTGTTGCCCGCATTGGTTTCTTCTGAACCATACCCAGACAGTGCCGCATATGCATCAATCAGCCTGTCACGCAACGAAGACAATGGGACATGACGAGGTGCGAGATATAATGCCTCAGGCTTGCAGATTGTTGGTCCATCAGCGGAAAAATTCCGGCATTTCGGCGCGGCGCGACTCACGACGAACATCAGAAAGCAGCGACTTCGATGGATTTCACCCGCGACATGCAAAGAAGCTGAGATCATTAGAGATCTACCATCACAACACTCTTCGTCGTCAACATGCCTCAAGCTCAGCCAGAATTAAAAAAGGTCAGTACACCACCTTCCCTCCCTGCGGAAGAACAGAAACCTGGTTCCTCGCAGCGGACAATACAGAAACTGACAATCGTTGCCAATCCACAGTATCTCGACAAGCGCATCGAGGTTCAACTGAACGGATCGCGCAAAGTCATGGGCACACTGCGCGGCTACGATGTAAGTTCCACGCTCCTGCTCACGCAAAACTCCAAGCGAATCAGTAGAGCTCTGGATAGCTAACCGTTCTCCACAGGTCTTCCTCAATATCGTCCTCGACGAAGCTACCGAAGCGCGCCCCAACGGAGAAAAAGTCCGAATCGGAATGTGTGTGATCCGCGGCAACTCCGTCGTCATGCTGGAGGCGCTCGATCGCATTGGAGATGACCACCACGGGCGAAGATAAAAGGAAGCAGCAGCAGCAGCAGCAGCAGCAGCAGAGCCGGCGAAGAGAATCGTGGGGAGGCGGAGGAACCGCTTGCACTCTGTTCTACACGAATTCAGGAGCGCGGACGGATTTGCTACAGGCGGCGCGCACGAGGACGAGAAGCATGGCCGAAAGTCGTCCTCTCCCGATTCGGGAGCCCATGATGGAAAAGTGGGCACAGCATGATCGGGTAGAGGAGGCATCGTCACGTTGGAATATGCTTCTTCGTGGTGGCTATGCCGCATGCAGGGAGTCGGGTTCCCATTCCAGAAAATTATTGCTGGCCATTCAATGAAACCAGCACAATACAGGGTCCGTCGGGGAAGTGGCATTGTTGGAAGGACGTTCCAATGCGATGAACGGAGGAATGAACACCGCTTTATCGGGAAGCTCTGCCTGCATCGTGCGCTCTGCCTTGGCGCGCGTACCTCGTCGCGAGACCCATTTCTTGCACCACGCGGTCCGCCACGTCTGCGAAAAACCAGGAAATCTTTACGTGCGACGGCCATTGGGATAAAATTGCGGCGGAGATGGGCTGTATTGTCTTAGTTCAAGACCACTGTATAATGGGCTACGGAACACGAGTGAGATCAGAGGAAATAATGAAATTCTAAAATCACCAAAGTCTCTTTTGATTCGAACAGCACTGATAGCTGTGTAGTAGTAGAAATAAGGAAAAAAGGAGAAAAGGAGAAAAATTCTTTTGCTCTGGAACTTATCCAAAAAGGAGCAACAACGCTTAAAAGTAGTACAAGGAACCGCTAAGAATGGGGGCAAGAAAAAAGGGGGTTTCGTGAAGTGCGTCAAGAGGTTGATTGCTATTTCCAAGCGAGCCTGACGGAGAGCGTAGGGGACGGTCCTTTCAGGGTGGGCGGATGATAGGTCACAATTGGAAAAGCTCTAGTGGTGGCCGTTCGTCGAGTCGGGCAATCCAAATGATGACCTCAGCGCGTCGCCTAACCGCCGAATCGCCTCGTCGATTTGACCGAAGCGGGCGGCGGCATAAGTAGCACGGAAGAACATGGTGTCGCTCGGAATCGACTTTTCCGCTTGGAACCACGATCCCTTCATGACGAGGGTGCCATGAGCGACGATGGTCAAGAAGATCTCCTCTTCGATCTCGAGAAGGCTTCTTCGAGGGTAGTCCGGATGTTGTTTCCAATCGACTTGGATCCAGTGGAACATGCCGGCCATCGGGGGCACCCAGCTGGTGATTTCCTTGGGCAGGTAAAGGTCGCACGCCTCCATCATGACGTTTCGCCGGCGGGTGTACTCGGTGCGCATGTGCATGAGCCAGTCGATGTAACCGGCATGGCCCCATTGCTCGTCGAGGAGTTTGAAGAGGATGAGCTGGCTGAAGCCGCTAGGGCCTTGAGTTGAGACGTCCGCGTGGGTGCGGAAGCGATCGCATATTTGCTCCGAGGCGGTGATCCAGCTTGTGCGACTTCCAGGTGCCAGGACCTTGGAGAAGGAATCAGCACGCATGACTCTTCCGTCGACATCGAGAGAGAGATATGATGGAACAAGAGTCTTTAGGAAATCTGCGTGGGTGGTGGGTGGTGGGACCTCGGGCGCATCGGGTCCAGTGTATGGCTGCATCTGTAGGAAATAGTATGGCTCGTCTTCGAAGATGTAGAGGTCGTGCTTGCGGGCCATGGCGTAGATTTCTCTCCTCCGGTCCAGGCTCTGTGTCGATCCCGTCGGGTTTTGGCCCGTTGGAACTGTGTAGATCAGGAAGGGTTTCCGGCTACCACGAGCACGCTCGTCCCAATTCGTCATCACTTCATCAAGAGAGGATGGCAGCATTCCATGTGAGTCCATGGCAACGGCGGCGCACCGTACACCCATCGGGACTGCCGTCTCGATTGCAGCCGGGAAAGAGTATTGCTCACTAATAATCCAATCGCCCGGTTCTGTGAACATGCGAAGGGCAAAGTCCCACGCACACGTTGAGCCTACGCTCATTGTGCAGTTCCAGTCCTGATGAAATTAGCACGATTCTGCGAGCAGCATTCGAAGTGGCCGACATACCTGGTATGGTGGATTATGAATAATTTCGGTGTGCTCCACCAGCCACCGCAGGAGTTGTGGAGCACCATGACCGTGGCCATAATTGCACGCTACTGAAATGTCGAAGAGGGATATGTCTTCGACCATGTCGTATTTCCCACACCGGATTGTGTCGCCATTGCTGAACGCCTCGTGTTCCGAGAAGTGGCCAACCTTGGGGACCTTGATGTCGAGTTGCTCAAACGGGAAGTACTCGCTGGAAGGCAGACCTCCGCCTAGCGAGATCAAACCGGGTGTCTTGAGAAAGGCCGCAGCATGCTTCAACGAGCTACACCCGCGAGAGGTAGTCTCGATTGACAAACGATCTAGACGGCCATCAGCATCTGTACTCGACAAGTCCCGCCGACGATCGACCAGCGCAGATTGAGCGGGAACCACTCACGATCCCATCGTCGAGCCAATGGTTTGTGAAGATGACTTGTACGGCCCTTGTAAGTCTCGCAATCGGCCGAGGCGGCCTCGCGAGCGATCAGTTTCCCGTATGCGGCTCGGCGCTTAGCGACGCCTTGAACAGTCAAAGGGTCCGGAAGGATGAAGCTTGAAACGCTGCTGGAGTCGGAGAAGTCGTCCGAAGAATCGGAGTAGATTGCTGCAGGAGGGACCATTGTTCCGACTAAAGCTGCCTGTCCTGCACTGGCACGGCGGCAAATGTCGTCTCCGTGGGGGTTTCAGGGGAGTAGTGTCGTGGCTGTCGCGCCTCCCGTCTTGAGAACAGCGTATCAATGTGAACGATAGCCGACGAGAGTGGGAGAGGAAGTGATGAAGCACCAATCAATGAGGCGAGTATCGATGCAATCCCACGCTTTGGAGGTGTTAGACGAGGATGGGATTGAGGGACGAGTGGGATGTAGCTTGGGGTGGTTCAAGTACTTGGGTTCTCCGGGAGACGCTATCGGAGGGGGGAAGAGAGAAGCGGTGTAGGGGGGGAAATATGTCGTGGAATAATGGCCTTGGTTGAGGACTCTCTCGACCGTCGCGAGATGGCTTTTGTCGAGGAACTTTGCCTACCTAGGTAATTTCCTTTCTCGTCCGGTTGCCCCGGGCGTTATCAGATGGAGGCCATCGGCAGCAGCTATAAAGGAGGGAGCACACGCACCTACCTCGTCAAATAAAGGACTGGCCGGTGCCGAAGCGCGGACACGTAGCAATATTCCCATCAATGGTGATGATGCGGATCACTCAAATGACGACGGTGATCACCGACGGTCGGGTGCTACTGCTGGGGATCAAGATTTGAGCTGGTCAAGACGCGGCGGTTGGGTCTAGAGGGAAGCGGCCGTATCTTTTTTGTTTCCTCGGGGCTAGCTTCCGGGGAGGAGGAGCAGCCACGACAACGAACACCTCCCGCGACGGGCGAATCGGATTTCAGCAGTCCTTGCGAAGGCCGTCCACTTGCTGCAGGGTAGGCTGTAGTGACATGCACCGATCTGCAGGACAAGGTGATGTGGTGGAAGAGTATCACAGTGGAGATGTGTGTAGGTGAATGGAATCGATTGCGTGGTGGTGTGCGAGCGAGCGAGGTGCGGGTGGGTACTGTGAGTTTTGGAGCTCCTCCAGGTGCTGCTGCTGTCGTTGTCTTGTGGTGAGTTGGCAATGGCAATGGCAGAGATGCCGAGAGCTGGGTTTTTCCTCCACTTGCTCCTCTTTCTCTAGTACCCGTCTCTAGCGAAAATCCGCCTCGGCCTCTCACAGACAGGCACAGCACCACGATTGATGAGGGAGGCCATGTATGCAGGCGTGTTAGTGTGAGATTCGCACACATGCCCATCCATTGAGTCCTCACCACCCTGTCCTATCGGGCATTTCCAAAGCGTTCCCAGGTTCCCTTCGGATTGATGATAGCCATGAGCACTGGCCGCCTGTAGCAGCAACGGCTGCGGCAGTGTATGCACCATGTCTAGACTACTCAACGTGACATGCAGGTCATGGCGACATAACCCAGTCATGACACGGCACCGTGCGTACAGTAGGATAGATACTACGTATAGAGTATGTATCCGCACATGTACTACTATTGTCCACCGTGAGTCTCTGGCGGCAGAATGTCTTCCGAGGTCGCGGTCGGACGATCGAGAACATCGGCCACGAAGTATGCTCCGATTGATCATTGGCTGCTGACGATGGCGTGCCGTACGGAGCTCGGTGCGACCAACATCGTGATGCTCATGTAGTATTGAGCGGAAGAGACAAATACACCGAATCCCGTGCTCTGACTGAGACCAGCCGGTGGTGTCCAGTATCACACTCTCCTGGTCGCTTTCCTTCTCCGTACAACGCATTTTCGTGAAGGGAAATCTCGGTGAGGGTCCAAGGAGGCGGGAAGGCTTTAGTATGATGATGTCCATGTTCCTGTGCGAACCTCGTACAACTATCGTACTCTCATCACAGTGTGGACAAGATACACGAAGTAGACGACATCCAAGGCACGGCAGACGATATGTGTCATGTTTATCATTGATTGTCTCTCCCGTCGATGCTGTTACGCAATTACAATGGTAATTTACAATCTGTATTACGTTTCTGAATTACATGATCACGACGGGGGATTTGCAGATGCGATCAATCGCGGATAAGGAGGAGGAGTAGTGGTGGTGGTTGATAAGACAATCCGTATGCTCTACATGAAACACGGAAGCTTTGTGCTTTCTCCCCGAAGACGTACCGCAATCTCGACGACATGATTCCCTACTACGTAGGTAGGTACCCCGGATTGTCGTAGGATTGTCGTCTCGCCGCCGATCTGCCAGAATTTTGACTTGCATTGTGCGAAGATCATCTCGGCAACGCCTTCTCCTATGAGATTCGCATTGCAACTCCCATACCACAACACACACAATCATTACCACTGGGATCTATCATACTTTCCACGTCCTGTCGAGGGCACGTCCTTGTGCCTGATCTGCTGAGGTCTTGCACATCTCAGTGGAACTCGAGTGGTCGAGACTGGTCCGCCGGTTCGACACCATGTTGCACGACGAAATGGACGATGTGTGCGAGTGACGACAGACAGACAGAGATCGAGAGGTGGCGGTGTTGAACCTGCGGCTGGGTAAATTACTGTATCATCGGGATGAAAAAGCCTGACATAACAGCCCCGGCTACGTACTTCTCCTCCATCACAGAGCTTCATGTGTGAATGAATGAATGCATGAATGAATGAATGAACGAACGGATTATTCCCACCTTTCGACAATGTTGGCACCCTCCACGTATGCAATATGACATGGCGCAAACACTGGACTTAGGAGTAGCTCGGATGGAGATGATCATGATCACTCATAATCATCATTGTCAGCATCCACACGATTTTTTTTCGAGGTGAAGTATAACCCGCTTCTAAGCTGGCGGCTGCAATTCACCTCGGCGCCCGGGCACACACGTATGTTACACCCGTCTTCGAATTTTTGCTTTCTTTGCACCCTCCTGAACGTCTATGTAGTGTAGTTGCTGCTGCTGCGGTGGAATGGCACCTTGAGAGGGCACGAGTTCGCAACACGTGCGTCTTTCATATGCAGCTGGCTCATCCAGCGCAGCAGAACCATCCCTGCCGACCGGCTCCACGCCATCGTCATCGTGCTCAAGCCTCAACCCTCAACCCTCAAGCTTGGTGGTGGTGGTGGTTGAGCTCCCTCGGGAAGACAATGCCAACGGCTGCCCGTTGACGGACTTACCGCGCGCGAGGCTCCCTCTGAAATACGACGCATGAATCATGGTGCGACTTCGGTGCTCACTTGGTCAGGAGAGTTGTTCCAGTGTCGCGCACGCAGCAACAGCAGCATCGATCTGTCACTCCACCCAGCAATGCCCTCCCTACCCGAATCATTGCGATTTCCTCCGGTGTGGCTTGCTCTGGCTTACTTTCGGCAGGCGGTAGTTCGGCCTGACTCGTACGAAGAAGCTTTTGCGCTCAAACAAATGACACATTGAACTCCGGTCGAGGATGATCTGTGAACACCCGTGGACACTTTGTGTATGCTGCTAGGGCGCGCTTTGCGGGGGAGCGCAAGCGTTCGCCCATTCGAGCGTGCATCATCACTGTCACCATCGTGCTAAAAAGCAGCTCGCAGGAGCTTGTGAAGCCCATGGCCTGCATGTACCGAGATGCTGAATCTGGAATTGGGTAAGGGCTCGAGGGCATCCGCTGGTGTAGAGAATCCTCTGCGACCACAGCTCTCACGGCGCCTGCCTCGGACGAGGTTCGGATCAAGTGGCACCTCCTCCTCCAATGCATTGACCCAACTCCCCGGCACAACTCGCAGTGCTCTCTCTATACATGAAACGCGCTCAATCAGAAAGCCTACCAGGGTCTTCCTCGAACTCGCTTGTAGCCGTTGACAGAAACCGTTGGACGCCCAACGTCTGTGCGGTGAAGATCTCGCTTGAAACAACGGCCAGTGACCTTCCATTTCATGACGGAAGATGCCGAGCAAGCAAGACCGTCGCCACCGCGGAGAACACTCGCAGAGTATCAGCTATCGAAAATTGAAAATTGAAATCAAGGGGCCCGAGAAGAGGTCGTCGCGAACAGATCGTGGGAATGGCATCGAGGGTCGTTGGGTAGTTGATTGGTATCTCAACACGGACCACATTCCGCGCTCCGCTATCGTGTACAGTATATTCGAAGGATCTAGCAAAGATATCACCGATTGCAAATCCCAAGCCACTTGCCGCCGGGTCCAGAACTCTCGCTATCATGAAACTCATCAATAGACGAACAAAAAGTGGTGGACAGTCCAATATCCTCCAACGGCTGCCAAAGGCACGACGGACTCAAAAACCTCAGCAAGCAGCGGCGGGCGGCGACCGCGCGGCGAAATAAATTTCACCAACTCTACGCCATGCCGCATTTCTCCAAGCACCAAATGAGCAGGTTGTTTCATCTCTCTCGCGCCCCGAGCGGGACTGCCGGTATCTGCCTCCGAAGAAAGCTACTAGCACATGCATGCATACTCTTGACATGCATGCGGGTTGATGACAAGAACAGCTCCAACTCGCCATCCGGGGACCCGATGTTCTCACGATCGGTAGCTCCAGGATGTCCCCATCGGTGAGGATTCGTATAGCAGGCCATCAAGGTGCTTCACTTTTTTCTTGGGGCCTTCCCACAGACCCCATATCGGTATCGAATTTCCGCCGACATCATCTTCCGGTGAGTATCAACATCGTATCTGATCATTAGATTCGGTATTGATTGGGGTTGATCATTACAAATCACCACTTCCGCACATGAGTCGCGTCTACCGCCATCATCGCTTCTCGGCCGCAAACCGCCGACACCGCGCCGACGAGAATCATTGGCGATCATCCGCTGACGGGCGCGGCAGGCCGGTCACTTTGTAGACAACATTTGACATTCGGTCCTCACCAGTCAATGCCAACGATAGACTCACGGACACCACGGCACTGATATTGATATTGTGAACAATGCTGCACGAGCGAAACTCTCCCTGTAGATTTACATGAGGGACAATTCCCAATCGGCCGGTCATCACTTTTCTCGAGAAAAACGCGCACTTCGCCGAAGAATAAACCACATGCACAAAATTCTAACCCATCCTTCTTACCGGAGCAGCCAAAAAAGTCGTTGAGTGTCCTCCATCGGGATTCTCGTTCTCGTGATGAAACCTGCATGCATGCGTGTGCTTTAGCAAAGTAGCTGCAGGGTGGCAATCGTGTTAGATCCGCATATCAACCAAACCGGTTGCATGACCGCCTCACCATAAAGTTTCCTGTTGTTTTCACATGTGAGATGTCGGCCGAGCTTGGTTGAGTCATTGAACGACGCTCGCAGGCAAGCCACTTGCCTTCCCTGCAAATGGCGATGCTCGATAATACTCGACTGTGTTCGCAAACGCCCAGCTAAACGATCGCGAAACCTCCCTCTCCTGGAAGCGAGCAGCGTCTCAAGTCATGAAGAAACAATTCCTCGGATCCCACAAACGACAATGACGATGCTAAACTCGATCGGAACGTTTCCGCCTGCACCCGCCTGAATCCTTTTTCTCTCTCCCATAACGCAGCTACTGTGCCTGGCTTCCTGCTCCCAGCAGACCGTACCCCGACACGAAGCCACTCCGAGAATTCCAATCTTCCTCAATTTGATAGTTTTCGATGAAACATCAATCGGCAGGGCCAGCTGGAACTTGATCCGACGCTTAACATTATCAGTAGGTGATGATTGTGATCTCACCTTTTTTTCTCTCCTCCTTCCCTTGGTTCCAGCTTTTGTTCTCCTCCAAGGCTCGCGATGGGAGAGAAACCGAAGAAACACGAAGCAAACGCAGAGGCAGAGAGAAAACTGGAACACAAAAACGCGGATCAAATGTGCATTCGCAATGGGGGTTGTTCTCTTCCCAAGTTTGATCTGGAGACAGATACACATATTCCATAAACCTTTCCTGGAGGGGTGGATGTTCACATTCCCTTTCCCTTGTAGGCCACTGTCATAGAAGACTTCTCCCTTCCGTCGTGTTCCTATGGTACCCGGACAGACTGGGTTCGTTGGGTGATCAGTCATTCCGTCGTCCCACACCGTCCGACGTTCGCACGAGGGTCGTCGTCGAGCAGCACATTCCAGTACATGCACATCTGTGAAGACGAGACTTTTCCGTTTCAGAACACGTCTTGATCACAACCAGGCCATCTATGTCTGTCTAGCGCCTCATGCCGTCCAGAAAGAGACGATGACAGGCTTCTGTAATGTGTGCATGAATCGACCCACTGCACGGAAGGAAGACAGAGGAAGAAGAAGGAGAACAGAGAAGAGGGAAAGACCCAACAAAGCATTTCGCCGTTAAGAACATAAGGTTGGTTTTTGCCATGGGTATCGTGCGACCATAAACGGGTTCATTTTGTCGCTTCACCGCGCGGGAAGGAAAAAGACAAAGCCAAAAGCAAGAAGCGGAAGAAGCAAGAAGAGCCAGAACCAGAAATCGGGAGGAGAGGAAGTTGAAACGAAACGCCCTCTCTTCCCCGCCTCCAATGGCATAAAAAAACCAACCTGACCAAGAGAGAACAAAACAAATGGAAAAAGAAGGGGAAAGGAGAAAGGTCGGAGAAATCCAGAACGAAGCGCGAATCCAGTTCCGCGAAAGGAATTGTACCTCAAACTCCCAAATCCGTCGTCAGGATCCCATCTCATCGTCCCATGATAAAAGATAACCGCGATCACGTATGGGGAATTCTCAAATCTCGTCGGGACATTCATACGCCAGATGGCCGTCCTTCTCACAGAGCGCACACCATTTATCCGCCTCGTCGTCCTTCTTCTTCTCCCCGTTCGCCTTGGCAGCATTGTGGGCCGCTCTTCCACCTTCCGCCTGATTCTCCTTGCCCGGGCTCAGAGAACGATGGCTGCTGGCAGGCACGAGAGGGTTGATGACGTTGGAAGCCGCGTCGTCCAGATCGCCGTCTTCGGTCGAAGTGTCGTGGTTGCCCTGGAAATGCGTGCAGTCGAAAGTGTCGTGTTCCTTGGACTCGCACATCTCGCAGAAGACGTCGGCGGCGGCGGGTTTGCTGCTGCCGCCGCCCGCCGCGGTGCTGCCGTCGGCGATGGTGGAGAGGTGGGCTTGGTTTTCTTGGGCGGCGCGGCGGGCGTGCTCGACGAAGGTGGCGCGGAAAGTGCTGGCGCGAGAACGGGCGCCGCCGCCGCCGCCGCTGTTGGAGAGGGTGGCGGTCATGTCGCTTTCGTTGCGGGAGTGGCCGTTGGTGACGGCGGTGTTTCGGCGGAGTTGCTCGAGTTCGTGTTCGAGGGTCTCCTTCTCTTTGTTGCTGTCGTCGAGGGCGGTTTGGAGGCGTTTGATCTCGTCGGATTCTTTGGTGAGGGTGGCTGTGGTCGTGCTGCTGTCGCCGGTCGACATGGAGTGGATGATGGCCTTCAGGCCACGGATCTCGTCGTCCTTTTGTTCGATCTCCTTCGATGCACCGATGCCGTTCGCCGCTGCCGACCGTTCTCGCTCGCGCTTGAGCTCTGACCTACATCGCTCGACTTCGCCGCGGAGGAATTCGACCTCCCCTCGAGCTTCTGCCTCGCCGCGCCGGGCGTCTTCGAGACCCTCCTCTAGCTCCTGCACAAACTCCTCCAATCCCTTGAGCTGACGCGCGACATCTTCGAAATCCTTCTTGCTGGAATTGAGATCTTCCAATTCCTGTATCCGCTCGCTCATTTGCTCGGCCTGGATCAAAAGGTCTCGCTTTTGCTCCTCGTAGACACGCTCGGTCTCAGTGCTTGCCATTTCCAACGAGTCGAGCGTGCTCCTGAAGTCTGCTCGGTGTGCGTCGAATTCAGATGTGAGCAAAGTGATCTTTTCATTCTTCTCCCGCAGCATTTGGCGGAGTTGCGCTGCATTTTGACCTTCTCCTTCCATCGAGAAAGAATATGCGCTGTTCGGCGTGGGTCCATCGGTCGGCAACAATCCGGATAGCTCTTTGACGCTGGCCTCCATGTCCGACAAACTCGCAGCCTGCTCAGCGAGTCGTCTGTCGCGTTCCGCCAGCTCGGTCTTGAGACGAAGGATTTCCGAATCAGATCCGCCAACGCTTCCGAGCCGAGACGACGGACGCCCGGGCTGGGCGAAGGACGGAGCGGACGCGATGCTGCCATTGCGACCGTTCGTGTTGGGCACGGGTGTCTTTTCCTCGTCGGCTTCTTGCCGGCTGCCCAACCGCGACCCCGTCCTCGAATACGGACGAGCGGATTGACCATGTGATGTCGATGGGCGACTGTTGGTAGACGCTCGGAACGTGCTCTTGTTCGGGCTGCTCACTGGAGGTGCGGGTCGGGCGCCTCGTGTACTTGAGGATAAGGTGCGCGCGGGCGTAGGCGCCAGGACAGGAGCTTGCCTCCGCAAGGGCGATTCGGGACGCGGAAGGGAAGGTCGACTGGCTTTGAAGGTTGGGCTGCTCGGTCGCACTCCTGGACCGACTGACTGCGAGAACTTCAGGGGCATCCCAGGGATCGGTGGTGTATTTCTAGCGTCGCCTTTGGAGCGATGTGAAGGCGTGCCAGGCGTGGCGGGAAAGTTGTCGAGCGAGAGCGCCGGCGAGTCTCGCCGCTCAGCTCGGTGGACGGGCAGAAAAATGCCAGCTCCGGGTATTGAAGTCGTGAAGTAGTGTACGCTGTAGAAAATCGTCGATCGTCAGTACTGAGTCCGTGAAGCCAACCGTGACGGGCGTGCGGTGCGGCTCCGATGAAGAGCACGTCCACCAGCATGCGCATCTCACCACTCACCCATCCACGTCTCCGTCATTCTTGCCTCGAACTGCAAACTCCTTTTCAAGTTCGACACCGGCGAATCTCCCAGTCTTGCCTCTGACGTTGCCGATAAACTTGACAGTTCCATACATGTCACCTGGCACATTCACCAAATCGCCCACCTCCAAGTCGGCATCCATTTTGCTGGTCATCGGTGTCTTGGGATCTGAGTAGCCACCGGTCAAGACATTCAAGCTGGCCTTGCGATTGATCGAGGTGCTCGCGCTGAGTGAGGCGTTCAAATTCGGCGAGGATGCTGTATTGGTGTTGCCAAAGCTAGGCCGCTGTAGGCCGCTGCGCGGTTGCCGGGGTGTCTGCAGGGCCATTTTGTGCTAGTCGGGAGGGCGGGAGTTGTGTGTAGCAAGCACTTTTGGATGTGTGCAGCGGGATCTGCCTCTCTGCTCGTGATCTTGTGTTTGGTGGTCGGTGATGCAGTTGGTGTGAAATGCGATTCCGCGGATGGCAACGAAGGATGACAATCCGCCCGCGCGAGAAAGCCGGAATGTTGGGCTCGGTGAGTAGGCAGGTAGGCAGCCTCCGATTACATCAGCTCGCGAGGCCAGGTCTCCAGGACAAGCAGGCTGTCGAGTTCTGCCAATTTCCAGCTTCTGTACGCACCAGGAGTCGAAGACGCGAGAGAAAAGAGATGATGGAGGCTCTAGTGGGAACGGGTCCGCAGATTTGGAGAGATTAACAGTCACTATGGACGGACGGGCATGAAGGAACGAACACGAAAGCCTCAATCAAGGATGACGGAATCGGAAGGCCGTCCGTGAACCGTTGGCGAAAAATCATCTGTCCCTTTATTATTACCGAACAAACGTTTCCACTCCTCCTCCTCCGCCCGCCATCTTTTTGTACGTATACATTAATACAGTTTGGTACGGGCAACGTCTAGATCGAGGAACCGATTTATATCGTGCCCGATAGTGAACATGCTACACTCGTCCGAGGAGGCTTGTGAGGGTCCGATTCGCACGCAGACCAGGGTGATGACTAGAGATATTTCCGGTGGTTTAATATATTATATATTATTATGTACAGTACAGTACTTATCGTTGTTGTTGTTTTGGCGGACGAGATGACAATAATAAACAAATGAGACGATCGCGCGTTCCAATCAGAGGGCGCATGACTAGCGAACGCGAGGAAAGGGGGGGTCATTCCGTCTGGTTCATTCCGCCTGGTGGGGACTGAACTGACTGACTACTCGTGCACCACCTGGGAACTCCCGTGATTGGTATGGGTACGATGGCATATGGTGAACGAGTCGAGGGACTTCATTGCTGCCCAACCACGACACTCGTCTGGCTCTTGACCGGAAACGGATGCGAATGGGTATTTCCATCAGTGACAAAAGACCTCATATGTATGCTGTATGCAGTAGAGTGCCGGATATCAACAGGGAGCATGCCCACCTGCAGGGAGGTATCTACCGAGCAGTAAAATCCTCATCAATGTGTGTTCCGGTCTACTGGGAAATTCTCCGTCACCCTTGTTCGTGCAGATCTTTGCATGCCCTGAATGGTGTGAATAGACCCTCCCTACCTCGAGGATCACGTGAAAGGGTGATAGTTGACTGTGGTAATTGACTGTGATAATTGATGACAGTACCTAGCGACGAGTGACTGTAGAAGCTGGGATTCGTTTAGCCACCTGTCTGTGCACCCGAGTTTTGTACAGTACCTAGGTAGACTGACCATATATATCAACTGTCTGCTGTGTTGTGTTGTGTTGTGTTGTCCCTCGATTGGAAAGAATGAACGGGACAAGTGACCACCACCCAACCCAAACCCTAATGACCACATTAGTCCGGGCGTAGAACGGGTCTCCTCACAGACGATTGTCTACTTTGATCGCATGAGCTTGCGGCTGGAGAGTTCCTGCCTCTGAGTCTTCTTGTTCTAGGTATGCTATGTCGAGGCTCGCCGTCGTTTGCAAGGCCACCTGGGTAGGCAATGTTGTCCGAGCCGAGGTCCCCGTGTGTGTTGTGTCTGGGTTCTCGCCTGGGATCTCGAACAAATCAGCACACGGAGATCCGCCTCCAAATGACCCGTACAGTTCGTACAACTTCGAGGACAAGTTTGTCGAGCAATCCTCCCCGATGTGTCCCTTCCGAACCGCCGACATGAAGACAAAGCCAAGTCTGTGAACCCTCAACAAGGAATCAAGTGGCTCACTTCGATCATCGACAGCCATGCTCTGGATGGAGTGGTGATGCTAATACGTGACAGAGATGTTCTCAAGGCGCCAGGTGACTTGCAGTAAATGTGCTCGACCGCGTACAATGCCTATCTAGGTAGTAGATTGTGCTGTACCTGTTGACGTAAGATGACCCGAAGTACGAGGATCGGGTGTCAATGAGTGCAAGCATCACATGATGAGTGTCACACAAGAACGAAACCGGGTTTTCACAAGTAACAAGCTCCAAGATTGTGGGCAAGTGACGACTCGAAGGCTTTCGACAAGCATCGTCAGTTCTCTCGTAGTCATGAATCCAACGTGAGCACAGTCGAGCAACAACCCCACACGCGTCTTGTATATCAATCACAACATCACGACGACCATGTCATCCAAGCCGCCCACGAAGCCGCCCACCAAACCTCTCCCTTCCGCCAAACCCCGACCAACAACTCAACCACCACCTCGTCGACCGGCAACAGCATCCACAGCACGAACCACGCCATCAACGAAACCGACTTCTACTCCTCCCGCCAGGCCCCTGCCCAGACCCTCCACCCACAAGCCCATCCCCAAAAAGTCAACACCAACCCAACCTCCATCATCGTCGACCTCCGCAAAGCGAGGGAACTGGATCAGTCAGATCGTCCAAAACAGCATCGCCAGCGTTGGCAACACCGCGGGAGGTTTCGTGACGGACATCGGCGATGGCGTGAACCGAGCAGGACGGGGCGTGGGGGATTCGTAAGTTCTCCTTCTGTTTCTTCTCGTTTTCCGTCCTTCCTCCCCCATCTGAACAGGCCCCCAAAAAACCACCCTCCCTATTCCTTCTCCACCGACTTACGATAATGAATGAGCGATCGACAGGATCGCCGATACGACCCGCTCCTGGGGCCACAGAACCGCCGACTACGGGAACGCCATCAAAGACAGCGTCGGAGTCGGCGGGCCACGAGTCCCCACGGGAGCCAATCCTCTCGGCATCCCGGCGTCGACGAAGGCTGTCTCCAAGGGAGGGGCATCGACGGCGTCAGCAGTCCGCGGAGCTGGGACCGCGACTGGAGGGAATGTTGAAGGGAGGAAAAGTGAGACGGCGGCGAATCCATTGGGGTTGTGAATTGAAGTGAAAACATGTATGCCTGTGTGTGTGAGAGGGAGAGAGAATGTGGCCGAAACGAAGACGGAATGGTTCAGGGAGGAAGGGAGGGAGCAGCGTTTCTTTTCTTATTCTCGATGCTTTCACGAAATTGCGTCTATTCCATTGCAATTGAATTGAGAATCGAAAACGTGGTCTGCATATTGTGTTCATACATCTCTTTTCCCATTCATCGCGCGCGGGCAGCAATTCATTTCGTGCCAATGTCCCCATCCATGTGTTCTCTCGTCCTCCACCCTCTCCTCTCACGCCATCTTGCATTAAGGGTCCCCGAAATCTCTCTTCTTCTTCTTCTTCTTCCATCCCTTCCTCCGTCCCCTCACATACGAGTACCGTAGCAGAAGATGAAACTTCTGCCCAACAGAAAAAAGAAAGAAAAAGAAATGCTAAAAGGCCGCTGTAAAACAAAATTGCGCCCATCAATGTGGCGGATTGCCCATGTCATCATGTCCGCCGCCAAGAACGCCCCGCTGAAGCGCGAAAAGAAAAAAGAACGAACCCACAAGGCAAAAAGCCAACAAAAAAAATAGAAAGAAGATATCACCGGAAAAGCCGGGGCCGGTTTCCCCTCCAGAACAGTTCCTCCAGCAACACGATGCCTCGAAGGAGGGGGATCAACTGCTGATCGAGATGCTATCGAGCGGGATGATGCCCCCGCCAGACGGCAGATCCACAATGAGGGAATCATCGTCGCTCTCATACTCATCCTCCTCATCCTCGTCCTCGTCCTCATCCTCGTCGTCGTCGTCCTCATCCGTGGGCATTCCGTGAGGGAGTTGCCAGGTGTTGTATTCGCCCTGTAACCACTTCTTGCTCTGCGGCAACTGGTAGGGGTCGAAGGGGAAATAAGCTTCGAGCTGATGATGGGCGTCGCCGGATTTGCTGTCCAGGGCCGTACCGCGGCGGCCGAGATCCCATTCGCCCATGTCCGGAAAACTGGTCATTCGGCCCAGACGGATCCGTTTGTTCCGCTCGATGATGGAGAAGATGTAGAGGAAGCGGAGGTGATTTGCGATCTTGGCGAATTCGCCGACGATGGCCGGGGAGCAGACTTTGAGGGGGTTGAGGGAAGAGTGGATGTTGCGGGTGAGAGTTTCTTTGATGCCCGGGAGCCAGGTTAGGTCACGGTTGTCGGCGAGGATGTCTTCGGCGGTGAGATGCGCGTCTCCGAGACGGGCGGTGGCGTCGGGGTCGATGACGACGAGGTCCCGCCATCGGAAGCAGAAGACGTAGAGGAGCGTTTGCGTGACGGTGTAGTAGAGGTTGTAGCGTTGCCGATCGGGACCCATGCAGCTGGGCTCGTACCGCCGGCGCATCTCGTCGAGGGACACGCACAGCTCGCTGAACACTTCTCGGATCATGTCACCACCCACGTGTGAGGCCCTGGCCAGGAAACTTCCCAGATACGCGCAGGCCGTGAGGCGATGGGAATGCAGGCTGTTGCCGAAGATGATTCTGATACACTCCTGGATGAAGTAGGCGGCGTATTCCGGCGACTGCTGAGCGAAGTGGAAGACCAGAAACTGTGCATGCCTCGAACGATTGATCATGATGAGACTGGTAAAGTGCGAAAGAAGCTCTTGGAATTCGAGATTATCCTCCGGCGCGGCTGTTGCATCGAATTCGCGAGTATAGTGTTCGAAAAGCATTTCAAGCGAGCCATCAAGTTTCGTGACTTGTAATCGTAGCTGTTTGAGCCGTCGTTGGTCCTCTGTTGAGGTTGCTTCCGACTCTGACATGGAGTCCAGATCACTGTCCGATTCGATGTCGCTGTGCAGGGCATCTTTAGACATGGGCTTCTGCAATAATTGATCCTCGCTTTCCTCATCTAGTTCGTCAATGTCCTTTTGTATTTGAACATCGATCGAAACACTGCGCTGCACAATGAACGCCAGCACCTCGGAACGGACCTCTGGGACTTCCTGGGCCAGTTGCAAGACGTGTCGCTGATATTGCAGATGTGCTCGCGAAGTGGCTGTGTCATTCGGAGAGTTGTCCCGGATCGCCACGCATAACAATGTACCGGCTAGTGGAATCCTCTTGATTACTAGGTGGATCGCGGCATGAAGTCGGTCGAACATGACGCTCCGAGAGACGACATCATGCCCAGGGAGGCGCCCGGCAGAAGCGGGTAATCGCTCGAAATGTGCAACCAAACGATCCAAGATTTCTTCGGTATATTTGACATGCACGGTGGCCAGGACCAGGAGGAAGTGTGTGTAGGCGCCGGCGAACTCGTCGTCTCGACCGAGCCAGGAAAGATTTAGGATGACATCGACCAATCGCTTGCACTCTCCGAGGAGGCTGACGCGAGCCTCGAGGGCGCGAAGGTATTTGAGCAGGAGAGCAGAATTCGGTGCATCCGGCGAGAGCACGTTTTGTCCCAAGAGTTGCAGCAGGCGTAGGTAATGTGAATCGTCGGCGGGAGTGGTGGGTGTGAGATGACCTCTGATGGCGACACGGACCTCCTCTTTGACCAAATCGACGCTCTTCTCATTCCAGTCGTCCATGATTCGTATGTGCACGTTGTCGTCAAAGGCCACTTTGAGTTTCTTCGTCGGCGAAGGCGGCGGTAGGGAAGAGTCCATGTCGAGATATGAGCTGTTGCGCTTCACGCTGGACGGACGTTTGGTCATGGGCGTAGGTGGCGGAGGCATCGCTCGGATAAGGGAGACCATGATGTCGTCGGCGGGGTCATGAGTCCGAAGAGCTTCACGGTGAGTCACTTTTCAAGACTTCTATATGGCGGGCTGATGTTCATGCCTCAAAGCAAAGCGGACAATAATAACCGATATTCAATCCACATGGGATGGATGTCTCCGTTCGAAAAACGGGCACACGAGCAACGAAAATCCGGCACCGTGCCTAAGGTAGAGAGAGAAAAAATAAGACGGCGCCAGCAGCGGCCGATGCCGTGCGCAGGCAAAGGTCGTGTGCATTGGGCTGGATTTGCATTATTGTCTTCAGCCTCCAGGCACGTGATTCTTGTGCTGACTGATCCATCGGCACGTGTTGACCGCGCGATCTGCAGCAACACTGACGTCAAATCAGAGCTGTCCACATGCAATCGTTGGGACACTGGCTCGATGAATATTCACTTGAGAAGCAGAAAAATACCGAGATAGCTACACGTAATGCCCAACCCTTAAGACTGGTATAGCGTTCCTTCTATGAGTTTTGCTGCGGTCTGTGGGACTCCATGTAAATCGAATCCTGTGAAATAGATTGTGAGCATTCCATCGGAAAGGCGACCGGGAGAGAGCTTGCCTATCGATAAGAGAAACCCTGCATGTGGATCTGCTCACGATCTGGCGAAGCTGTAGGAGGATCAGTCCGACACCGAGGGACAATCAAAAACAATCACACGAGGAGCAAGAAAGTGGACACTTCGATCGAGGCATGCGTATGTTCGTTTGCATGTTGGCATCTGAATGGATATGTTATGGCACACTCGACTGTGCTGCTTACCTCCGTCGGGGTGCATTCCAAGCTCTGACAGTCGTCGTGCTTGTCAGCCGCCCTGGAGAGCTGCTCGTGATCTCTCTCAACTGGACCAACTCTGTGGAGGAGGATTAGCATTCCGCAGGACACTCGCGATTGCGATGAATGCTGTAGGTTGTAACCCGGGTCGTGTTTTCAGCCATCAGTCGCAGGTGGTAATCCAACCTGTTGTGTGATCATTCGTTCTCCGGTGAAAGTGGGAGATTTCGGAAGTACTGTAAGATGTGGGCGAGGAAGAGGGGCGCAGAGGACGCACAGTCCAGCGTTGTGATCGCTGCCCGAAAGCACACGGCCAGCTCGACGAGCTGTTGCAGGTATCGCCTATATCTCGATGGTGACCATGCCACGATGTCTCTTTCTCTTATCAATGCTGCTGAGTTAGCCCCACTGGAGAGTACGTAGGTTGGTGTTATTCCATATGCCTGAGTACGTGATCTATATGTTGCGATGTGACAGTAGACATCAATCATTTGCTGATCGGAAGGTCAAGCAAGGTCGATCTCGGCAGCCGGGGCTGCACCTGGTGGGAACAAGTTTCGGCTCGATACATTCCAGCCTGTAGCTATCCATGGATATTCGGAAGCCTGGTCGCATGGGCGGTGTCAGCCAAGGGCCCTCGAGCCAATAATTAAGTACCCATCATCATCATCTGTACCGAGTTGCCGTGCGATGTTCGAGAGTGCACTGCCCATTTCAGTGTAATCGTCATGTCGTTCATCACGATGTACTGTCGCCTGTGGCAGCACATAGTGGGAGCTGTGGAATTATCTGCCTCTTCATATCTAAATAACAATCTGCGGTACTCGTATGGTATAAAGCTATGTATGCGCCCTTACTTTGCTGGACAAACCTCCGCCTGTAAGCCAGCCCAAGGCAAGATCCGTAGTGCACCAAGCGACCGACAGTTAGAGAGCTCCGTCGCCGATAAAACACTCGGGACCAGTGAGGAATGATGATGATGGTGATGGCCCTGGAGTTACTTGGTATCTGCACCGCCTATAGCTTGGGCACGCTGCCACTGCTGAGATATGGCGAGCGAGGGAGCGAGTGACCAGACGGATTGCTCATGTGCCTCCAGAGTTGTGTGCTGTACTGTAGTATGATCATAGTATCTAGTTAGGTAGACTAAAGACAGACTGGAGTGACCGTCTTCCTCTGACCGCTTTCCCTCTGCCTATCCATGGATACCTACCTATCTCTTCTGTCTTCCTCATCCCACTCGCGGTCACACACACACACACACACCTGGGCACCTATATGTATGTGCACAGACAGTATAACACACACACCCAATCGCTCTCGAGGCTTATCGCCCAACATCGTGACCAGCAGCAGCAGCAGCAGCGACGAGTGACGCTGGTCGATACCTCCACCACTACCACCACCACCACTGCTGCCACCTCCACCACAGAATACCATTCCATACGTACTTTTATGCCCATCCTCCTCCTGCCTCCTTCTCTCATGTGATTACAACGGTCGCCTCATCAACACGACAGAGTCCCTGTTCAGTACCTGCGTATGGTGCCACACTCCATCCCGTCACATCATCACGAATCGTGGCCCGCTCAATTCATCACAGTCCCAGCGACAGAACTATAGCCGCCCATTAGCAACACCACCACCACCAACCGTCGTGCGTCCATCATTGTTGCCCGAGAGTGGGTGACGACCACGCGACGCACAAACTTGCCGAGCTGCACTCCCGTCTCCTCCTCCCGTCGTCTGCTACTATAGTAAGCTTCCATCAGTGCTGGGCTATTATATCAGAGGGCAGACCGACGCTCTTGCACCCTCTGCTACCCAACGTCCTCCCTCCTCCTACTGTTCTTCACTCTTATCGTCTCGGCGCCACCTCCCAGCTCTCTCCCATCAGCGCAATTACACACCCAGAACGTGAAGATCCCATCTCCAGTCAACGTGCGCATACCTCAAAACCGTGATTGTCTCTCCTGTGCTTGAAACCCTGCTCTGACAGCAACGCTCAGCCTGCAAAACCGGCAAGTATTGGCGAACGGTCGCTGGTTCGAGCTCCTCTGACTCTCTTCAGGCCGTCGCTGAACCGAGACCTCAGAGTGCTGCCCGCGCTGCAGCCCGCTATTCATCATGGCTGTCTGCCGGGTAGCGGTGCAAGAGGAGCGTCGATTTCCACTGTTCGACCTGCCACGAGAGCTTCGCGATTGGGTCTTTGACTATGTCATCTCCGATCCCTGGCTGGTGCCTGCCAACGCGGCGGCAGCGACGAGCGAGATTGACGTCCAGACGATTCACTTTGGAATCGAGCGACCACGACTCACGAACATGTGTTTGGTGAGCAAGCAGTTCCAGTATGAATATCTCCAACGTGTCGATAGGCAGACCACCATTATCATGCTTGACCACAAGGACTTTCAATTCGCCGACTATCACCCAAACGGGACCCGATTTCAACGTATAGCTACAACGGCTCGACACCTCGAGATCCGCATGTTTGCAACCTGTGCGAACATGTGCGGTGACATGGCCGATGAGTGTGACATTCTTCGACTAGAGCAGTTCTTGTCGGAAAGCCTACCGCGCTTCAATGCTTTGCAAACAGTAGTCGTTCGGATGGGCATCTGGTCGAGCGAACAGGCTATGACCTTGGAGTGGCCAGCATCGGAGCACAGTAAGAATCTGCAGGAGTTTCTCGAGAAGGCTAAGATCACCGCTCTGGCGAAGCTCTCAAGGATAGAGGTATACAACAGTGAGCGGGAATGGCAGGACTTTGAGACGGCGTTCTGCTCCAAGAGGCTCTCTGCAACGTGGACGCTGCGAGGTGGATGGGAGCCGATCATCAGACCAAAGAAGAAGAGGGAATCAGAGAAGCCATCACTGGATCAAGCGGACCAGCAAGCGGCCCAGGTAGACGCTCAAGCGACAGTCACCACTGCCTCCACGGTCTCTCCGATCGCAGATACGCACGGGACTGGACAGCATTTGATTACAAGCTCACACGTAGACACTCCTTCAGTTCCAACTCCAAATATGACTATGTTTAACGCCTCCGTGGCGACTGCTGATCGTCTACCATCCATGCTCACAGATTTCTCCAACATGACACAAAGCTCCTCCGTAACGAACGCCGCCGCAGTCGACGATGAAATGACTGTGGCTTCGATCCTCGCAGAGACTTCCATGATGACAAGTGCCACCACTCAGACAATATCTACGAATTCTGCTCCGTCAAGTGTGGTGGAAGCGGTACCTTCGCCCTTTCCATTTACTCTCTCGAACTCAGAACTGTACACAGAATACGAGTTCTCTCCATCAGACTTGGCCTGGGTCGATCTGAGAATGAACACAATAAGCGCGGAAACCGAAGAGGACACGGAATCCTCATCAACGCTGTCCAGTCCACCAGCCACACCCAGCTCTTCAGAAGACACCCCTAATTCACCGATCACACCCATGACGGAGCTCTCTTCACCCGACCTGGAGATGCGAACTTCGATTTCAATCGGTGGACCTCTGGCGAAGTCTGCTCCGGATTTCTCCGGCTGGACAGAAGATCCGGGAGATGCCATCGCACAGCAGCTAGGCCTGACACAGGATCTAGCGAGTACTTCAAATATATCTGAGAAGGGTCCGAAAGTCTCATAGACTTGGCTTCTGTCCTGGAGGAGTTGGTACGATTTGCTCGCCTTGATTGCTGGCTCCCCATGTGAACCTGATATGCATGTTCCGGGACGAGAATCAAGCTGGTCTTATCCTTCGATCTCTCTACTCAAGGATGACCCTCTCCTGAAACCTCACTCAGACCGTGAAAACACCTCAAGAGCTACACTGACTTCAGCCGAGGGTCGATCATACCAATGCTGCATAAATAGGAGCGAGAAAGGACGAGAGAGACATGAAAGAACCGAAGAGATCGATTTTAACAATACATTCTACGAACGAGGCTTAATTGAATCGAGAGGATCATCATGATACGACTCCGATTCACTCCACATATCATACCATGATCTTTTTATTCCTCGCTATACTGGGTTCGTGAGAAGACCTCGAACTTGCAGACCGAGTCATCTCCTTCCAAAGAAAACCCCGAGGTGACGGATTTCCCACATTGTCATGACGTGCTACCTCTGGACTTCAGCCACACCGCGTCTCGGCCCTTCTCCCCTCAGCGACCCGATCACTTACTTGTCTGGCACAACGATGACACACCGCTGAAAGCTCAAACGATTCGCGAGAGAACGAATACCCGAATGTCCGAATGCTCGAAAGAGAGAGGAAAGGAGGGGAGAAAAGGAGGCAGGCCACACGGCCGATTGCATCGCATTGATTGTTTGCTAGCTGGGCTGGTTTTTTTTTTCCAAACGTGATTGATTGAACAGGAGTTTTCCTTTTCCTTTTTCCCTCTACCCCCTTCCCCTCTGCTTTCTTCTTTTCTCCTGTGCCCGACGATGAAGAACGATGGAGGGATGATGGATAATGATGATGAACTCTAATGGAGTGGAAACCCTTTCTTTTCCTTTCTTTTTTCTCTTTTCCCCTTGGAGGTTTTTGTCCCTTGGTTTCGTGTTGTTTGGTGGCGAGAAGCATTCATCCGCGCAGGCATGATTTCTTAGTACATCCATACCACGGTCATGGTGGCTGATGGTCTCGACGCGATTGCACAAGGAATGGAAGAAACCCTACCAAGTCAATTCAATTCAATTCGAACTTTTCTTTCCCCTTCGATGTCGATGATGGGAACAAGGCCTCTGTCTCGGACGATAACGATGATGATGATGATGCAGTACTTTCGTTCCAGGGGGAACTATTCGGTAGGATTTTGCGCCTTCCCTGCGCGGATAAGAGGGAGGACAGGGAGAAGGCTTCCTTTTTCCTTCTTTTTCCCCCTCTTGTTCTTCATGTTCCTCTTCCTCTTCTTTCTCTTCGACGAAGATCATGGGGAAGAGCGCTTCCAGTTTTGTTTATCGACTGTTCGTCAACGGGCACAGCTCTCTTCGGGGAATGATGATGACATTGTTCCTTCGACCACGGCCGTCAATCTCAACGCGCTCTTCTCTGTCCGGAAATTGAAACATCGCATTTCCCAGAGCCCGTTGGTACACATGTTTCTCGAGCGAAATTCCGGAATCTATCGCATTTATTAATATATGTACAAGAATCATCATCGTAGTAAGAGAACAGCAATTTTCTCTTCAAGCGTTGTTGCTTGCTGGTGGGACAGAGAAAAGAAAGAAAGGTCGCCGACCTCTTCATCCATTTATCCATCCATTGCTCTCGAGAGCAAACGGGGTCTTCCATCTGCTCTCTCCGCTCGGCCAAACCAGCAAGCAAGCGAACAAAAAGCCTCCCCCACCCTCGTCATGCACCGATATTTACCAGCGCATCTCCCTCTTTCTCCGGGACACGAAACTTCACGCCTCATGCTCCTTCCTCCTCCTCAGACTGCCGATCCTCCTCTTGAGGCTCTCGCCGGCCGCACGCAGACTCCCCGTGCGCCGCACGGCGTCCGAATTCGAGTTGGGACTGCGCGGCGGGGAGCCGGAGCTGTGGAGCGCAGCATACGCGGCTTCCCCCCCAGCGATTTCGACCGGGTCGCGGGCGTCGAGGGTGCCGGCGCGCGAGGCGCGGTTGTAGTCCCGCGAGATTTGGGCGTGGTCTTGCAGTTCGATGCCAGAGTCGGTGAGCCGGTGGGTCTTCAGGGCGCGGTCCAGGCTGAAGGTGGGTTCGGAGCGGCCTTTGAGATCTTCCGGGTGGTAGTCCTGTGTGGGGCATCTCGTGTCAGTAGAGTTGATGAAGATCTATAGTGCTCTCGGTGTTGTTCCCCCTTTTCTTTTTCCGGTGTAGGGGATTTCCATATTTACCTTATCTGCCCAACGTTTGTATCCCGGTCCGTCGCCGCCGTTCTCCCGGAGGAGGTCGGCGCCCTCCTCATATTCGTAGGTCCGTCCGAAACGGTCTGGTACGCCGGGTGGGACGATCGCTACCCCGTCCAGCGGCATGTGTCTCTCCACCGCGTCTTTGATGTTCTCTGCAGGCGTCGCCTTGAGTGCTTCCGCGTTGGTCGTCTCCAGAGCAGCCACGGGCGAGCTCTCGAAACTGGTGTTCCTCGCCAGCAGTGCGGCGTCGTAGGGGCCTTCATGGTGGTATGCCCTGCCTCCGATGGCAGGATCCAGACGATCGATGATGTCGGCTCCCGGGATGTGGCGCTTCTTGAGGTGAGGGGCGCGATGGGCACGTTGGCTGTCGCGGCGGATGATGTCGAGGGGTTTGTGGCTGTCGTCGCCCGGGTAGCGCGCGCTCAGGGAGCTCGTGCGTCGGTGGTGGCCTTTGGGAGGACTGGTGGGAGAGGTTGCGCCCGCACGGTAAGCTGGAGAGCCGTGTCCCGTGGTTCCTGCCCGTCGTCGCGGGGTCGAGGGGATGTCTTGCCCATCTGACAACCGACCACGCGCACCTTCCTCTGGGATGACTTGATCTAGAATCGATTCGTCGTCTGCATGAGAAGCACCGTCGCGGAAGGGATTGTTGGAGCCCAATGAGTTGCGGGATGCAGAAACGCGGCTCGGCGACCTGAGCGAGGTGGTGGTAGCAGTGGGGGACTTTTTGTCGAAAGTGTTGCCGAGATGTGAGCCCAGGCCAGTTTCCTGCGAGGGTTCTGGAGCGTTCAATGGGTCGAGCAGATAGACTGCCGCCTGCGATGACGACACGGCTTTGTCAGCAATTTGGCCGGCGAATTCGGGGTTTTCCTGCTGCATTTTTCGCGACATACCGATTTCGAAGTCGCCATGATGATGACGATGATGTGTGTGTGTGTGTGCCTGCAGCGGGAGTTGCAGCAGTAGTCGGAAGGAAGTGAATCACTCGTTGTGATCAGGTAGCATGCGAGTTTGTAGACGGGATGGCGAATGGGCGGCGGTGATATGGTATGAGCTACGCCTGAAGCTCAAAAGACGCGAGACGGTGAGCGGATGCACATATGTGGTCGGTGGAGAGAGATGGACGAGGCAGGTCGAATGCAGACGAGGTCACCTGTACTTGAGTCCCGTCACGGGACAAGGAAAGAGAGAAAAGGGCCCGGGAGCCAGGGAAAAGACGCGCGTGTATTGTGGATCTGCAGCTACGTAATGTACGTAATGTACCTAGTGAAGGAAGGCCAAGGTCATAAATTCAATTCATAGTAACGATAATGAGAATCCTCTCCGTACAGTTGTGAATGGTGGTGACTGCCTGCCCGGCGGACGTGGTGGTTGGAGGTGGATGCATGTGAGGAAGCGACCACCACCACCACACTCCAGCAGCAGCCCATACTTCTTACACACTGGCATTGGCACCTGACAGCAACGAACCAGGCTCGCCCAGAAACTACTGCAGTCCCTCCTCCCTTCTCCCATATACTGTGATCTACATGCATACCCACGATACCTACCTACCTAAGTAGTAGATATTTGATGAAGACAGATGCTCCTTACACACACCCGAGTAACGAACGTCCTCCATATTCATGGTGCAGAGCCAGCGCAGGACAGCTCCCAGGCCAGGATGGGTGGATCATGAGCAAAACATGCGATAAGCGAGAATCTCATCACATGGGGGCTGGCTGGCTGGCTACTGTATGATGAGAGGGAACATGTACATCCGCTCGGGCGGCGACGACTACTGCACCGACATCAATCACCGCATCAGGCGGGTGCAATGGCATGATGATTCCCCATTCCAGGCACATTTCTCTCGGTACACTCAGCACACGCGACAGGTCTGGACTTGATGTCTCTCCATATCGCTTCCAAGCTTGTGATGTGATGCTGGACATTCTCCGATCACGGCCCATTTCCCCGATGGAGCTCGGCGGACGGACCGTTGGATAATTCAGCACCTCGCGATCGGGGGGAGGGAAAAATCAATCCCAGGCTGCACACACTGACACACACACTCGCTACCGGGCGGGAGATCTTTTCGAACCATCCATCGTGCCAAAGTCCCACGCGTACCTACCTACCTAGTTACTGTAAAAAGCACAAATCTGTATGTCTCACCTCCGGGCTGTCTGGGTGGCTACATAGGAAGAGACTTTTCCTCCACTCCACCAGTTCGCCAGGAATATTTGTATTTTATGCACCACACCACGATCATGCAGGTATCATTCCATGTATCCTTACATAAATTCATAATCCCCCATTCCTCAGACTGGTCGTCTGCGTCGCTGCGTAGCGGGATGTATGCACATCCACGCGTCCAGCCCTCACGTCGACGACTTCCCTCTCCCGGGAGAGAGGACCAACGAATGACGACGACGGCGACGTTGACGGAGAGCGTGCGCGGCCGGGCGGAGAGAACCGTTGGCGTGCAGGATTTCGATGTGGATGACGATGTTTGCTGAGCCCGGCATTCCGCCAACCGACAGGACCCTGGCTCTGCCTGCTGCTGCTGGCTCTGGCTGGCTTGGGTTGTCTTTCAAGGGTCCGGCCACGGTCCATCATGTCATTTAATTCCGACGTCATCTCATCGAAGCGGATTCATGATGCAACAGCAACGGGGAGGACAGAATATCCAATCCCGGAGGATACCAAACGCGAATGTAGAAATATACCTAGGTATGTTCCGTTCGGGAGAGGGTCTGAATCGGAACATGGCGTACAAGGTTGATCACTCCTGCAGGTACAGCCCCGGCAGACTCATGCCATACAGTAGTTTGCATCAGTACACAGCAACGAACTGCTGATCAGGAACGAAATGATCAAAGTGCGGCTCAACAGATACATTTCGTTCTGCGAGCACCACCCTGGTATGAACTGGTGGCATTCGCGGACATCGCATACTTGATAGCGACTGCGCTTGTCGTGCAAAACTCGCCCTGCCTGGCCACGTGGTGATGACCTGCAACGCTGAGTAGATACACAGCACAGAATTCACTCACGAATGGATATCGACAATTTACAGCACCATGTTTGATCGTCTTTGCATGCGTGTCGAGATGCTTTATCGCTCCTGCTGCCACACTCTGTCAAACGTTACAGAGACGCTCCATCAGCCGAGTCATCACTCGTCCACACGGACCATCGCATCATGCGCCCGCCGAGCTTGGCCACGAAGCTCGTCACTTAATCGATTACTCTGCGCCAACGTCTCGAAACGTTGCTTCCAGAACTGCCAGCGACCCACGCTGAACCCGCGCCCAGCGCTCCATAGCGGCGGTCCATGATAGACCTCAGGAAGACCCGGAGCGTCATCATCCCGATTATAGTTCTCGTTACACAGCTCTCTCACCCGCTCGGCAGCAATGGCCATCCACGTCGCCGCTGCCGGAAGATAGAGATCGTTGAGCTCGCCATGGTCATGTTCAAGCCCCGTCATCAGGCCCACCTCGGCGAGGAAGATCATGCCCTTTCGAATGGTCGGGTTGCCATATTGAAGGTACGTCGCCGCGAACGTCGTAGTCTGGAGCAGGGACTCTTTGCCGCGGAGGAAGCGGTGTCTGTCAAGGTCTGTTTCCAATTCCATCAGCGAGATTCTGCGTGCGCATATGTTTCTTCAACCGCCGTAGGTGCCAAACGAACCGAATGCCTGCACCCGAAACGCAAAAGCAAACCCCGGCAGATCGCGCCAATATACACCGCCCGTCGCCCAGGACGGCTGGATAGCCACCGATGCGGCATCCGCGATGTCTCCTTGCTCTGAGAGAGAATTCAGGAATGTCACAGCCCGGGAAGCGTCGGCTTGGTCGCGGCCGGAGTGCTTTGCAACTTCGACTAATGCTGTCCACAACTCGTCGGTCGGGCTCGCGTTGCCTTGCGAGAGTTGAGGTGCATATATGCTTGCTGTTCTTGTCGCGGTCGTCTCCGGGTCTATCTCTCCGTCGAGGAAGGCCTCGAGGATGCGTGGAACTTGGTCATCTGAGGTTTTGAAGTATTGATCTAGGTGGAGAGATGATTCTTGGGATATTTCCGTATTCGCCATCGTTGCGGAGAGTATTAGGAGAGAGAGTGAAGCAATGTCGAGATATCGCGGTAAAGAGTGGCGCTGAATTTCGGGATGAAAAGTGTACGATTCAATACGGATCAAAGAAGATGAGTCAAGTATTGTAGAATCGATTGAGTGAAGTTTCGAAGTATAGAATGTCTATCATTAATCCTGTCAGGTTCGCCGCATCTTGCCCAGATGTGTGGAACGTTGCGTTTGGGAGATCAGCATCTTCAAAGCCCTTTAGGGTTAGCAGCTGAGGCGTAATCTTCGTCCAGGACAAATGCTAGAATGCTTCATTGCTATAAATATATAGCTGAAGCATCGACGTTACGACACGCGCCCGATGCGCCCGTTCGAATCATAATAGTAGACGTAGGGCTGATAGGGCTCGTCGCAAAATGCTACATTCAGCTCACAAGATCTGCACATCAGCCTCTTCAGGCCTATCGTCCGTCAAGAATAACTCGCCGTCCTTGATGACTATTGCCAGGACGGTACCTCGTTTTCAGCCAATGGCATGATGCCGCGAGACTAGATGCACTTGCGCTCCCAGGCGAAGGAATGACACCTGCGGCTCACACTAGCCTCACCTATAAGAAAGACTTTCTCGGAGTTCACTGCTTCAATAGGGAGACGGGGACGAAGAACCCTCTCCAGACTCAGCACCAAGCCCTTAGACCGTACTGGTCCATGATGGCAGTGCTTACATCCTGCAATGGGATCACGGCGGTAAGAGTGATAGTTCTGATCTGCCAATCTGAGCCATGAACGGACACTGGCGATACCAGTGTCGTGGACGATGATACCAGTATCGTGGACGACCTTGTCGGCATACTGGACAACCTCAGAGATGTGACATATAAAGACCTGTCTCTTCCTCATCAAAACGCTTTTTCTGCTACTCATCAAGGCGTTTATATCTCCCACGGCAAATTCCAACACACAGCTCACTTCTGTTCCGACAAGATGCATCTCACTTCTTTTCTCTCGCTCGCTGTGTTGGCTGCCACGACTGCAGCCACGCCTCTCGACCCGGCGTTGAAACTTGAAGCTCGTGCGGCATACACGAATGTGAATTGTGGCGGTACGCCAGCTTCTGAACTCAGGATCAGCATACATCAACTGATTGCTTTGCAGGGCAAGCCATTCCGAGCGATGCAGTCCGGGCAGCGTTCAATGCTCTGATAGCGAACGGCCGCAAACCCGAAGTGGATCGACGTTAGTGACGACTTGAATCTGCGAGAAACGTCCTCGAAAGTTGCTGACCAAAAACACCGCCAGCTCGGAATGGCAACGCCGACTCCTACCCGCATTACTACGGAGCCGCAGACCCTTCTGTGAGGAACGAACTGAATGGAATCTGTCCGTTGGGGGCCAACCAGCAGTACTGGGAATTTCCGCTCCTGCGGGTCGACGGCGCGTACACCGGCGGTTATCCGGGAGCCTATCGTGTCATCGCCAGGGGGAAAGCCGAGGACAGTCCGGCCAACGGCTATACATACTGCCTTTCGGCTTATCATCCCCCGGGCGGCGGCAACGGATTCCTCCCTTGTCAAGTCACGGCATGAGACCTTAGACCTTTGAGATGTTCGACCGCTTCTTCGACTGAACTCGCTGATCAATATGCTACGTCAGGGTCGAGAGTCTCATAGTCAGGAACGAGGCTCACATCTGAAGATCGGGTCAATAGACTGTCATTACATCCATTCACATCCATTGGATCAAATACATCTCGTTCTTTTGGCCCCTTGCTTGAATTCGTCTTCCACAACGAAGTGCAGTACACAGACATGAAGATATGTTTTCTCTCAGGTTCTTAGCCGATTTGATTGTGCCGCTTGCTTTTCATACTAGCATTCTTCGCGAATGTCTTCGTTGATGTGATTATTGACAGATCTGAGTAGCGAATACATCGCACATGCATCGGCCAGATTGGAAAAGGCACCCCCAACACTCACCAGGTACCCCATCTCATTGATGATCAATACTTAACCGGCTTACTCTCAACCTTTGAAACGCAGAATGGCGTAGATCGTCATTTTTGTTAAGCTGTCGGAGCGCCTGGTCCGATGTGACTCACGCTTGTGTCCGGCAAATGGATGTATCTTATTCCCGTAGAACTTTGTTCGCAGACCGAAGATAAGTCGAACGACAATGGGTGCTTCTTGTCAGAAATGTACCATGATGACTGGTTGTCTTCGCTTTATGTTCCGTACGAAGCACCATGTCGCAGCGGATTGAACGACGACGTGGATCAAAAGCTTGACCGATCTGGAAGACCCGTAAATGTCTGTACCACGTTTCCACTGCATTCACGAACCGGACTGGAAGGAGTGTCATCAAGATGGCCACCCTCTCTGGCTTCCTCGATACATCGTCAATGCCGATGTTACACGCCAGAGATATTGCTGCTGTGATATGTACAGCTTCTTTGGTGCGCCGTATTGCCAACCCGTCGGATCTCGGTGTAGGCGGCCAGACACACCCAGCAGAATTCATGCTGGCATCGACGACACGTCATATGATCGCAACCATGAGTCTTCTGAATCCGCCAGCCGCAGGTTCCGCCAGGGCACTTCTTGCTGACGGTATCGAGCATAGCCTCGGTGGCGCGCATTTCTTCGTCTCGGCGATTTTGATCGCGGACTTCCGCCTCGCGTTTCGCTTTCGCCAGTGCCTCCGCTGCCCGCTTCTCCTTGAGAGCATGTGCGTCATGCTCTCGTTGCTCGGCGATCTGGCGCTCGCGCGCTTCCTCCTCCCGCTGTCTCGCTTCATCGATAGCCTGCTGACCACGGACGCGATGGTCGAACTGCGCACAGGTCTCCCCGTCGTGCCATGCACGTTGATGTCGGACGCATTGCTTGTGATCGCAGGGATGGCAAATCATGAATTCATTCTCATCCCGAGACAGCTGACCGGCATTGCAACCGGCGGCGAGGCACCAATTGAACTCGGACTCTTGCGCCAGCGCATTGCGGGTCAGGATGCGGTCGTAGGCGGCAAAGGTCTCCGCCGATGCGCCGCGTCGGACATCGTTGAATGATAACCTCTGAGGACATTGGGACACAGGAGTCGATTTCGGCAGCGATCCAGGATTGAACACATTCGATGCATGTAATAATGAAAAGTGGTTGCTTTTTGTTCGATTGTCTTTTTCGAAGATGTTGCAGTATCTTATACTGAACAAGGCAGCATGGCGTGGAAATCAATAGGTATCTATACCGAAAATGATAGATGCCACCCCGATCAAAGAAAGATAGGACAAAAGCGAACAACGAGATGGAAATCTCATTCGTTTGGCAACCCACCCATCTAGCAAGCTGGACCCAAGGGAATCGCCGCAAGCGTGACAGCTTCACAAGTACTACTGACAGTCGGACTCACTGAGAGAAAGGAACCGGGACAGGCGCCAATCGCCAACGCAGCTCCAGTACTCGAGTGGCACATCAGGACGCCCGTTGCGCCGACTGTAGTGACCGCCCCATCCGTGCTGGACTCCACGGAGCAGGAGACTGGAGAGAAGAAGGCAGCGCCTCCCCTGTAAGGCCCGAATTGGAGGTTTGTGTTGAGAATCGAAGTGACCCAAAAATAGGTCTCGCCAGTAGCGGCGAGGGAGGTGACTTGTTCGTCGTTGTTGTTTACCGTGAATTGGCGCGCGTTGGTGATGCCGAAAAGGCCCCGGATACCAGTCCATCCCATAGTATTGACGGTGGGTGGTTCCGGGTCTTCGGCTGTAACCCACTGCCCATTGAGGTTGGAATTGGTAACGATCTGGAAAAGGTAGTTGGTTGCCGCACAGGGGGACACGGCGGTCTTAGTGGTGATAGCAGTGGAGGTGACTATAGGTACTGTGGTTGAGGTTGCAACATCATCTACGATGCTCGTCAAGGTGATGGTGGTAGACTCGGGGACGACGTTAGTGTTGATTTTGGTGGTTGTCACCGTGAAGGTGGGGCTTGTAAAGGCCGTCGTCGTAGTAGAAGTAGTGTCCGTGACTCCAATGGTAGTATAGCTAGTGACGGTGGCGGTGGTGGCCGTCGTGGTGAATGTGACCTGCGTCGCAAAGACGGTGCTGCTGATCGTCGAGATACTGACGCTGGTCACTATGCTGGTCTTAGTCGCAGGTGAAACGGCGAGGGAGCATGCCGAGGAAATGACTGCCGCAGGGTATTTGCTCAGGACGGATGGCAGACTGATGTCGCGCTTGCTGAAGGTACCAGGCGCCGCAGTTACCGTGGATGTCACCACTGTTGTAGTGGGAATGCTCAGTGTCGTTGTTGAGACGGTAGTTGTCAAGAGGAGGGTCGTGCTCGCGGAAGTGGTAGACGTGATGGTGGTGAGGACAGCGTCGGTTTTGATTTCAGTCGTTGGTACAGCCGATGTAATCGTAGCGACGACCACCTCGGTGATGGTTGTCGTAGTAGCATCTATGTGAGTGGCTGTAGTGATAACCGTCTGGGTGCCTGTCGTAGCCTGAACGCTGAGCGGCGTTGAAGTGGTTACAATAGTAGTGGTGAGGGTAGGGTTATTATAGCCAAGGATAGAAGAGCAGTAGGGCTGAGCCGCGTTGCTCGGCACTCCGATCTCATTACGAGCCTGATTAACCAGATAGACCGGGTTTGTATAACCATTGGAGCCTGCAATAACGACCTGAAACTTGTTGCGGAATTGCCCCCTGTTAGTAGCCATTGCGGCCGTGATTGATCCGGTGAAAAAGACGCATTTAATGTTAGTCGTGCTGGGAGGATTTGCGCATCCCGAGTTGCCCGAGCCAGGCTCAAGGGAAGGGTAGCGTTCGAAGTAGATGTTGAACGAATTACAACGTTGAAGAGCGTTACATTTGGCGGCACAGGTGTCGACGTTGTACGATTGTAGATAGGCGACGCCGAGATATTCTTTCCTGTAGCCAGGGTTGTCAGAGCTGTCAACGCAAAAATGCCAACAGAACAGACAACAAATCCGTAAATACCAATGAATGGAGAGACGGGATGCTTACGTTACAACGCTAGAGCCCTGAACATTAGAGTATTGCTTGATATAACCCTGCGGAGTTGATGCTCCATTAGCAGCATTAGAGATCGCCGGCAACGCAAGGAAGGCTGCAACGGTATCGGGATCAGATTTTGGTCCTGCACCCGCGGGTAGTGGCCCACATGCGGCTACTCGGTTTTGAAGAGAGGCGGCATTGGCGGCGAAAATTAGACCGCTGACGATGGTCTGAGCAAAGAAAGCGAAACGCATGTCGATGGCAAGAGACTCGCGTGGTCCTGGTCACAAATCAAGCCGAGTCAACGTCCAAGATCATTAGTATGAGCAGCAGAGCGAGAGTAGGGAGATTAGGGAATTGGAATCAGCGTGGCGACGAAGATAATGGCTGCAAAAAGACAGACGAGTGAGGATGAGGTTCATCAGAAGAATGCGTGTAGATATGTAGTTGTACATATATCCGCATGCAGCACATTATGCTGATGAAAGGGCCTTTTCTCGCTTGTTTGGAATCTCGCCCTCGACGGTCAAGAACGACATTGCCTTGTAGCCGGCCGCCTTCAATTAATCGAGCTCACTCTGCAGCTTCGACTCGAGGTTGGCCGGCTAGTTTGCATCGCATCTATCTTCCACGATGCGGCCGAGCTGGAGCAGAGCGTATGCACATAAGGCGACGACTGGAAACTTGATCATCATCGAGAGGCCGAGATATGGCTTATCCTTGTCAATGGTGTCTGCGCGCAAAGAAATGTGTTGCTTTATGCAGGTGGTGTTGATGCAAAGCCCAAAACGAGCCTCCCATCAGGCAGAGCATTTACCACACGCGATGTAGCGTTCGACCGCCGCCGAATACTGTTTATGGACGTCTAGAACGCATCTCGCGAGCGCACATGCATGAAGACCAGTGGAAATTGTCCAATTGAAAGTCCCGGAGGCTCAGATTCTTGCTGATTCATCATCCTACACGTGGTTGAGCGCCCTAGCCAAGCCCACGGAGCCAAGCTGGAGGTTCGTTTAGACTCGCCTGGGCCAGTGGGTACCAGCATTACACCATCGAAAAAGAACCACACTTTGCACCATGTTCGCATGGTTTACATAATCAAATCAGCCCAGAGACAGCAAGAGTCCGAATAAACGAGTCGAAAGGCCGGGTCAGCATCCGCCAGGACCATTTTTCATGATATATAAGAGAAGTCGAGAGACAGGGAGAGGGAGTGGGAGAAATGGATTTAAACCACCGCCGTTTGCTTGTTTCCATCAATGAATGTCGGGGGGCGCTCTCGTCGCCAAACTGCGAGTATAATTGAAGTGCAACTTAACATGTCGGACGCCAAACGCATCCACTGAGCGTGAACTTAGCTTTGATGATCTGCTGATCGACCACTTTGTGCCAAGGTATAGTAATTGGACAAAACCGTGTTCGGTACATACGGCCACAGGCAGCTGAGAACAAGGGATCCCGTCCGCTCTCCCATATTTAAGCAGCTGACCGCGAGATTAGTACTACGGTGGGTGACCACGTGGGAATCCCTCGTGCTGTATGTTTTGCTTTTTGTCTGTCCTGAGCAAATATCTGGTAGGTCAACGGGCGGCGGAGCAAATGCAGGTGATGACGCCGAGCGAGAGACATTAACATGCTTTGCCACCAGCTTCGAGCTGCGGATAAGTTTTGACGCTGCTGGGAGTTTTCATGGTTGGCTCGCGCCCAGAAGTTCATGTAAATATTCCTACGCCCGTCCGGAAATATATTGACACCGAGAGGAATGTGTAGGCAGGCTCTCAATTTTCAATTGGTCTCTCGAGCACGATGGAGCATCACATTGTTGATGGATTCAGTCGATGACGAGAGCTTTCAGTAATGTGCTATGATGAAGAGTGGTAAAGCACCTTCCAGGCATTGGAGAGCAAGGGAGCATCAGAGTATCCCCGCTCATCTGTCATTACTTCACACAACTCTTGCGGAATCGAGATCTTACACATTAACACTCCAAGGTAATCAGCTGGCTTTTTGAGAGTCATCCGCGTCAATTGTTTGCTGGACCTTGTCGGAGACCTTTAAACGCGCTGTGAATAGCCTGGAGATCACGCTCCAGTAGAAGCTTCGGACCCCTGGTCTTCGAGGCATTCTCACCATCTTTCTCTCTGCAAACGAATTAGCATGTAAGTCTGCGTGGGTGAACTTCTGCGAGGTGAAGGCGGCACTCACGGGAGAATATAGGTTTGGAAAACACGGAAGTCACCATGCAACACTTCGATGAACCCGCCCGCCCATTTCAGTCCGATACCATTCGAGATATGTGAAAGTCTATTAATGAGCCATGATGCCTGCGCCACTGCTACTGATGCCTGGTCGGTGTCAGCGCTTGATTGACTTGAGGTATGTGAGGCAGACGTCGCATGTTGCACGTGTTCGCCGACTTGATCCAAAGCACATGTCGCCGCAAAGAACAATGGCCAAATCAATGCGAAAGCCGTGTAAAGTGCAGAGGTGGTCTCCTTTGAGCCCCTTAAGGGAAGGTGGCCTAGTTGAGATGGAACGCTTGCACAGATTTCATCCGTGAAGAACTTCCTCGCCTTTCTGAGAGCAGCAATTTGGTTAGCAAGGTCGTCCGAGCTCTGGTCGGCCCTGTGCAGAACCATGATCTCCTGAGCACGAGTGAGCATAATTCTTAAAGTTCGGTAGGAGTTCCATGTCGCAGCTACGGCGTTGTTGCTATAACGATGGGCCAGACCGACCCAGACTTCTCCCGTGCAATCCTTGTGGTGATCTGAAGTGATCTGCCAGGCCTCGCCTAATTTGGCTGTCTCTCGTGCCCAAGCGTCCGCCTGTCGTGCAAGATTTGCAAGTTGTCCGAGAGCGTCGGCAGGTGTGACCATGCACTCCCGCATTTGGAAGCGTAGGTCCGCAAAGTCTAGCACAATTGAATGTAGAGCATCGCTGGGAGCGAAGTCTTGTCGCTCCTCCATAGGGGTTTCTCTCGAAAGCTCGTCCTGCCATTCTATCAAGAACGATGTCGGTCGCCTGTCTGCCCATAGGCAATCAATCAGCAGCTGGCTTCGAAGCTCTCGATACAGCGCTCTGCCTATCGCGCTTCGAAGTTGCTCTTTGCCGCGAAGTTGCACAAGCTTCGACGCAGCACTGACATGCGCTCTCCATGACTCAGCTACATCGCTGTCTTCGCAAGTGAGATTATCATAGAATCCAAGTAAAGCGACGGCAGTCAAAACCGAGTCGCTTTTGCAATCGGTGGGGTGGTCGAGAGCACGTTCCAAGAAGCGGATGGTTCGACTGTGCATTAAAATGTGTTGCTCTCGACCACCGGAAACATTTTGGCTATTGTATAGAGTAGCCATACCACATGCTTGCATCGCTGAGCGGACCAAAGGCTCTTGAGACAACTGCGCGCCGTGGAGGAAGGGCCAAGTATGGGCATCTCCCAGGAAACACTGGTGGAAATACTTCAGTGCAATCTCGTCGAAATACTCTCGAGGTTCCTCGGAGATATGCACGGTGGGATATGTGATGCTAAAGTTTGCGAAACAATCAGGTAATGGTTCGTGCTTCGCTTTCCGCAAAACAAGCTCGGTCTCATCGAGGATGCGCAGAGGAATGCCGAGAGGCACGCCGGAGCATTTCTTCCCGGTCCTCTTACATCGAAGACAATATGGGCGCGTCTGATCGCATCGCCGCTTAGACTTTCGACAGGTTTCACATGATTGGCTCGCTGCTCCGCGAAAGACCTTTCGCGGCATCAGGTTGGCGATGGGAGTCTGGTGATTTGGGGCAACAGCGCGCCGCGAAATACCATGGGCCACCCTGGCGGACTAAAAATCGATGCATGCGAACGTGAGCATGGAGTGGCTCTCCGGAAATCAAATAGGGCGCTTTGTGATAAGCTGGAATCCTTGGGATTGTTGGCACAACGGGATCGTTGGAAGTTGAACTCGAGGTCCGCAATGAATCTACGGGATACTTATTGCGGCCTGATGAGTCGCCCTCCGCGACGTCGTGACCCTTGGTTTCTCCGAGACTCGGCCCGGAACTCTTCCAAGCCTGGGCGGGAGCCCGTGCACGACAAGCAAATGGCCAACAAATTATTGATGGGAGGCAACATGCTGTTGTGTTTCATTTCATTTACTATAGCACTGTATTCAGCATACTCAAGCGCCCTGACAACCACACATACCTAGAAATGCATAAATCCACTAGCGACCCGAGGCGCTCCCAGTGTCGGAGGTGAACGATTATGGTTGGATCAAGCTTCCGTCACGTTTTTTTAATCACATAAAATATTGTAATTTTTATTTTGGCATCTCGTCATTTCGATTCGAGACTTCTGCCATAGTCCGCAGCTAGACAACATCCCAATATGCGACCGAACAAGCGAAGCGACAAAGGTCCAAAGGACTTAAGACGATGGTCGTCGTCGGTCACCAGCATAGCGATTCCACGTCATCCACCATCCAATTCTTGATCACGCGAGACGTGGCGGACAGCCAACGACTCTAACGAGCGGCATTGAATTTTGCCGCGACGTAGTTGGCGATGGCATCTGAGTTCTGAGGGGTGAAGTAGCTCAAGTGGGCCAGGATGTTGGCACCGCTGGAGCAGCAGACCGGGTCTTGCGGATCGCAGTACTCATCAAGACGGTCGGCGTAGAACTGCATGGCGTTGTAGTTTGCGCCCTTTCGCGCGCCGGACTGCAGAACAGTGTGTTAGAATGCTACGAAGTTTCGACATGTGCGTCTGAGATCGATGACATACCGCACTGACGGCGCAGCTTTGGGGTGCGTTGTCCTGACCTTGACCCTTGACGCGGTTGTAGTCACCGAAGAAGACGATAGCGACGACTATCAACAAACCAGAACAAGTTAGTATGTCCGAATCCTTGACTTATACGGAAGTGAGCTCACCATTCGCTCCAATAGTCTGGGAGAGGGGGGTGGCTGCCGGTCCTGGCGCCGCCGCTGGGGGAATCGGTTGTCCTCCTCCAGCAAGAGCGTTGCCCACAACGGAAGCACCCTGAGAGTAACCCATCAAAACAATCTTTCCCTGAGGGCAGGCATTGTAGTAGTCAGTGATTTGTTGTTGAGTATCTTTGATGCCTGCCGCGATGGAGTCGCTGACGGCTGGGCTGGCGGGATAGACAACAGCGCTGGAGCTTGATCCTGGAATTTTGGCAAGGATGGCGTTAAGGGGGATCTGTTGAAGACCGTATCCTTGTGGCTCGAAGGTACCGCGAGCGACGATGACGTGCACTCCGCTGGAGCAGGTCACGGCAGAGGCGGCTGGAAGGGCTGAGACAGCGCCCGCAGCGAGGAGAGTGATCACAGAAGTGAGCAGCATGGTGAACGCAACGGGGATACTAGATGAAGAGAGATGGGGAATGGTGCTGGACCGGTAAGAGAATGACACGATTTGTGGCTCTTATATGTGCGGTCTGTCAGAGCTTCGCACGACTGCACTGTCGCGGGTCGGCACCAGCATTGAATCTCCTCAATCTCGAATACTCAATCCTTGTCGATTTGCCGAGGCATTGTATACATGGAATAGCTCCAGTGGTTTGGGAATCTACAACTCATGATACATAAATTGAATGGATCGATTCTTGATCGACGAGAATTCTGTGGCTGCGTTCTGTCGTGAGATATGGACTAGAATCGGATAGGGCTAGATCGCTTAGGAATGGGTCTAAATTGCGGTCTTACATACCGGATACGGCTAGATCAAACTATCTTGATGGGTTTAAGCTCGAACCACAGTTCTCTGCGAGATGACGCCTCATCTGCCTCGGTTTGCATCGAGGCGCATGGAAGTATTGCTCCTCTCGATGTTTGTTGCGAACTAGAAAGAGCCAATCTGCGCTCTTACATCCTCGATCTGGTCACCAAAGCGGCGCGTGTTGCGTTCGTCGGCGAAAAGGCCGGCAAGCGTGTCGTCGAATCCGACGAAACAAAGACCGGCGAGAACTGTCCAGATCAGAGATACTCAGGGCGATGTCTTTCTGATCTCTGCGAGCTTAGCACGTAGTTTATACCCTCTCCAGCCTTATTATTTCCCCAGAGATGGATCACAATCCAGGATGACCACAGAAATGCTGACTGGAGGCAAGGAAACGTGAGTGGACCTGCAACGTATTGCAGTTCGTTGGTTCGCTCGCTTCATGAGTTCCTTGACCGTAGATTATCTCGAGATTCCGATGCAGACGCGACGGGAGAAGACGCCTTTGCCCTCATCACAGACCCGCAAAACCACAAAGCTACAGGAGCTATGATGCCCAGGAACAATGCGATGAAAGCTAACAGGGTATTGCCCCATCCGTATCCTAGACGGTCATACATGTCACTGCAAGGAAACTAGGCAAGCTACTGTGAATAACTGTCCCCGGAATACTTACGGTCCGAACAAAGGCAGACCAAAGCCTCCGAATGCTCTCCAAAATGTCACCGCACCGAGCGCGCTCGCTGTGTACTCCGGGTAGGTACCTAGAAGGTAATCTGAAGTTCATTGCGTGCCAGTAATAGCGCCCAGCGAGAAGATCATGGCTCCAAGGTCGGGAACGACCCAAGTGATAGTGAAATGGGCCGCCCAACCATAAACTAGAAGCCCGATGGCGACGAGAGGAAAGCTGAACATCGCCAAGGGAAGCCTATGCTCTGGCAGACCAACCCCATCGTTGCGCTCCTTTAGACGCTTGTACATACGATCGATGGAGTAAGCGTATATTTGAGTGCAGAAGACGTATCCTAGGTCAAAGGCAATGAAGTCGAGGCCGCCAAGCATCACACTTTGGAGGGACTGTGTGGTCCAAAGCGTAGGTAATGTGGAGAGAACCAAGTACATCACGCCGTAGAGAACGGTGACGTATACCGCGAGTAGTTGAATGATCGGCCGTGTCGCAGGCATGAGAAGAGGGCGCATGAAATCCTTGCCCAGCGATTCGACGGCTTTTCGAGCTGGAGATCGTACCGTTTGTTCTTCGTCGGCTGACAATCTTGCCGGCATTTTACGTTGCAAAATCGACCTATATGTCTCTCTCAGCACCCGTAGACTTAACAAGAGCGTGACGAAATCCAGAATGGACACAATATGGGATATCCAGCGCCAAGACAGTTACTTCGTGACTGCTACACCGAGGATAGCATTTAATGCAGGGCCTAGGACCGGGTCCAGATTGTAGATCGCAAAAGCAGTGCCTCGTTCTTCGGCCGCAAACAAGTTACCAATCACAGCGGCTCCAATCTGCATAACCTTTAAGTATCACGAACATCCCATGTTAGGCGAGGAGGATTGATCGCCAGCAGTGCACCGCCTCCAAGCCCACTCAGAGCGCGGAACACAAGCGTCTGCGAAGGCGTCTGGGCCACACCGCCGGCGGTGTTGAAAACGATGAAGACCATATTCCCAGATTGCAGGACCGGTGTGCGGCCTGCATGCTAGACGGATCGATCAGAATTTGCGTGGCATTATCGATCGTGCCGATCTTAACGTACCGTACAGCTCACTGATCGGTCCAACAAGCACAGGGACAACTCCGCAGAGTAAAACATAAATGGAGAGCGCGAGCTGCCTGGTGAAGCTCTGTGTAGTGTGCAGGTCACGACCAATGTCGTCCAGCGCCGGCACGACCACAGATGAGGACATCGGGAATATGAACGTAGATATCGATGTGAGAGAAGCGATTGCCAATCGTCTCTGGAAGCTTAGAGAGCGCGGGTCTGTTGGCTCGTTGCTCTCGGTGCAGGCGGGGTCAGCAGATGGCAGTCCCACTGCCGGCACTGCAGGATAGGACTTCGTTGCAGGCATACTGACGAATAACGAAGCCTAGATTGGAACGAGCAAGACATTCGAGGAAGCGCAATACTTCGCTCATAAACACCGCGGGATTTCAGATGCTAATGCGGATTGATGATGATAGTGATCCAGCGGAAAGAATATTGCGACGCACAGGAAGATAGCCCTCCAGCCTCGTAAGAGTTCAGGGTTTGATGTTGCAACCGGAGACACCCGAGCCGTGTCGAATAACGCGCCATCTACGCAGAGTCCTCCAGGGCCATCTGTGACAAGAAGATTTGCGTGCGATGATATCGACTCATTTACCAACGAGATGGCACAGCATTGCGGCAGAGACGCATACAAGCGCTTTGCCTGTAACAAACTACCTCAAATTTCGAGACCAAACCAGAGAGGTGTTACTGCATAACAACCCAGGATCCTGCATCTCTGTGATTGAATGGTAGGTTCTAGTATGTGGCAGGAACTTCGTGAACGCTGACCTCTCCGCTAGAGAATGCGCTCAAAACCTAACATTAGGACACATAACCGAGTCTTTTGGAAGCCCGCAGAGGAAATTCCCCCACAACGCTTTCCTTCCTGAAGTTGTATTCCATCATCGTTTCAAGAATGCGTTGAAGTGCTTGATCCACTCTGCATTGTTAGACTCTTCAGTTGCAAGCGCTGGAGCTTCTACTTTGTGTTCTACAATCCACTCCACGCCTTCGGGCTGGTCCACGTAGGGTTGTCACACAGAGGCGCAGCTCCGGAGGCCATTTTGACAAGGCTGCACCAAAAGCGTTGGCGTAGTGAGAAGCCTAGATTTCATCTTCACCTGGGCACCAGGAAAGAGGAGCGGATCGAACCCTTAGAAGACTTGATGCAGCTGCCCAATGCGGGAGTCTCGCTTGCAGCTTGAGCCAGAACCATTCGGTCGTCCGCGCAATTACGGACAGCATTCGATGACTTGTCTAAGGCCCCCAGTCTTCTTCACACGCTTGCTTGCTTGTTGTGGTATAAACATATATACCTTGGACTCTTGCATCCAAGAGTATGAGGCAGGGCCGATGGTGTGCTTGTTCTGGACAATAATTCACTGGTCCTGAAATCATCATCATCAACAAGCATCCACGGCGGAGAGTCGCTAGTGGAGACTTCGAGCCCTAAAATCAGCCTTTACCTAGATTAGTAAACACGAATCCCCGAAACGCCGGGCCCACGTGTGCGCTTGCCCCGAAAATCATCAACGGCTGGCTATTGTTGCCGAGAATTTCTTTCCAACCAGGCGGCCTCATGGAGTGACAAGCCATAGCCATGAAATATTCCAAGCTCTGAGATCATGCCATCAGCGGCGGACTAATGTCGTCGGAAATGTTCCGAGCTTCTCTCGGCGACTCCGTACATCAAAGCTTACTGTAGTCGCCAAAATGCTTGGACGTTTGTCGAAAACACACCTTGGCATCAGGCCACTGGCGCATCGGACCACCCCCCAAAACAATGCACGACCAGCCCCGACGTCTTAGCGACGGAGATCGAGCACTCTAGATGGAATAGACGAGGAACACGGTGATGGTTTCACAAATATTGTCTGAATTGAGCAAGCCTCCTGGCTCTGAAGCCTTGGCTGTGAATATCGAGCAGTCTAGACGAAATGTCTGTACACGATAAACGTGGAGATGATCCAGATGAAGATATAGCAGATCATGTCCACGACCAGTGTTCCCTTTCGTTCATTCCATAACTTTACATCCACCACGCAATCATGAAGAATATATATTCCTCGCTCGCGCTTTTCCTGGCCATTTCCGGCGCCACGGCGTCCACATGCGACCGCTCCGTCGCCAGAACATGGCCTTCGGCAGGAGCCTGCGCAGGAAATCCCGCCTGTAACGACCTCAGTTTGATCGGTCAATGCAACGCCCAGACATACATCGACGGCGGAAAGTGTGTGAAGAAGCGGGCGACATCGCTACAATGTACCACCAGCGAGATCTGCTATCTTTACACAGACGGTGACTTGTTGTGCATCGACTGGACGACTGGTCAGTTTTGATAGAGGAAGGAAATGACTTGCGGTATTTCTCGAGCGCTGACATTCTTCGCCACAGGAAATTACCACGACCAAAATGGCGGCACAGGCAATAGCAACTCCGGTGTATACACCTACGCGAACGGCGCCGTGACCACCAATCTCGGCGGCACCGCCACAACCCGTCGCGCGACGGCGACTGCGGTCGGCGCAGGCGGATTGACGCAGCCTGCGACCACGACGGCGGCAAATGCAGCAGCAGTCGCAACGGGAACGGGAACAAACTCCGCTCAACAGGCAGCTGCGACGACGACCCGTCCCAATGCCGCAAACGATCTCCACAGCGGAGTTGCGAATGCTGCTTGGGCTGTTGCCGCACCAGTCCTCTTGGCCCTTGCGGTATAGCGATCTGGTCTGTCGGTCTGGATGAATGAGTGGTCTGCGCTGGTTGAACGGCGCTTGGAAGTTGAATGGGCATCATAATATACCAAGACTCCGTTTGTATATAACAGGCGGCATTAGGTGGTTTCTGCTTCACGGAGCTATTTTTTCGATGCGCGGGGCCCTCTGAATTGGGGAGTGCTCGATCTCAGCGGCTGTTGTGACTTGTCTCCGGCATCGATCACCATCAAACGTCTCGCACTTCAAGGGTGTGATGTTTTCACCCGAAATTCATCATTTTTCGTTCTCAGGCTCTCCCGCCTCCTACAGTCTTAGGTCGATGAATTTTTCGACGTCCGATTCATTTCTGCACGCGTTTTCTATTCACCTTCCGTATAAAAAAGCCGTACCATTACGGAATCGATCGGCCTCTACTGTCGATTGAGAGTTCCTTGCCCGAGCCGATGCGCTTCGAGATGCGAAGGTCCTTGGGACCATACCGTGCATCGTGTCTGTATCCGAAATGCTCAGAGAACCATTCCACTGCTTTACTGTCCGTACAATCGTCGAGGATGTCATTCTCGACGTCCAAATACCGAATCATTGTCCACACAGAAGCCATCAAGGACATACCCCACTCTGAACTACTCGGAAGCTCACCAAGCAGTGCGCATTTGACGAAACTTTCGACCAATGCTCTTTTGAGGGGATGATGGATGTTGTTATACGTATCATACTCGCCCTCGGGCAGTGAATCGTTGTCCGCCGTTCCTAGCGGCAAACAGGCGAATGAGTTGGGGATTAGAAAGACCTGCTCTTCCCTTGGCTCCGCATAGTCGAACACGGTAGCTGCCTGGTCTAGGGCAGCATAGTCTGCATTGATCGCTGCAATCACACTTTCCGGATCTGGTAATCTCGCTAGTATGTCGGGGTGGAGCCCACGTTTTGGAACGGTTATCGTGAATCCACTAGCAACCAATCTTTCAGTGCAAGCCACAAAGTCACTGTCTTGGACCACCACGGAATGTTGCTGGTAATCAATGTGTCAGTGCAATATTCTCGGCTTGAAAGGCTCAGGATGTGACGTGGCTCACTGAAACGACGATGGGAACTCCCAGGTAGTGCATCGCCATATTCGACCATGGGTACATGGGCGACGGGTGGAGGACGTCAGCAAGCACTTTGACTACCGCGTCAGGTTGCTTCTCACGAGGTCGCCGGAACATGATGGCTGATTAATCTATCCGGAAAACTTAATGTATCTCCTGTGATAACCTTGTTGACACAGCATCCGGCAATGAGGACTTGATTTCTATCTACCGTAACGTACCCTATAGGCTTGTGGGCCACTATAGGCTTGTGGGCCACTTCCTATTCTCACTACGTATTCTTTCCTTCAACACGCGATAATTATCCACGTCATACAATGGATACGCGATTGACGCGTGATTCCTACGCTCCTGCTATCGCTGCATTCAGATCCGGTCAATTCAAGTCGATCCGAGCAACTGCGCGCGCGTATAACGTCTCAAGGACCACCCTCCAACGCCGCCTTGACAGCAGACCTTCCAGACAACAGCAAGGTGTCAATTCAAGGAAATTCACTGTCGCTGAAGAGGAGGTTATAATTGAAAGGATATTGGATATGGACTCGCGTGGATGGCCACCAACGCTTGCTCATGTTGAGGAAATTGCGAACATCCTTGCAACGCAGAAGGGCCTTGAACCTGTTGGTAAATTATGGCGACATAACTTTATTAAAAGGACACCACGGCTTAAGACAAAGTTGTCGCGAAGGCTGGATTGGCAGCGTGCACGTAACGAGCAGAAAGACGCGTATATTCAATGGTTTGAATTGGTGAAGAACATGATCAATTTCCATGGTATCCTTGAAGACGATATCTACAACTTTGATGAGACTGGATTCCGCCTTGGGCAAGCTGGCAACCACCATGTTGTAACTACAGCTGATCGGAAAGGAAGACCAACATTGATTGGATCGGATTCTTCTGAATGGGTAACCATTATTGCCTGCGTCAACGCTCGAGGCTGGCAGGTCCCTCCATTCGTGATCTTCAAAGGCGTAACGCTAAATAAGACTTATTTTGAAGGACTACCACCACGCTGGACTCTAGCCTGCAGCGAGAATGGCTGGACAAGCAATGCTCTTGGTCTGCGTTGGATAGAGCACTTCCATGGACATACGCAGCAAGCGACAAAGGGTGTTAAAAGGCTTCTTGTCCTTGATGGACATGGTAGCCATTTAACGCCTGAATTCGATCAATACTGCAAAGATCATAACATTGTCACTCTCTGCTTACCACCTCATTCTTCGCATCGTCTACAGCCTCTCGATGTTAGCTGTTTCGGTCCTTTGAAGACAGCATATACAGCAAGGCTTGAACGGCTCTTCCGAGCGTCTTATTATATCATAACAAAGGACGACTTCCTTGCCGAGATCCCACACGCGATAGCTGCTGCATTTACAGCTTCAAATATACAAGCTGGCTTCCGCGGTGCTGGCCTTGTGCCATTCAATCCTGAAGCAGTACTAGAGAAGCTGACATTAAGAACAGTAACACCTCCATTACAAACACTAGTACAATGGACTACAGTTACGCCGTCAAACCCTCGAGAGGTTGATTCTCAGACAGCATATATTGAGAACAAGCTGCAGCGTTCAAGCACTTCACCGTCAGAAATAGTTGCTGCTTTGCGACAGAATGCTAAGGGCTATCATAAAGCAGCTGCTCAGCTGGCCCTTCTGCAAGCTGAAGTGTCCGACCTCCGCCAGACTGTACAGACGCTGAGCGCGCGTAAACAACGTCCAAGAACGCGTTATAAGGTTCAAGGAAGTGTTGACAAAGAAGGATTCGAGGCTCTTCTTATTGCAAAGGCTGTAAACACGTTGTTATCGGAAGAACAAGGCCAAGCTGAAGCAGGCTCTAGCCAGCAGACACGTCGTAAACCACGGTGTAGCACTTGCAATTTGGAAGGACATACGTGTAAGACGTGTCCTACTGTAGTATAGACATCCTGTCCCATAGAATTCCTAATCATATAGCTTCATTTCAATTATTAGTAGAAATATTGAGTATTCAATGCAGCTGGTGTCGAAGAGTGGCCCACAGGCCTATAGTGGCCCACAAGCCTATAGGGTACGTTAGCTACATAAGTGTACCTCTTGGGCTGAGCTGGCTGGATAACTGCCTCAGGCACAAACTGGCGATATCAGCACCGAGACATCACACTCACGCACTCAACCTTTTCGGATCGGTCGAGAAACACCAACAGCGTATTAATAAAAACGAGGCTACTCTTAAATTTTGATTTCGGAAGTAGCCCTGCGTCCGACCTCAGGATTTGGCCAACACCTTTACATCCTCAATCTACTGAGTCTGAACAGACAGACGAGAAACACTCCAATCATGGCAAACGACTGTTGCGGTCCACTCATCCCGGCCCCTGATCCGGATGCGGTACCTAATTTGCCCCGTGAGGAGGCGGGCAGCGGCAATTACTGCAATGCCAGCGTCGCCGACACTGAGGCTTCCGATGCAACTAACTCAGGTCAGGGAGACACCAACCAAGACCCACAGACCGGATGTTGTTTCTCTGGCGAACATTCAAGCATCAAGGTTACAGGCGATATTGATGTCCCTCATTGCTGTCGTGGCAAGACAAGCCCTTGCTGCGACACGTCTTGCCTTGAACGCTTGGCTTTGCGAGAATGCGCGATAAGCGCTGTCGCTCCCGCTGGAGCAAATGCACGGACAAAGAGTAAGCAGCTGCTCTCGCATAAAGCCACTCGACACCGCTAACTCCTCCCAGTTTGTAGTGGAGCGTCCGAAGGAAAGGCTTGCAACAAGCATAACATGTCTACTCTCGACCGTTTCGAAGCCACTCTCCGGACCCTGGGGTGTATTTGCCGCGATCTCATTGCTCTCGGCCAGGAGACCTGTTGCGAAACTCGTGAGCGCCGCTCATTGGATGGAAAGAGGTCCTTGGAGACGTCACCTCCTCGCTCCTTTAATCGGAAATCACTGGATTCCTGCAACCGTAGCGGCTCTGCCAGACACGACCAAGCCGCGCGGAGACATCTTCGTCTGCGTAAGGGTGGCTCTGGGGAAAACATCAAGTCTCCGACCAAGAACTCATCGGTGGTTGTCACTACCAGCTCTTGTTGCTCCACGGGTAAGCCCATGGAGCAGACTCCCAACAAGAGCAGAGCTTTCGACCCTCGTTGCTCGGAAATGAGGGTCGTCGAGGCTTCAACCATCAAGGAAAGTTGTGCCAAACCGTGCTGCTCCACTGACAAACCCACGGAGCAGACTATCGTTGAGATAAAAAGGGCTCACGCTTCCTACTCTGGGGGTGCAGGTTTGGAAGAATATCTTCCAGCGGTCGGCTGCCCCGGATCTTGCTGTCCAGGAGACAAGAATGGCAACGACGACGATACCAAGACTATCTCTGTCGAAATGCCCTGTTCGGGTATCAATTATGTTGTGGAATCTTCACCTGGCGGATGTGAGGGAAACTGTTGTGGATCTGCCAACATTACAGTCGTGAAAGAAAAGTCGAATCGCGCTCGAGATGGACCCTGCTGCAAGCCACGCTCGCTGCAAAGCATCGATAAAGTAAAGACTGATTGCGCAGGTGTTTGCTGCTCTCGCAAGCGAGCAATAAAATCTCGGAGTTCATGTGTCGAGGCCTGCTGTCCCTCTGTCAGCATTAATCACGGAGTCCAAGCGGAAATAACCACGGTTCAAGTCACTGCTGATACAGAAAACCAGAGTGCTGGTACGGAGCACGTTGTTCTCAGCATTTCCGGCATGACTTGTACCGGCTGCGAGACAAAGCTTAATCGAACTCTCGCTACCGTCCCCGCAGTCAAAGACCTAAAGACGAGTCTAGTCCTCTCGCGAGCTGAGTTCACTATCGACCTTCGCCTCGCATCTGTGGAAGACGTTGTAAAGCATTTGGAGCGGACAACCGAATTCAAGTGTGAAAGAGTTCAAAACCAGGGTGCAAGCCTAGATGTCATCATCCCAGGTGAGCCTTCCAAGTTCATGAGTCAGAGTTGGCCAGATGGTGTCATTGATTTGAAACTTGTGGAGAGACAGACCGTACGAGCAGTGTTTGATCCAAAGCTTGTGGGAGCTCGAGACCTCGTCGAGAAGATCTGGGGTCCGCCAATTGAGCTTGCTCCTCCCCGTGGTGATCCTTCGCTGGATGCCGGGAACAAACACGTCCGCCACGTTGGATATATGACACTGCTCTCGGTCGTCTTAACTATCCCGGTTCTTGTCATGGCATGGGCTCCACTTCCTGATCATGCGTCAGCCTACAACTCAGCCTCATTTGCATTGGCAACTATTGTTCAAGTTGTCATCGCAGGACCTTTTTATCCAAAAGCTTTGAAGGCTCTGGTGTTTTCTAGAGTTATCGAGATGGATCTCCTGATCGTTTTGAGCACTACTGCTGCCTACGTCTTCTCTGTGGTCTCCTTTGGGTTCTTCATTGCGGGGAGTCCCCTTTCGACCGGACAATTCTTTGAAACGAGCACCCTCTTAGTCACTTTGATCATGGTCGGGCGCTGGGTTGCAGCTCTCGCTCGTCAGAAAGCCGTTGCATCTATTTCCATCCAGTCACTCCAGGCATCGAGAGCCATCCTCGTTGACAAAGAAGGTGGAACAGACCGTGAAATTGACGCCCGACTTCTCCAATATGGCGATATATTCAAGGTTCTTCCAGACGCCAAACTCCCGACCGATGGCACTGTCATCACTGGTTCTTCTGAGGTTGACGAGTCTATGCTCACGGGTGAATCTAGGCCAGTGGAAAAGTATCCTGGTTCGGTCGTGATTGCGGGATCTACTAATGGGTTTGGAGCCCTAACTGTTCGACTGAACCGTCTGCCTGGTGACAATACGATCCACACCATTGCTGCCATGGTCGACGAGGCCAGGCTGTCAAAACCCAAGTTACAGAGCCTCGCAGATCGGGTAGCCTCATACTTTGTTCCTGTTGTGGTGGCATTGACGATTTTCACCTTTGTCATTTGGGTCGCAGTGGGCGTGACCGTTCAAGCTTATGGAGGATCCGAGGCCACCGTTCAAGCCATCACTTACGCCATCACTGTTCTCATCGTATCTTGCCCGTGTGCAATCGGATTGGCTGTTCCGATGGTCATTGTCATTGTCAGCGGAGCCGCAGCAGAACGGGGTGTCATCTTCAAGTCTGCCGACGCAATCGAAGTCGCTTACAAAACTTCGCATGTAGTGTTTGACAAAACTGGGACTTTGACTCGAGGGAAACTCTCTGTCGTCGAAGCTGAGTGCGTAGATCAGGACAAACTTCCGTTGCTTCGGGGTCTGGTCGAAAGCAGTCAACATCCGGTCTCGGCTGCAGTGGCTGCACACCTAAAGCATATCGGAGTGCCGACGTCCGTTGTCCATGAGCCGAAAAGTTTGACGGGTAAGGGTGTGGAAACGACCCTGGACGGTCAGAAGCTTCGAGCTGGCAACTCTCGCTGGTTGAATTTGTCAGACCACGAACTTGTCCAACCGATGCTCGCTCAAGGCTACACTGTATTTTGCTTCACGATTGATGGCGAGGTACAAGCTGTCTATGGACTCGAGGACGACCTTCGATCTGACGCTGCGGAAACGATCCAAATCTTGCAGAAGCGTGGCATCTCTGTCCATGTGGTATCTGGTGACGATGACGGAGCCGTTCAAGCCTTGGCATCCAAGCTAGACATTCCCGATGATAATGTACGCTCTCGGAGTTCTCCTGCCGACAAAAGAGATTACATCAAAGCTCTCCTGGGGCCTGACACAGATAGTAAAAAGCCTGTTGTCGTATTTTGCGGCGACGGCACGAACGATGCTATTGCTCTTGCGCAGGCCACCATCGGCGTCCACATGAACGAAGGGACAGATGTTGCCCAATCCGCCGCGGATGTTGTCCTCATGCGTCCTTCCCTGGCTGGCATTCTGACCATGATGAATGCGAGCCGGAAATCTGTCCACCGCATCAAATTCAACTTTGGATGGAGTTTCGTATACAACACATTCGCAGTACTCCTTGCTGCCGGCGCCTTTGTCAATGCAAGGATCCCTCCGGAGTTTGCGGGGCTGGGGGAGTTGGTGAGTGTGCTGCCAGTCATTGCTGCTGCAGTACTCTTGCGCTGGTCGAAGATCTAAAATCAGAACGCCGTCCGAAGCACGATGGTGATGACCGAGCTCCGTGGGGTCTGTGTGAAGCCTGACCAGGGTCGTCGTCGGGATGGGGATAATGCTCGAAACCGGGCCATTGGGCGCGGATGGCTGTGGATTTTCCTTCGTCTTTGTGTTGTATTCCTCCGACCAGGAGCGGCATCGTCGAGACCTCTGAGGGGCACTTCTAAATCTGTGATCACTGTTGTGGGGACCATCACGTACTATGCTTGCTTGTTTCTCTCGGACGATAATAGTCTGGTCGTAGATACCTTGCGTTGTAGACGGCCAATCCGGTTGCATGCTTATAGAGTACGGTATGCTCTGCTCTCTTGCATTCAATCTCAAAACTTCAAGTACTCATACGTCAAAGCTCAGCCATGGCAATGTCGCGTACAAGTACATTGAACCGGGTGTCATTTCGGATCGTTTCCGGCGAAAGCACAGACAAATACTCACGGGCCTCGCGACCCCAAGCATGCACTACTAACTGATCCTCGTACATAACTCCATCGAAAGCTGTCATGTTCGCTTGAAGAAGGTTCTTCTCGTCTTGACTGATCGGTTCGTGCATGTAGAAGATATGCTTCTTCACCCAAGTCGGCCAAAAGAACACAGCTGGTGAGAGTGGACATATCAACTCGGGGAATTGCACCTTAATAAATCATGTCAGCATTAATTGTTCTGGCAAAAGTCAATCGCTAATCTGCCGTGACGTACTTGGAGTTGCTTCGGCTTCTGCACCGAATGCTGGTTCCATCCTTTCGGGTCGAATGTACGATAGCTCGCTCGCCATTTCGAGATGAAAGCGCTGTTCGGACGGGAGATGATCACAGCATTACAGAGTCCGTATCGGTTCCCGCCTTCATGTCCCATCAGAACATCTCGAGTGCTGGACAAGAGGTCGGTGAAAGGCTTCAAGACGTAGACGTCCGTGTCAAGATATATACCACCCTCGCGCGCAAGAACCGCCAAGCGCACGAGATCGGACTGATGCTCCAAGCGCACACTCTGTATCGGTAAGCCATGAGGACCGAATTGTGGTCTTACTTCGGGAACCAGTGTGACATGACTTGCAATCTGGCGCCACCACCTGTTGTCGGTGTCGAGACCGCTCTCATAAATATGAATTTTGATTTTTGTCGCATTCAGGCGAAGGATCGCAGCTTTGATCGAGAGATACCGTGGATATGTCATCTGATAGAGCTCGCCTTTTGCGGAGAGTAGGACAAAATGTGCGACATTTGGGATTGGGTTCTTAGTATCCGCTGTCGAAGCATTGACGGCGAGATTTTGAACATCGAGAGAATTTCGATTCCGGCAAAATCTCTCTTCATCGGTGTCTTTCCAGTCCCAATTCGTGATCCGATCAGCCGTCTGAGGAAGTATTTGTCGAAGGCGGAGGAACGCTATTTTCGGATCTTCGGACAATGAGAAGAACAGGCATAGCGTTGTGAAGAGGGCGACACTTAAGGTGATGAGAGTGCGTCTCCATAGGCTCAATCCACGGATGACCATGGTGCTGAAGAGAATGTATGCGACGCAACATAAGTGGTGTCAAGACCAACTTCCTTTATCATTGCGCGAACAATGATGTCCTTGGGATTTCCCGTTATTGCATCCCGCGAACACGATGGAGCATGCCAGACGCGACTTGTTGTGATACCAACGCTGACAATGCTTAGCTATGTAGATTGGTCAAGCAAGACTCTTCGATGGTAAGCCTTCCACGTTCCGCGGCAGCACCACAACTCTGGCTTAAATGTCATCACACACACATTTGTACAGTACACTAAGCTTTCAGGGCTGAAGCTGCGAAAAGGGGTGAGATGATCGACAGCCGGCCGATATTTTGGCGCGCTGGGGCCGAAGGCAAGCCACACGCCGGGAGATCCCGCCATCCTCTGGTTGTGAAGTCCTACCGCACCCCTATCAAGACTTATCATTACACACATGGTAGATACAATGCTAATACTACATGTATGAGAAGGCAGCGCCTCGCTGTCAGCTTCGATGTGCACACTAAAGACAAAGATATTTGCGACGATCTCGAGAGACATCGTGCATCTAATCTTGTATCGTATTGGAAAAGCCAAGGTCGAAATTTCCCAGGCGTTTTTGCTACCTAGATGCCCTGAGGATCTATCAACAAGATGCTCACATTCGAGATATCTAAAAGTAGCTGCAGACGCGGAAGTCCCCAGAGCCATTGCCGTCTGGGGTCTCAATAACGTGTGTCATGACACCACACAGAATGCTGCCTTCCTTCAAGTAGACCACACGCGCCGGAGTCGGGGTACCACCTCCACGTCGGTTGGCATTCTTATCATAAACGCGACCGTCCGGGAAGACAGGGTACTCCAACAAGAGAGAGGGATTGGGCTGGGCTTGGTTGCAGCGCGCGTCCGCACCTTGAAACACCACACGCCCACCGCCGCCGGACAGACCGTAGTAGTCGTGAGGGAACCTGGATTAAATGGGTGTGGTCAGCGGGAAATTCCTTCGTGTCGGGACAGATCTTGTGGCAGGCGTTTCGAAACTCACCCTGAACCTCCGGTGGTGGTGCCGCCCGCGGCGATGGCATTATCAGCCTGAGCAACAGTGATCTGGAATTCGCGTCTTCCGGCTCCATCGGTTCTGCAGTGGTAGCTAGCAGCAGTCTGTATCGGTCAGCCTGTGCTCGATTGGCTCAATATTGGGCCGAAAATGAAATTATATACCGCGACGGAGGCTATGCTCGCAGCCAGGAACAGGTTTTGGAAGATCATGATTGCTCTGATGACTGTAGCTTCGAATGCGGCGGACGCGTTGGAGGTCGACGGGAATGTTGATGTGGGCTTGGTAGACTTCGATGTTGATAATGATACTTTATAGTGGTCGTTCCGGCATTAATATACAAATTGATTCACTCGCTTCTGCGCTCAGCTCGCTCCCTTCAGACGAATCTTCATAGCATCTCCATAAGCAGTATGCCGCGGAATGATGGTCTGGGCAATTCAAAGTCTGGACAAGCGGCTGGAGGACAGCTGCTGCGCGGAGCAACCGTCCAGGACAAATGCTAAAGAGCGTAGGATCTATAAATACGGAGTGAACCATGATGCCAAGAGCCGACCTCGTCAGTGTCCGAGCTATTGGCTACCCATCGGTAGCTCGGAAGGCGTTGGGAGGTGTGGGAGCTCCACAGATCTAGCATAACCGGGCTGTATACGCCCGTCCCGGTGTGCACCAGGATGAACAACGGCGTCTCGTCTGTTCCATGTGTCTCACAGCAGCTCCGTTACTTCATTCGGAACACTACGCGTCGATCGCGCATGACTCGCACCGCGCTCCCCAGATCCTGCAATCAAAATGGTCTACCATGGCCCTTTAGCACTTGGAACTTTGTCTTTCGAACAAACGAAGCAATGATAATTGTGGTAGTAGTAGAAACTTTCTCGTACAGCTAATCTACTCGTCGTCTTCCTCTTGTTCGATAGAGGTGAATCCAAAAGTCTCACAAATAGTCGTAGTCACTCCCCGTTGTTCGACCTGGTCCATGCGCTCAAGAGCTTGCGCAGCAATCTCACGTCCTTCAGCACCGAGATTTTCTGCCTTCGCAGCCTGCTCGAACTTGTTCTTCCAGCCACTCCACACGGTCGGAGTCCATTTTGGCCCGGGAATCTCGATCAACGTTTGTTTCTGGCACATCTCGTAGAGCGCATCTCCAGCGTGTAGGATCCATCGCTTCGCACCACGCAAGGCGATCACGTATTCTTCCAAATTGCTATTTGAGGCATTTTTGGTCGCGAACGCAGAAGGTCGAATGAGGTCGCTTAGGCGAGTAGCTTCCACCACGCCGTTGGAGAGCAATCTAGCTAAGAAAGCGGCAAAATTCTGATGGAGAAATGACGAGTCTTCTGACGGGCGTTCGTGTCGCTGAAATCCACCTGTGGAGAAGTTCCTCTTAGCTCTCGTGATGCGTGTTTGTACGCAGTGAGCATATCTTACCTTCTTTCAGCTCCCACAGCCATTGAGATAGTCCAGAATAGCCATTTGATGCATTGAGAGTCCAAAAGATTTTCTCGTGTTCTGCTCCGTTTGCAGCGAACGGAATAGTCGTCTTGGGAAGATTTTGGATGTCCTGCAGGAAGTGAACTAGGCGGTCCTGACCTGCATGATCAGCGGGAACAACCATCGCCGACCTGCCAATGCTGTCCCAGAGGTAGTGTTCCCAACCCAACGGGTGAGAGTTGGATTTTCCAGACCGGAGATCTGTGATTATGACAGAATCGATCTTCTGAGCTGCATCTTTGGAGGTCAATGTCCCGTTCACGAGGCTTTCGAGAGCTTCATTGACGAGTTTCTCTTCAGGAATCTCGTCCGGTGTTCCAAGAGGCAACTTGACTGTCGACATGGCTTCGATATGAGGATATGGAGGAGCGGTTGACTGTGAATGATCTCGTATCTTGGGTGTTAATAAATCGTCGCTGTGGACTTTATTTGTCGAGATGAGGAGAAGGTTTCATGAACGGTACATGAAGTATAGATGCCTGGAGCTGCGTCATTGTGTCGCGCATGGTTGTTTTCGCGCGTTGAAGCTACGCCAGCCAGCTGAGAATGACGACAATTCTCCGTGCAGGGCCATCTTGATCACTGACAAAGATACTAATAGTGAATCTTACGAAGCACTGACGGCTGTCCTTCACTAGACGTGAGACTTGCATTCCAGCTATTTCTTAGTGTGCCTCGCACGCGAGGCGGAGGAGGAAAAGCAGGAGTGCGTGCGCGAGTCAGCGCCCGCTCAAGCGCATGCACCTCCACCACCACCACCTACATGCAGGTGTGCTATGAAAGGATAGCGAATTTAATTATTAACATAAATACCTTACTAACTCTATCTGGTAGGAGGAACTAGATTCATTGAGAATTTTTCACTTTTATGGTGCTAGAAAACATATCACCAAGCTATTCATGAGACCTAACAGGACTCGGCTACAACAAGAGTACAAAGGATGGGACTTGACAAAGTAGAGTTTGGTATAGTGTAGCATACTTGAGAATATCACACTACGGCTGTCTTTGACTAATCTAAATGCTGAGAAGAACCTCGGACGTCTTCTTTGGCTATCGTTCTATAGAGCTCAAACTCTTGAGTCTAGTTGCAGGGGCATCCCTGGTAGTTGCCAGCCTGGCAGATACCAGCAAGACCCATGCAGCCATTGTCGTTGCAGGCTCCGCGGAAGCTGTTGGTCTTGCCACCGCACTTGCGGCATTCGCTGAATGATGGTCAGCGGCTTGGATCAATTTACAGAATCATCATCGATTGGAAAGAAGAATGGCTTACCATCCGGCGTATCGGCCAGCGGAGCAGGTACCGTACTGGTCGTTAGGGTTGGCGAAAACACCCTCGCAACCTGAAGCGATGAACTCAATCAGTTGTGATACATTATGTTGATGGTAAAATCAACGTACCGTTGCCGTAGCAGTCACCGATGTTGGTACCGCAGTTGTCACGGGCAATCTAAGAAATATCAGAATCGCGAGCTGTGGTGGTCGTTCGTGAAGCAGTCTTGCCATACCTCGACGACGGGGCTTGCAGCAGCGCCCAAGGCGAAGACAGCGGCAGCGATGAAGGTAAGGCGGACCATGTTTGCGGTTGTAGTTTGGATATGGAGTAATAAGGCTTTGAAATGAGGTGATTGCTGTGGATTGTATTCTGGCAGTTCTGGATTTGTTCACCTGGAGGAAAAGCTCTTGATATATATATCCTTCATCTCGCCTTCAATTCCTGAGGGCCTTGGGCTCCACGTCCACCAGACGGGCCATTTCAAAGAGCCCGTTTGAAGTTTCGCGTTCGTCCATAGTGTTGTCGACTCTGACTTTGCCCTCACTGTGCCCTCCGCTGGAGCCAACAGCAAGCAAGGCTGCCCAGGTGTGTTTCGACTCTCGAAGGATCAACATCTCTTGTCCAGGAAAAAAGCTCACGTGATTGTCGATCAATCCGCGATCAGAGCAAGTGAATCATGGCGATCGCTCATCATTGCTGGGGCCGCGCTGGGGCCGACATTGGGTCTCGTGAATATTGCCTGCATACAGTTGAAGAGCCCTAGACCCTAGACGTGCCCTGGTATTTTGCAGCATGGTCGCAGCCGCGGCTGAAGTGTCCAGGATCTGCACCGGACTCGCAGCCCCACCACGTGCGACTACCATGATCCGTATTTGCACACGAGCTACTGCAAGCTTAATTAGAGGTCAGCACTATATATACATAGTAAGCACTACCCAGGTACACAGACACACGCCAAGTTCAATTGATCTACTTCGGGGCGACGCTCAGGATCTTGACTCAAACACCACATACGTCACGCCGCGGAACTCTAAAACCTCGGGTACTCATCATTTGTCCATTGGAAATGAAATTGAAGGCATATACGAAATTATGATACCCAGTGACATTATTACAATACATTGATACAACCCTCGGACCACTCGTTGAAGGTGGCAGTGCCCCCAGCCGGATCGCCCCCAAGAAATTCCTCCATACCAGCATATTCGCCAGAATCGAACGCGGGGCTTCTGCCGATGCCGCTGTCGAATGTCTCAGGTATTGACGGCACAGAGGAACGGTCGGAGATGGTCGAGCCGGCAAAGTTGACCGGAGAGGAAAACATGTGTAGTAGATCAGGCTCCGGCTGAGACGTATTGGAATTCCGACAGTCGACGAACACAGCGTGCCGACCTGAAAGAATCTATTAGCATGAAAGCTTCGAGGATACTCTATGGGGATGCCCGCAAGCTTACCGTGCATGGAGTGATACTTGTTAGAAAAGTCAAGCCACCACTCATCAAATTCGTTCGCAAAATCGATAATGGTCTGCAAATTTTCTCTCGGTCCCTGTAAGAGAGTGAGGAGCTCCGAGAATTCTCGGTACGGCAGTCGACTTAAGCTCCGACATTCGTAAGCCAACAGTAGTCCAAGGGTTGAACCCAGGCCCGCGGCCTGGGCACAGTTCTGAATAATCCTCATTTTCGTCCCAAGGCGAAGCCCAGCGTCGAACTTTTCCCGATGGCTTCCCACGTCTCCCAGACTCGCGAAGAAATTGCCGTGGTGGTGACCGTGCCGTTGTACCGCGAGAGACTCGCCATTCAGCAGCTGCATGAGCAGGACTTGGTGCTTCGAAGTCCAACCCTGGCTTTGCTCAAACAAGGCGAAATCCAGAGCGAGCGATTGACAGGAGGCGGCCATCAAAAGGCGATCCGCAGCGTCGATGGAGTTGTGCTTGTTCTCGTTTTGGTAAGACAGAATGGGCTGTAGATGCAAAGCGCGGACGTCGCTCGGGAGTCTGCACCATTCCTCGAGCTGCGTCGTTGTGTGTCTTCGAATAGCTTGGGCGAGAACAGGGGCGATCTCACTCGCGGCCTGCAAAGCGCGAGCAGCGCTCACTTGTCGAGATCGTTTTACCGTGGGAGGCGTGGTGACGCTTGGCGAAAGTGCTGGTTGCGAAGGGCGTGGGGAATTCCATGAGGATGGGGCGATTATGTGACTGGAATGCTCGTTTCCATGGCTGACTACCGCTTGGGTGACTGCTGTATTGATCTCTTCTGTGATGGCCAGGAGCCGCTGCAACTGTGACGAGTGTGGTAGGAGATGCTTGAGAGGCAGCTGTCGAATGTTTTCAGCCAAGGTGATGATCTGATCGATAGGCACAGCATCATGATTTCCTGAATTCATTATTTCTTGGTGAAAAGGGCGATGTCAAAGTTGATTACTACCGATCTTGCCATAATTGTTCCCGCTTGCATTCATTGATATATAACTTCACCTGGAGCGGAAGATGCTGCGTACCTACAGGGAAACCACCATGCTAATTCAAGACTTCAGCTCAGGAGTCATCACCAGGGCCAATAGGCAGTTTCTGTTAAGGATGCAGTCTATGCGTGCATACTCGGTGATGAGGCCACTGCAGCTCGATAACAAAGAGTGGAAGCGGAACGGGAGTAGTAAGCTTTTTCCACCACGCCAAGGCCGGCCAAGGTCAGCCCTGGAGGGTTTGGTACGAGCAGGATCAACAACCAATGGACAGCCAGCAATGGAAAGACTAGCGCGGCGAAGAGAGGTGCGTGCACGTGCCAACCACGTTGCCGGCCGAGCCCGGACCTTTCTCCTGCATCCATCCTGTGCTCTCGGCGGGATAAGCAACGTCAGCCTTGGTGAAATATTTTGTGTCTTCGACCAGTCCGCAGCTACTCCGCATGTATGCATGCAGGTGGGCAATCATCGGTTCAGGACGAATACGAGGTGCATATAACCGACTTGTCAATCGGCTGGAAGAAATTTTCCTTTGCAGAGCTGCGCCAAGTTGCCTCCCACTCGTACATGTGCGCACCGCATGAACACCCAAGTCCAACCGTCTATCGGACGGGCTCGACGTCAATAGCGGCAAGCATGTGCACATGGCGGATCGCCGACGAGACCGCAATACTGACACGCGATCGAGGCCACTGTTGAATGGTGAAACATTAGATGAGCCTCAATGCATGAAAGGTCCAAAAATAAGCGTACACGGACACGCATCATAACCGCTTTGCAAGGAGAACCCATATGCTCTAGCGGCCCGACTTTTCCCCAAACACATCGATTCCCCTACGTACAGCACCTTCACGGTGTTGGAAGACACATCACGCGGATGATTGTTGGCCAGCCCGAAGAAGAGACACGCGGTTCACATGCGCAGGAAGACGTCTCTTACGCCTCGGGAGTTCTCTGGGAAGCTGCTCATGACAGACCTCGTGGCCATCTGCCGATGACATGTAACCGTCTTCCCTACATACCACGTATGGTATGCGGGCCTGTTTGAGAAATTGAGAACATCACGAACGAGGCGTCCCACCAAACGTCATCTGCGGTCTTCCTTGCCCGACAGCACCGATGGAGAGGAGAATCGACAAAGCGGCGCCAAGAAAGCTTGGTCGATCGTGACGTAGTACTGATCGGGGCGGCGTTCTGCGGTTGGTGCCTCGCAAATCGATTCGATCGAAGTCGTAGCCCATCCACTCCCGCATGCCTTCTGTGGATATCGCGGCAAGAACGGAAAAGTTTCGCCGCACTACGGTCGAATAGTTAGCTGAGAGTTATGACGATCGTGTGCTGCCAACCGAACGGAAGAGGTTCTTGACAACAGCCAGAGGTAGAAGGAATGTAAAGGTCCTGAAAAGAATCTTGATGTAGAAGTCGAGGATGATCGATCCTCGGGGCGGTAGATTCAGTGAAGGGTACAGGTAGACGCAACGAGATCATGATCACTCATCATGCGTGAGATCCAACAAGACACTCATCTCGCCAGCCTCTGCGTAGTTAGAAAGGGCCTCAGAAATAATCAGCGCGTAAAAGCAAGATCTGATCAATCCTCCTTCAACATGACCCCAACACCCGCCAGGGCATCCACCGCCCAACTCGGATACTTCTCCCGATCCCCATCATACAACGTGTGAAAATAGCCCTTCAAAAACGCCGGAAATCGCCCTTCCACAATCGCCTCCCTGGCCCTCCGCACCAAATTGAGTTGATAGTGCACATTATGCATGCTCAAAAGGTGCGCGCCCACCGTCTCTTTCGCGACGAGATGATGGATATACGCGCGGGTGATTCCCAAGCCCCCGTCCCCCTCCTCGGGTGATCGACAACACACACATCGACAGCCAGGCTCGATAGGTCCGAAATCCTCCGCGAACGCCGCCCGCTTGAGGTTGACGCAGCCGCGGTCCGTGATGGCGTTGCCGAAGCGCGCGGTGCGCGTCGGCCACACGCAGTCGAACATGTCGGCGCCCAGGGCGATGCAGACCAGGATGTCCTCGGGGAAGCCCACGCCCATGACGTAGCGGGGCTTGTGCGGCGGCAGGAGCGCCGTGCAGGTGGAGACGACGCGGCAGAAGTCGTGCTTGGCTTCGCCGCCGCTGAGGCCGCCGATGGCGATGCCCGGGGTGTCGCGGGAGACCATGGCGAGGGTGCATTCGCGCCGGAGGGTCAGGTCCAGCCCGCCTTGGATTATGCAGAAGAGGTTTTGGGTGTGGGGGTTCTTGTGTGCGGCGATGCAGCGGTCGAGCCAGCGGATGGAGCGGTGCGTGGCTTCTTCGATGCGGGCGTTGTCGGGAGAGGTGGTGGCGATGACATCGTCGAGTTGCATGATGATGTCCGAGCCGATCGAGTTCTGGAGGGAGATGGAATGTTCAGGTGTGAGAAGCCTGTCGATCGTAGAACGACTTGTTAGATCCCATTTGAAAGCTGGCGAAGTTTGAGCTTTGATGCTTACATCGGACTGCCATCGTGTGGACTCAGGAACTTGACGCCTTCTTCAGTGACTTGAGCGAGTTTCATCAGGGAGACCATTTGAAATCTGTCCATGCAATCAGCTTGTCATCCGCATTTCCAAATGCCAAACGAGGTCAAACCTACCCTCCGCTATCTGATCAATGATCATCATTAGCAGGGCCCGACCGTCAATCAGCTCATGTGTTCAACATACCCGTCAAAATATTATGCTTCCACGACTGCAACTTATGCGCCCCTCCAATCCTATCGAGCGTCTGCTGTCCCGGTTTAAGACCCCTGCAAGGGAAAATCATCAGCAGAAACTCCCATCAACTGCCCAAAAGCAAAAATCGGTCCGGCCGATCCCCACAAAAATAAAACCAAAAGAAAAGAAAAGGGAGAGAGGCTTCCTCACAGATGATAAGTATTATTCAAACAGAGCCTACAGCCCGTCGTTTCCAGCTGATGAGGCGTGAGGCCCTTCAGGGAAGCCTGCGTCGCGACGGGCATGAACATGGGGAGATTGACGGGCCCATGGGGGAGAGAGAGGACGGCGGCGCGGGCGCGGGTGGTCTGGATTCTGGCCCTGGATGAATGAGATTTGGGAGTCTTTGTCTTCTGCGGATTGGGCGATTTGTGGGCGAGATGGAAGCGGTGGAAGTGGTTTGGTGAAGGGGAGTTTCGGTGAAGATGGGATGATTGGGGGCATGTGGTCGGGGTGGAGCGGAGAGACTGACGGTACACTGGGCGATGAGGTTGAATGTTAGGGCGGACGGGGTTGTTGAGTGGAGTGGTGGTGGTGGCATTGGGTCGGTGGTGGACATGGTTTTGCTCCGATTTGTTGCCCGCTTTCTTGTGGCTGATCGATCGACTTGCGACAGGATTTCCGGCAGACTTGTCGTGCGTTTATCGTACTATTTCGTTACTTCTTCATCGTCGTAAGCCGTATCGTTTACCGAATAATCGCAGATCGTTTGTCGTGTGAGGTCCAAATGATCGGAAACACATTGGAGGAGGGTCAAAGGCATGGAAGCGGGCGAGGTGTTTCGTTAGGGTTTGGGTTGGGCTTGATTTCGATACCGCGCCTCATTGGATTCCGTTACACACCTCCCTTGAAATCAATTGGTAAGATGGCCACAGATTTGCAGACGCAGGCACGTGAGAGGACTGAACGTTTCGAAATGATATGAATGAAAAGTACTTCATTGTGTTTGTTGACCTTCGGACATCTCCTGAAAGCTCGTTGCCACTGGGCGTTCTGTAAATTTGGAAGGACGAGGGAAAATGATTTTGAGGATCAGGTTAGGGTGACGTTCTTAAGGCAGGACGTTAGACATCGCGTTGGGAATGGCAGTGGAGGATGAGCAGCAAACCAGGGTCAATACGGCCTCGCTCGCGACGATATCGAATTAGCTTTGGCGGTTCTGACTGCTTGCGGGCTTTTGCATTGACTTTCTTTCCGGGCATGATGAGGGTTTTCGATGAGGATGAAGACGATCACTTGGATATTTGAAGCCAATTGGTGACGGAAAGAAGAAGACAGCGGACAACACAAGTCTTATGGTTCAAGTGAAGACGGAATGAGAATGGTCGGTCAATAGCAAAGAGCGTGTTGAATCAAGAAACAGAAGTTGTGGAAGGGGGATCGTTGTACGTCCACGAACCTGTATGAAGAGAAATATTCATCAATCGAACAGGCAACAACAGTGCGCCTCATCAGTTGATCATCACAAGAACGCGAGAATGGCGCGCTGCTCCATCAGAGTGAGCGGACGGTCATGCGTGTGCTTCCAAGGCTCTGAGCTTGTGCTTGAGCAGAGAACAGGAAGGAGCCTTTCGAGCCGTGACCAGCCGCCCGGTGGTGCAGGTGGACATGAAACGCCACGCAGCCTTCCAAGGTTATTCGAAAGGTGACGAGGTAGACAACAACTCCATAGATCTTCCTCAGCAATAACTAGGTAGACCGTTGGAATGTAGCGTACGATCGACGGAATTCTCATTAAATGAGGCACACGAAGGGTCAAGTTTATGCATATGTGAAGGACTCTACGACAGTCGTGATGCCTGGGTTGAGAAACTTGCGTGGCGGGATTCGACCATGTCAGATCTATCGAGGCGAAGATAGGCGAGAAGCAGGACAGCTACCTGCTCGGGCGCTTCCTCTCCAGTTCCCCAAATGCTTCTTTCCTGGTATCGTATTGTCGTTCGTTGAAAGCGCCGTGACGAGACAGGGTTCCGAAGCAAGTGGAAGGCGTCAATCCCTCAGATCCGAACAGCTCATCATTCATCTGTAGAAGAAGCAAGCTCGGGAAAAGATCAGGAGATAGTTTTGAACGTAATAGCGATGTTGGACTATCTCGAATATACATGATTCGCTTCAGAGAGAGAGAGAGCGAGAGAGACGGAGGGCCGTAGATACATGCCGACGTCCAACAGCAAGCATACCATAATACGATGGAGTCCAAACCAAACAGACCACATACACATGGGTAAAAAACAACAACAACAACAACAACAACAACAATCGCTCAAGGTGGGGGAATCAATCACTGCTTCCATATGCGTCATCATCGAGCCACACTCCCTTTCTTCGTCCCATTGACGACCATTTCCCATTCACCGCAATCCACATTCCTCGTCAATCGAAAAACCCACAATCAATCCATCCATCCCTCATCGACAGGATCCAATCAATCCTCAATGACGACTCCACAGAACAGACAACAGAGCGGTTCGATTTTCTTCGTGCCGTCCGGCCTCGTGAGGAGGATGCTATTCGAGCTCGCGGGCGCCGGGGTGAGGCTCGCGACGTTCACCGTCCCGGGCGTCGCTGCGGGATTTGAAGTCGTCGTCGGGCCCGGGTTTGTGATGGAGGAGATGGCGTGCATGATGGGTGCGGTGAAGGCATTGGCGACGGTGTGTGCGAGGCTGCGGTCCGGTGTCGTCGTCGTCGCGGCGGCGGCGGCGGCGTCGGGCATGGGGGTATCGTTTGCGGCGGGAGTCGGGGTGGTTTCGGATTTGACGGCGTCGGAGGCGGAGGAGGAGGAGGATTTTGAGTCGGATGTGTCGGTAGTGGTGGTGGTGGAGGAAATCCCGGGAGCGGCGCCATTGAGAGGCACGGCGGGGAGGCCTTTGATGTAGACTTCGGCGGTGAAGCCGTGTTTCTGGGCGCGCGCTTGCGCGAGGGAGAGGGAGCTGAGTTTGAGGTCCAGGGCGGGGGATTCGCTCTTGATGGCGCGGGTTATGGCCTCTTTGGAGGATTTCTGGGCGGATTTACCTGTTGGGTGGAATTCGTCGTCTGGTGGCAAAGGTGGGACGTTGTCAATGTCGTTGTTTCCGGAAAGGGAGATGCCATCGATCGCGCGATGGAGGTACTTACAGGCTTGCTGCACAGCGTTGTCGGCAATGCATTTCACGTGCAGCCATTTCCGACAGCTTTCTTGTGAACACTGGATGATCAACTCGTCGGGGTTATGTGGTTGGCGATCTATGCATATCTGGCGTAATTTCTGCATTCACAAGGGCTTCGTCAGCGAACCGCCTACGACTCGCGCAGAACGACTCTGTCACGTTCCAACGATCCGACTTACCGAAAACGTCCGTGTATTGGCATAATCGTATGTCTGCCGCCAGAAGAATTGATCCTCTGTCATCATCGCACTATCGTCGTCGTCCTTCCAATGTACGATGTCTACGGTGCCGTTGACAGCCATGGCGTCGATGATGTCGAGTTGATTCGTAGGGATGAGTTCGTTTCTGCCGTGATGAGGTTTGCGACCGCCTGAGAGATCTTCTGGTCGATTGAGCCATGCGACGCGCAGATAGACGTGCTCTTGATCTAGCGCGCGGACCTCCAGAACTTTCGCCTTCCACTGTGCCGCAACATCGATGCGCTGATCTTCCGTCGTGTCGTCATGCTTGATCAGGACACATTCGCCGGTTGCGATGCTCTCAGTCCCAACTATACCCTCATGTCAGCATGTCCAAATGTGCGCACGCATCTCAAGCCGATTCCTATGCGCCAGAGAACGCTCCCACTCACCTGTAAACTTCTTATACCGGCGCAAACTCTCCCAACGATCTTTCGGTCGCACCTCATATAGAACCGATAGCCTGTCCTCCCACAAATCCTCTTGCGCATTATATGTAGACGCCTCTCGCTTTCGCTTCTTCGTGTTTGGTAGTGTCGCGATACCGAATGGTTTGTCGGCTTTGTTGAGAAAGTTGCGTAGGTCCGACTGAGCGAGATCGCTCAGTTGCGGTTGCGGTGATTTCAGCTCATCTGGCGGTCGGTGTCCCTTTGGTGTGCTAGATTTCAATGCAGAAGATTTTGATTTGGCGGAGGCGCCACCTTTGGTCGGCATTGTGAAGCAGGTGTATATCAAGAGCTCCGAGGGCAGTATTTGCTATCAGCGATGTGGAGATGCCGTGGTATCAGCGCATGAGTCACGACGTTATGAAAGCCGTTGAAAAAGGTCGCAGGCGCAAGCGAGGTGTTTTGCGACCAAATCCGTCGTCTGATGTTCGACCAGTTTGACGCGTGTCGACAAAGCAATCTGGCCGATGGGCGGCAAAGCACAGGTTGTTGGAAATGAAAGAGTCGGGTCCAAGTCGAATGCGGCACGTTACACATGGGCCAATTGGTCTCGACTCAGCCTGTCAAAATGAGTCCGAGGAAGGCGCGACACAAAGCTGTCTCCCGGTCTGTCGTGATCTTTAGGAGCCAGCGCGTATTTATTAAGCATTGTGATGATGACGGCCTTTCAAGCGCGCTCGACGTGGAGGTTTTCTGGAAGCGGGTGAAGCCGTACAAGCGCGGGGACTGGCCACCCCGTTCAGTGCACTTGTCCCATCATCTCCATCGAGTCCGAGTCGAGCATTGGAAATCCGCCATTCATTGAGGCTCGAGCATGGCTTCCATGTAATTTAATTAGTACCATATCGCACCATTGGAGATGGAGCATTGATTCCTCCGCTCAGCGCTGGATGCGAACATCGAGCATCGCACATTACTCCGGATATGAAAATGATCGACAGGTCCGTCGTGGTTCTCTCATCGTTGAAGTGACGCTAAAGCTCGAACATGGCCCTCTAGTTGGATTGCATCATTTGAAGACGGAGCATTAATTCCTCCGTTCAGCATTGGAGACATTTCACTCTCGCACCTTGCTCCAGATGTGAAAAATGATCGACAGGTTCGTCAAAGCTCTGTCATTAGATACTAATAATTAGACGCCATCTCCTGTGGGCTATCCCGGCGTAGTACTCTGACGATCGTTCATTCCGATCGGATCTGCAAAGTTTTTCCCTTCAGGTACACTTTGAGTCGATCGCCAGGTTCGTCATAGCCTCATAACCTCACAGATGCGATATTGTAGATTCATGTCAAGAGATGGAGGTTCAGGAATAGCCCGACCTTCACGAGGTCGATATACTCGACCGTCCCTAGTCGACACTCCACAGTCACAGTGGCCGAGTATTCCTCTGCGTGACGAGATGAATGTCATCTGGGGAAATACCTGCCCACCTTGGAAATGAGAGCTCCAGGTCGCATGCATCTCGCACCCACCTTCTCCCCGGGGCCAGCATGGAATTCTCATCACGTGTGTCGGCGAGAGCTTCGCGCTCTGCTAGCCTCGACTTGTTCCTCTCGTTGCAGTTGAGCATTGAACCGGGCGCTGCTCACGAAGCACGAGTCAATCGCGTCTGCGGTGAATAGCGACGGATATCCTGGTGTCCTGGCTTGGAGGGCCTCGCGTCCACATACCACCTGGGCAATGCCGACACTCGCCAAGGAATGCGTCGTGTACAGTACACACTTGAGCACCTCATACGAGCGATGCCCAGAACAACGACGACCCCACCAGGCCACAATCCGACGAGGGATGGTCAGACATGCATACCTACCAATGGACGATCCTCCCATGAAATGAATTGATCGAGAGACCCCGGGCTACGATATTACTCGGACGATTTCGTATTTCGTCTTTCCTCTCCGCCGCGAGCTATGACGGGATACATGCCCCGAGTCATCAATCAATCATTAGTCAGGGCCAGGGCACCTCTTTTTTGGGCGGATTTGCAAAAACACCTGCCCATGGATCGATGGCGCCACCACCGCCACAGTTTGGGTTGCAGATACGGGCGGATGTATGTACACAGGTAGGTAAGGTAGGTCGGCAGCCAATGGTACCTCTGTACAGCACAGTAGCCGAATCGTGGGCGGAGATCGCGCGATTCCTCCTCAGATCTGTGCCATTGTCTGCATCCTCCATTCCGCAAATATCAGGTGCATCCGTGATGACAACGTAGCTGAGTCTTTGGGGGGAAGGGAAAAAAAGGAGCGCAGATGAAAACGGCGTTTCCTGTTGCCGAGGGCATGGATCGATGTATTCCCAAGCCCGACGTTGGGTCTATCATCATCGTCATCATCATCGTTTTCTTCGCTTCGAAAAACTGCCGCTACGTGGGAAAGCTCGGGCGGTTCAGATGAAACGGTCGTGTGGTCTGCCCTTGTTGACCAGAGAAAAAACCTGTTTACCGGGAAACGTCTGTCCCGAATTGCGGTGCTGCTACACTACTTACTGTACCGAGATCTTCTCCGAGCGGAAAATCCGGGACTGTGATCAGGGTCATTGGAATGCTGGGGAGTGGAATGGTCCAGCGTCGCGACAACATGAAACAAGGACATGATGCATAAAAAACAATGCAACCGAGGAATGCGCACTCGGGTATGTATACACTGTACAGTATGTGAGCCTGTTGACTACACATCGCGATGGAACGGAGCAAGATATGCCGACGAGAGAAATTCTTCATCTCTGCGGGTTTCATTCGTGCGCACCTCCATGCATGCGCCCAACAGTCCAACGACAAATCGGCAACGGAGATCGTCCTCCTCGTGTCGGATACCAGACATTCACTACGGCGACAACCACGAGTGCATGCGATACTCGACGTTTATAACCAGTGCGTATAAAGTCGACGACAGATTGCTGAGTGGGAAGAATTCCGCCCGGAGATGGATGCGAGGAAGGGTGAAGAACAGGATGCCCCCTGCGAGGGATTTCCATTGCCCATCCACCCCACTTCTCTCCCTGTCTCATCATCTCGTCATGCAATTGTCTTGTCGCCGGCGTCATCGGGAGTGGCTTATGCGCGGCGACCGTTGATGCTCTGCGTCAGAAAGTGACATCCGGGCGCCGGGGGGTGTCTGTCAATTCCGTTGCCCTTCTAGCTTGTGCCTGGATGGACGGACGGGCTTGGATGTGTGCGGTGCAGCTTGCTTGTCGTCGCCGTCGTAGACGAGAGTCTCACAACAACATCGACATTGCATCTGACAGCTAGATATGCAGGTTGATGATGATAATAATCATAATAATAATAACGAGACTGTCTCTCCTCCAGCGTCGGCGGGACGATGAGCTAGCATGCCCAGCGCGTATTTGCGACTGTTATTATAGAGATCGTGTATACAAATTCTCGTATTGTCCTGCATCCTACGAACAAAAATATCCTCGTGGGTCGTTCGCTCCAGACGCCGCCGCCGCCGCCGTCTTTCCACCGACCGACCGTGTTTCCTCCTCGAGTCTCTCTCCCTCTGTCTCTGGCCGGAGTCGACGAACCGATTTGCAGGCCAAAGAGAAAAGTATCGTCGACCGTCTCGGTCCCAACCTTACAAAATCAGCGGAGTGTCTACTCCTCTCATCACCACCAGGAACATCTTCTTAGAGGTCATTTCATGGTTTCGTTCCCGAGCGCAAAACTCCCTACTACTTACTATTGCTGCGCGTGCACACGCCCTGGACGCACGCGCACACGACGTCCATCATCACCGCCACGCACCGGCCGGCAGCTGCCCACCAGAATAAAAAGAGTTGTCTGACACGCTATGACGACGACGGTCTTGGGTACTCTCATCTTCACCACCACCACCACCACCACCGTCATTCGCGCCACCACTCCCGATCTCAGCTGGGCTATCTTCGGACCATTCTCCTCCTCAACATCCTCACGGCAATACAATCATTCATTGACCATACTTATCACAATTTGACTTTCCAAAAGAGATCTGTCTCTCCTTGAATTGTACTGCACAAGACTATATTGTACCTCCCTTTGTGGGTTTCATTCACTCAGCATCATCATCATCATCATCATCACCATCATTCAGCACCTCCAGGGCAATCTCGACGCTCTGACGCGCGACTTCCTGCCAGCCCGTCCGTGGAGCCGCCCTCGACGACTTTACTCCTCCACTATTTCCTCCTCCGATACCCAATACCCGTGGACCTGCCCTACCTACCCAGCTTTTATGTCCGCGACACGACCTCTTCCTCCTGCCTGAACAACTTTCTCCCACTTTTTGTTTCATCTTCCACATTCCCCTTCTGTCGTTTCGGATTGCTGCTCAGCCACCTTTTACATATACAAAAAAAAACATTCCAACAGGATTGCGACGACCTACGATCACGACGTGAACAGCATCAGCATCAGCGCCCTACATCAGCATCCAGCATCTGCAACCACCACTCGGGCTTCCATCCGCGGATTCGCCAGCAAATATCGCAATAGAGGCGTCGCGAGCAGTATAGAAAACACTCGGATTCTCAACATCATATACACAGACCGAATTTCTGTCCCGGTCCGATTACTACTCCATCTAATCGTCATATACAGTCGGACTGCCGATCGAAAAAATCATGTCCCGCCATCGCGGTACGTTGAACTCGCGTGTGCAACCGTCGTGACCGATTTTCGCACCTGCCGTGCTCGCCAGGCTTGCATGGTAACACTACGATGATATGACACTTGCTGATCCAAATTTTTCTTGCCTGCAGTGTTGTCGTTTATGTCACAATGGGGCGGTCACAATTCCCGTGCAGGAAACACCGATCCCGAGCCGATCGCGACCCCACAGGAGAGCCCATCGCCCAAAGACGCCTTGTCACCCACGAGGCCCGCCGATCTCGATATCACTGCAGCTCGTTCGCGACCTGCTAGCATCGCCCACACGCCCACCTCGCCCCGCTCGCCGAGCATCCCTTCGCGAGCTCGTGGCGACTCGCGCGTCAGCCAGCGCAACAGCATAATCCAGACCTACCAACCGCCACAAGTCGAAGTGGCCTCCGACACACCGCCAGAACTCGCCCCGATCTTCACTTATTTGAACAGCCACAGCAATAAATTGTATCAGGAGGGATATTTCCTTAAACTACACGACCTCGATTCAAGAGGAAGGCCGAGCGCAGATCGCGTGTGGAACGAGTGCTTCGCTCAGTTGATCGGGACGGTTCTATCGCTATGGGACGCGGCTGCGTTGGATGCAGCTGGCGAAGATGGCGAGGTCGTCCCGACGTTCATCAATTTGAGCGATGCGTCCTTGAAAATGGTGAGTGATGTCTGCGCACCAAGTGGCGGCCGAAAGCTGACACCCCGACGCACAGATCGAATCGCTTCCGATGAACGGCACACAGAGCGGCACGCTGCAAAACGTCCTCAGCATCTCCACTGCCGCCAACAACCGCTACCTTCTTCATTTCAACTCGCTCAACTCTCTCACCCAATGGACCGCCGGCATCCGTCTCGCCATGTTCGAACACTCCGCGCTGCAAGAGGCATACACCGGCTCGCTCATTGCTGGAAAGGGCAAATTCCTCAACAATGTGCGACAGATCATGGAGCGATCAAGATTCGTCTACGAAGATTGGGCACGTGTGCGCTTCGGCGCGGGAACACCTTGGAAGCGGTGCTGGTGTGTGATCACGCCTCCCGACGAGAAGGAATTCGCAAAGGCACAGAAACTCGCCAAGAAGAACCCTTACGAGCGCATGCGCATGCCCAAGGGCGATGTTCGATTCTATGACACTCGCAAGGTCACCAAGAAGACGAGGCCTCTGGCGACCATTTCAGACGCGTACGCGGCCTACGCGATCTACCCACAGGCGAAGCCTTTGATCGACCAATCAACCCTGGTCAAGGTCGAGGGTCTGATCACGCAGCACACCAAACCTGAGAAGACGACCGAGGGATTCGTCTTTGTGATGCCCGAGGTACATCCCGCTGTTAGCGGCTTCGAGATGATGCTTCGTTGGTTGTTCCCCGTCTTTGACACGTTCGCGCTGTATGGACGACCGACACGACTCATCGCAGACGTCATCGATCAGCGAGGTCTGATGTTCGCCATGCCTCGAGATCGGCGGTATGGATTCCTCGACACCCTTGATGTGTCGGGACTGATCCACACCACGGGCAGCCAGAACTGGAGCGAGCGGCAATGGCGCAACGAAATGAAGAAACTCACTTCTACTCGCATGGCGGCTATGATGGAAGGTTCCCCTCGACCGAGCCAACAAATCAGTCAACGACGCGCAACCACGAGCAGGCAATCGCTGCCTCCCAATCGCATGAGCCTGCGGTTCGACGACAATGTGACACACTCTTCGCCAGGCTCACGTTCAGGTTCGCCAGCAGGCGCATCACGCGGTCCTGCCCCTGGCTCGCTCGACCGCACAGATTCTGCTCCGCCGACGGCTTCGTCTGGCCCTCACAAACGCTCCGCATCTGACGTCTACGCATACCGTAAACGTGCAACAGACACACCGTCACGGTTGTCGCAGGAAATCCCCCGAGATGACGACTATGGCGATGCTCCTCGTCCCCCGCCGCACGGCATGAGCAGTGACCCTTCCCTCGCAGAAACTTACAACTCTGGGGCTGTCTCACCCGTTGGGCCCGATGGGCGCATGTCTGTATATGGTTCGTACGAGAAGTCGGCCCAGAGCGCGGACCACCGTCATTCGAACATCCCACTGCCCGTCCACTCGCCTCCTCCGTTCGCGCATGCTCCAAGCGACCGCCCTTCCGGCAACCTCAACCAAGCATCTGACCTCCGTCGCGCACACGCGGCTGTCGACGAGGACACCCTCTACCAAATGCAAGATGCCCGACAAACGGGAATCTCTCCTGTCGAGGATGACGCATATACCGCATCGCAGCCTTCTGGCCAACAACAGGCGTTCTTGCCCTATCGATCTCGCGAGAACACTATACAGCAGCCTTCCTACCACCAGAACAACTCGTACAACGGAGGCTATGACTCATACGAGCCACGCGATCGCGTACAGCGGCTCAGCACGATTCCCGGCTCGCCATTTGTTGGCGAAGACACGGAATATTTCGCGAGGACGCCCGTACAGCAGCACATGCCACCACTCAGTGAGAATGGCAGCATGTCGCACCACAGTACGGGGGCTCACACCCCTGATGCACAATCCCCTTCAGCCGGATCGCGCGCGAGCATTGCCAGGAAGCCTGTGCCTCGCCTCGCTTCTGAAGCCCCTGACGAATACTCGGGCCGTTATGGCAACAACCAAAACCCCCAGGTGCGTACTGACATCGATCGTGAAGAAGGCTTAGATACCCCCCCTTCCCCCGTAGGCAGCCACGTGGCCGCAATGATTGACGCAAGTGCTCTAGAACGCTTCTTGAGCGGCGAAGATCTCACAACACGTGCCGACACCATGCAAACAACTGTATCTTCGGCCACCCCTGATTACGCCAGCACCCCCAGTATGAAATCTGTAGAGGAGAAGCAAGTCCCGGCCGAGAAGCCTCGCGCGGGACGGATGAAAGTCGTCGGCGACCCGGACCTGGTATCTGCGAAACATCCAAAATCGGGCGGAGCAGGTCGACTGGACACTTATGCGAGAGACAATGCCGAGGACTATTCGGAAATGCCGACCATCGACTTCGGTCCGACTTATTCTTACAAGCCCAGCAGTCGGCCAGGGACGAGCGGGACCTTGTCAGGGGCCGACGGTCTGCACAGACGAACCAAATCGCGGGACTATCTTGCAGAAGGGTTTCAAGATCGCAAGATTGGACAGACCAAACAGGAAGACGAGGTGATTGCTTCAGTCGCGCCACAGCAGCCAACTATCGTTGCGTGGACTGGTCCCCCCTCCACGTCCGGAGAGTTCGAAAGCGCCACCAGCGATCGCCTCACTCTCTCCCCTGAGCAATGGGTCCAGCATCGTGCCAACATCGTGTCCTCCCAACCGCAGCATGCTGTCCCTAGCGCTCGAAGACCACTCCCTGCTTTGCCGCCAAGTTCGCCTCCAGCTATTCCATTCTCTTCCCGCCCTAACTCTTTCCACGACATGAACCAGCTTCTCAGCCCGTCATCCATCACCAAGACACCGCCCCCATTCATCCGCGGCAGCTCCGGTGATTGGACAACTTCGCGTCAGTCGCCTTTAGCTCAAACGCCTCCACTTGCTCGCGCGACTTCTGGTGACTGGTCCGCTCTCAGTCCCTCTTCCATTACCCAAACCCCGCCACCTTTCATTCGTGCCTCTTCTGGCGATTGGGCGCATCTCCGCGACCAGCCGACACGTCCGATCAGCCGACCGACTTCTCGTGGTGCTGGCGCTGTCCTCACCGCCGGTGCAATGAAGTCGTCGTTCCGCTCAGAATCACCGATTACGTCATCCATGAATGCCAGGGAGCAGATGCACATCGCTCGCGCCACAGGCACTCCTCTACTCGGCTACTCGGCGACCACGTCTCCACGCATGGTTTCACCGATAACACCTCTGTCTACCAGTCCCGGTCTTGTGGGTGCGTTGGCAGCGAGGGAGAGGGAGCGAGCAGCCTGGGGTGAAGGCGTAAGATCTACCCAAGTCAAGGAAGCCATTGCTTTGAGGATGAAAGAGCAGCAACAACAGCAATTAATGCACGCCCATCTCAACGCGCAGCTGCAAGCCCAGGCCCAACTGGAATCCCACATCCAACTGCAACAACTCCAGCAGGCCCAAATCCAACAAGCCCAACTCCAAGAAATCCAACATCAGGCCCTCCTCCAACAACAACAAAACCTGCTCTTCCAACAGCATCAAGCCCGACAACTCCAACAACCTTTCCCCCTCTACGCCTCCTCCATCACCTCAACCACCCGTCCCACAACTCCCTCCCAACAACAACCCACCGTCCCAATCTACCAACTCCAACGCCCCGTCACCCCGTCATCCGCCTTCACCGCGCCCCCAGGAGACCTCTACATGCAGCAACAACAGCACACCCGCCATCACGCCAGCGCGAGCTCGAGTTCATTGAACCTCTTCCAGCAACTCCAACAGCATCAGCAGCAACAACAGCTCCCGCCGCGGCCCTCGACGGCGAATTCCTTCGCTTCATCATCCATGCACGCGTCGTCCTCTATCCCCGGGTCCGGCGGTTTCGGCGGCGTCTTCGTCCAGCAGCAACAGGCGCTTGTGAGAGGCGGCGCGGCCGGTGCCGGGGCCGGCGCGTTTCGGCATTCGAGGGGGAAGAGCGAGACTTCGGTTCTGACCAGGTTGGGGTATGAATCTTGAGGAGGTATGCATGATGGTCTCGGTTCCGATGAGATGAGATGGTTATTACGGCTTTGGATTCGGGCGATGTTCAGCGTTGAAGTGTGGGGTTTGGGATCTTGTGTTGCGGAGGGACGAATTACGGGGCTATCATTGTCGCCGTTGGTGTTACGGATGGATTATCCTTTGTATTTGAGAGTTCTGTTTTGTCGTTGGACTTAAGACTTCTGTCGCTCCGGCGGGGATGTACGCATGTATGCACACAGGGATGTTTTCGTCTCCCGCTCGCGAGAGCTTGTCTGCTTATGCAATTGTGTGGAGCCGGGCGTTTGTGGACGTTGGACTTCATATCCCGTTCTCGGTTCGTGCATGTCATTGCTTTGATCTTGATCTTGACCTCTATCTTCATCTTGTTCTTCTTCTTTCTGTTGTTCTTCTGCCGTTCTCATTTTTCTACATGTGAAGGTGAATGGAAAGAAGGAAGGGATAGATAGAGGAAAGGGGGGAACAGAAAAGGAAAGGGAGGAATGGAAAAGGAAGGGCGGAGTAACGTGCCCCCCGGCGTCGCGAGCCACCCTATGTAACGAGCCGGCATCGAAGACTCTCATCAATAATACTCCGCAACGCACATACTGACACAAGACGTCGCATCTGAAATGCAGAGCAGGATGGCAGCACTCCGCCACAGCTTTCATGCCAGGATCGGCCCGGCCTCGTCTTACGAACGCTGCTGCAATCGATTCCGTTCTCGTGCAAAACTCGAGCTTCCCGGCTAATTGCGAGTTCTGGGCGTGGTCCTCATCAGAATGCAAACCCGGCACTCTTGACGGAGAGCTCGGTGTCTGCTCCATCTCTGTCGTGGATCTTGTTCCCTGCGAGGCTGGACTGCGCGATCATAACGTCGGTTTCGAATCCCCGTTGCTGAGTCATGCCCGCGGCTTAGGTCGAGACATCCATCCGAGGACAATAGCCGTGGGGACACATCGTGCTTCATCCACTCTCGCGAAGAACATATGAGCCCATCAGACATGACGGAAACACATGTCCCCGGCCATGTTTCTTACTTTGGCGTTGTGGTATGCGCTGTGCATCAGCAGCCCATTTCGAAGTGGCATCTCCGAGACCGAAGTAGACCCAAGCAAACGCCAGTGATCTGAGGAGGCCTCACGTGTAGGCTGCGCCACCATGCAGCTGCAGGCGACCAGATGGCGGCCGGGATGCGATGCTGCATCGCAGACGTCGAACAAGGCACAGATGGATTCTTGTCACATCTCCACTCCTCTCCGAACAATCTGTTTCAGATGAGCATCATCGCGATTCTGTATGCAACATGTGGCTCCTTAACGTCGACACGTTCGGCTTCACGGAGTACTTCGGGACGATCCCCCCGCCTTATGCGATCGCGTCGCATCGCTGGACGGCGGGCGCCGAGGCGATGTGGGAGGATGTGCACGAGATGAAGAAGACAGACACGGTGGGCTATCGCAAGGTGCAAGGCTTTGTGGCGTACCTCAAGGCTCATTTGCCACTCATCAAATGGCTGTGGATCGACACGTGCTGCATCAAGCAGCATGCCGATCGCGAGCTGTCGACGGCGATCAACTCGATGTTTCAATGGTACCGCGACGCGGAGGTGTGTCTGGCGTATCTGGAGGACGTCCCCAGCGTGAGCGACCGGGCCGCCTTCGAGCAGAGCGTGTGGTTCCGGCGCGGGTGGACGTTGCAAGAGCTAGTGGCGCCGAGCGTGGTGATCTTCCTCTCGCGCGACTGGGGGATAATTGGACACAAAGGGCACAGCAGTCGGGGCCGAAGCGGGATGTCGATGCAGACCGGCGCAGCGCTAGAAGATGTCGTTTCCGCTGTCACAGCGATACCCAGAGAGGTTTTGCATGATTATCGAGAAAGCGAGAGCCTCACAACGGAGGAGAAGATGCGGTAGGCAGATGGCCGGGAGACGATGTGGGGCGAGGATCTCTCATACTGCCTGCTTGGTATCATGGGGGTCAGCATGAACGTTCGCTACGGGGACGGCGCCAACAAGACGAGGGAGCGACTGCTGCAGAAGATAGCGAAGCTTAAGGGGACAGCAGCGCCTGGCGAGTTCTCCGTTCCTTTCAGCCTGCACGGTATGCCGACGACGGAATATTTCGTGCCTCGCAAAGTCGAGATGCAGCATCTCACCGAGTTTTTCGCAAGTACATCGACACGGACGGCACAGCAGCGGGTGTTTGTGGTGTTCGGCACGGGCGGGATGGGTAAGACGCAGCTGTGCGCCAAGTTCGCAGAGACGAGTGCGGAGCGGTTCAGTGCGGTGTTCTGGCTGGACGGGTCGTCCAAAGATGCTCTGCAGCGATCGATGGCCAGCGCAGGCTCGCGGGTGTCGACGCGTCCGAATGCATCGCCGGCAACAATGGACGTCGCGCAATTGGTCGACGACTTTCGGCAATGGCTGTCGCTTTCGGGCAATGCGCACTGGCTGATAGTAATCGACAACATCGACCGCGACTGGCATGGCAAGACGAAGGACGAACAGGCGTACGACTATCACGAATTTCTACCGCACGCTCATCACGGAAACATCTTGATTACGACACGTCTTAGACGACTGCAACGGCCGAACGCCAGCCTTCATTTAGGCACTGCCGACGATGAGCTCGCGAAAGAGATGGTCGAAACACGCGCAAATAAAGCGGTAACGAGTACGTGGGTGTGGCAGCGTCACAGAGCGACTACGATTACTGATGTATGACAAATAGACATCGATCAATTGCTGCCCAAGCTCGGCGGTCTGCCGCTTGCCCTTGCCCAAGCCGGAGCATATCTCGGCACGACTGGGATGAGTGTCGCGGACTATCTCGAGCATTACGACGCGACGTGGGCCGAGCTAATGCAGAAGCAAGATCAGTTTCCACTGCAAGAATACGGCGAACGGAGCGTGCTAACGACGTGGACGATGTCGTATGAGCAAGTAAAGGGGGTGGATCCACTAGCAGCACAGCTGCTTAACCTCTGGGCCTTCCTCTATCACGGCGACGTGTGGGCGGAGCTAGTACTGACCGGGCAGGGTGACGAGGTATAGCGCAGGCCTCACGAAGACGTATTCTTTGGGCCAGTGACGAAGCTTTCCCTCCAGCACTCGATCGGAACTCTCGTCCAATACTCGATGGTGAATGTGAGCGCCGCGGATCGAGCGCCTACGATTCATCCGGTCGTGCATACATGGTGTCTGCACAGCTTAGAAAGATCGACCGCACAACGATTGACGGCAGCGGCGATAAGACTTGTAGCAAGGATGGCAGCATCGGTAGGTCGAGGGGTCGGAAAAGACTTGGGACTTCGATTAGCTGCACATGCGAAGGTTATTGGGGCGCGAGTAGCAATTTGTCCACCGGATGAAGGGGAGCAAGCTCTCGAGTGTCATCAGATCGCATACTTTCTGACCGATTGGGAAAAGTCTAAAGAAGTCGAGAATCTATATTTGCGGGCGCTGCGTGGGTACGAGAAGGCATGGGGCGCGGAGTACACGTCGACGCTAGACACGGTTAACAATCTCGGCACTCTGTACGCGGACCAAGGCAAGATGGCGGAGGCGGAGGCGATGTACGTGCGGGCGCTACGCGGGAAGGAGAAGGCATGGGGCGCGGAGCACACGTCGACGCTTATAACGGTCGGCAATCTCGGCGCTCTATACGCGGACCAAGGTAAGATGGCGGAGGCAGAGGCGATGTACGTACGGGCGCTACGCGGGTACGAGAAGCTATCATGGGTCTCGCCGGCTCGTATAGAATCCGTGAAGCAGTGTTTATTATCTTTGCGGAAACGATGAGACCGCCTTCCGGACAAGCAAGCGAGCGAGAGCACCTCACACTCAGACCACAACGGTGCGATGCCGCCGGCGACGTCTCCGAGCGGAGGGGCCACAGACAGTCCTACCGTGTTTAGTAAATTGATGCGCAAGATGTGGAAACGCTCGCGACCTAGGTAGCTTTCTAACACTAAACTTTCCATGTAACACATTTTCATGTCGACCTGAGATGATAATCCTACGTAAATGCGAGCTGATCGTTCTTGTTCCGGATACCAACCATATTCTGTCCAGGTATAAGGCAGGTTCAAGCACCTAGCTATACTATCTACACCTGCGGCTTGGGCATTAGAAACCTTCATCGTACGCCTATATAGTAATGCCCCGAATATGTCTCTCTTATTCTTCACGTCGCTCTCTGGGTCTGTTTCTTCTAGAGAATCGTCGGCGACGGAGACGTTTGTCGTGCATATGTGCTTGTGTCGCTATGCCATGATCTCTATAAGGACCGTCAGTAGTCGGGCGGAAATGCGGAGGATTGTCATCGATAAGAACGAACTGTCGATATGGACGACCGGCTGGGTAGACCACTATGGTTTTAGAGCCTTCAGTGTGGATAGGTGTGCTTGACTCAGCTACGGAAGCGTATAGCATGGCTCTTTGAGAGTTCTCGGCTGCAGGCATGACTTAGCAATTGAGATTCGCAAACGATATCTGAACGTCGACGGCGGCAGCGTTCGGGACCGCGCAGCCTTAGTCAAGTTGAGATAAAATCGAGTACAGCTGTAGCGCTGCTTCTAAGCGATCAGTCAAGACTGATAAGTGTGCAAATAGATTTGTTTCGTGCCCGTACGAAGCGATCGCCAGACGAGATCGTAGTTTGCATATGAATGAAATCGAGGACAATGTCTGCAAGATGGATGCGATTTGGACACAGAGCGGTGGGCAGACAGCTGGCATTGTAATCTACATCCCAGATATGTGGAGGTGCATCAAAACAGGTGTCGGAGAATGTTGTGGTCGAAAGCGTTCAATGCTGGCTCGTTACACAGGGTGGCTCGCAGCGCCGAGAGCGACGTTAGGCAAGGTCCTTTCTAAGTGGGCTTGTGATTTTGGTTTCGATGCGAATCTTCGACATAGATTCTTCCATATTTCAAGTTATGATATGAATCCTTCAAACGGAGCGTAGAGTTTGATATCGATGGAAAGGCAGTCCGTCGAATTCCAAGGCGTGTTCGTATTGAATGGGCGATGTTCATGGAATTTTTCTTTTCCTTTTTCGCGCTTCTTCTGTCCTTTTTTTCTCTCTCGTCGGATTCTTCCTCCTTCTCTGATCGGTACATGCCCCACCCGAAGAATCGCATATTGCTCGCGTGGAACGTCGGTTGAGGGGAAGTAGATTCCCCACTCCCGTCGATGATGCATGTGTAGGTCGTCGATAGATGTCTGGAGTAAGGGTTGCCTAGCTCTGTCGGTGTTTGTTAGGCATGGTCTTGTTTGGAGATTTGCACTCTACAGCTTCCTGCTGCTTCTTTGATGTCTTCCGAGTTCGTCTTTAGTAATGGCTGGGTTTTGGGATGGCAGAGAGCTTGAAATAGGAAATCTAGGGGTTTGCGTGGAAATTCGGGTCAAAAGCGGATCCATATGAAGAAGCTGATGATGTGGGTTTTCGTTCTGATTCTTGTTCGACGGAGGATTACACTAAGAATAAGGAACTTTACAGTATGATCTTGGTAAGGTCCATAGTCCTGTAAGCGTTTGGAATGTCTCCTGCACGTATTGTTCGAGATTCATGTCACTTCTCATTTTCTTGGCGAGGGAGAACCTCAAAGAAAGTGACCAAAACTAGGCCAGGCATATGCGATTTGACGGCAGACCAGTCAATAGAGGGTTCAATTGACGGGAGGTCCGTCAACATAGGGCGCAATCGATGGGGTCCCATTAGATTACAGGCGGGAGCTCCCAGTTGATTGAACTCAATGGGCGCTAAAGAGTTGCTCATTTGTGACCAAGTGAGGTCAGGGACCGGCCTCGGAGCGGCCTTCCGATTGCACAGGCTCCCGATGAAATGCATATGTGATAAAGAGCACAATCAATCGATCGAGCGAATTGAGTGAGCCGGCGATCAGAGTGTAATCGGCGCATTTTTTTCGGCATCAATTGATAACGGTAAGGGTGATTTGAGCAGAGGGACTCGTCGACGCACCGTTGCCGCTCAAGAAGGAAATCAAGGCGACGATAGAAGCTCCAACGGATCGCCCACGAAGTGCTCAGCCTCAATCACAAAAAGCAAATTCATTCAAACATCCCGGTCAGCCAATGACCGGTGGGCGCTACTGAAGACTGTGTATGTCGATCATAAGAGCATTCAATCATCATCACACATGTGGTTATTCAGCTATGACAAAAGAAACATCGCCAGCCGCAGACCATTATCCAATTTTCGTCCGGCAAGGCCATTTCCCTGGCGACGGCACTAGACAAGGAAGAAACAAACACACACCTTCGGTCCCCTGCAACCAAACATCTACACAAGCGGAGACGAGACCGGCGCTGGAGGCCGCACCTGACGGCGTAGAAACCAGCGCCAGGAAGCACAGCCGGCAGAGACGGATCGTGGGGCGCGCATGCTGGCGGCCGCGCAGGATGAAGAGGCGGCTGGGCGCGAGGTTCCCGAGGTATTGCCAGAGGCACGTATCTGCTTATGTCAGTCACCGGTGAGCGCTTACGTCACCCACGTCGTTGAGTGGCCCTTTCTGCTTACGTCACCCAACGCCCAATGCCCAACGGTGCTTACGTCACCCACCGTGGTGGGTGACATAATCAAGCTTAGTGCCTCAGGCATCAATTATTTCCACTTTCATCTTCTGTATATAGAATTCCCCTAAATGGGAGACAGGGAGGAAGATAGACCTTTTAATACAATTTTAGCTGCGTCTGTATGCAGGCAGCCCTTCCGCATATCACCTGTGCGGCGTTACGAGGCCTAACTATCCAGTGTCGCCCGGGATACTTGCTAAACGCTGGGGTGGCAGTGGATAGTTTCGCCGTGGCTGTGATTGGATGTTTTCCCTGCCGAAAAGAACTAATAATAAACAGCTCGAATAAACAAGGAAGTCGCCATCTGTGTTTCAGCCTGGAGTTAGATAATTTTGGCACACGCAGAATCTGCTTGAGCGTGCTGGTCGGGATCATTTGTGGTTCTTCTTCAGGCTGGGTAAGGGGAGTGGACATATACGTACTTCCTGTAGGTAGATTTGTCCTGATCGTGCTAACATGGATGGACTTGTTGCTGGCATAGGTCCGTGCCACTGCGCTCCGGCCGCAGATCAAGCTCCGTCATCTATGTTCGATCATGGACTCTCGCAGTAGATACTATCGACCGCTCGTGCTAGTTACAAGTAACAGAAGGTGCCTTGTCGCACTCTGCAATGACCCCATTGCTGTAAGCATCGAAACATCTTGTTGGTGGTGATTGTTGCGCGTCGCTGACTTCATCGACACCTCGCAGCCCCGGGCAATGTCGCGCGCATCCACATGAGTGCTCGAGGTGTGATGGGAGCGCTTAGCGACATGACATGCATGCATGGGTAGATGGCCATTGGCTGGACGCCACGGAGTGAGGCCTGCTACGGTGATGGCGCGTATGGATGTCCAGCTGTCCCGCACCTCCATGCAGGGCCTGGAGTTTCGACATCCCATTGGCTTCGGGGTAATGGTGAACCTGGTGTGAGATACTGGTCGCTCTTTATTAATGGCTCAAGAATCCGGCTACCATCATGTCCTCGTGGGAACACCGTTCCTACCTCGTCGGTACCCTCAGCCGAATAAATTATCAAAGAAACCACGATGGACCCCGGCACCGCGCTGGGCGCTGTCAGTCTGATTCTGGACTTGACCAAGGATCTATACGAATACTATCGCGCCTGGAAGGACTGCAATCATGATGCCGTCGAGCTCCGCCAGCGACTGTTGGCTACGCATAATATGTTTCGTGTCCTTCGCGAGACGCTCCGGCAACCCGATCTCGAGTCCGACAAGAAGCAGCTGGTTTACGATTCAATCGAGCGCTGCAACAATGTCGCAAACGAACTACATGACAAACTGAAGGTTTTCCCAAGCGAGAAGCCCCCATCCGGCAAGAGGGAGAAGATGCTCGCCCTGGGTCTCAGAATACTCTACCCATGTCGGAAATCTACCATCATGGCACTGGAAGAGGATCTGGAACCCTGCACTCGTGAGCTCCAGGGTGCTGTGGGTGTAGTAGTGCTTGCATCTACGCTCGACATGTCCCAGCGGCTCAAGCAAGTCGACAAGAGATTAGAAGACGGCTCTGAAAGATTTGAGGCCGTCATGGATGGACAGTTCAAAAAGCTTGAGGGAATGTCCAGTTCCATCGACGAAACACGAAAGGTAGTTGTCGGCATACAGGACAAGTTCGGACTAGAAGAGCAGCGACGAGCGATGGTTGACATCATGGAATGGCTATGTCCCACAGATTACAGTCAGCAGCAAAACGACTTTTTCGCGAACCGTTCAGGCGATACCGGAGACTGGATATTTACATCGTCTCAATTCGCGGAATGGGCACAAAATTCTCCAAGCATTTTGGTTTGTCCTGGTGATCCTGGAGCGGGAAAGACAATTATGGCCGCGACAGTGATCCGGCACTTGCTCGAGGAACACGAAGTTACCGCCATCCCGACGATTTATGTGTACTTCAACTATAAAAGTGAAGATCAACAGGATGTGATGCACGTTTTAGGCGCTTTGGTTCGGCAGCTCGTGTACGCGAAAGGCGTAGTGCCAGATACTCTTGCAAAGCTATACAATCATTGTTCGAAGCGACAGACACGACCAACCCAACGGGAGATTGAGAATGAATTGATATCCATCATCTCAAGCTTCAAGAAGGTGAATGTTGTAATTGACGCGCTGGACGAGTGTCACGAGCACATCCGCAAAGACATGATTACCGCGATCAAAAACATCCACAAACCTACCATCGCGCATGTGCTCGTCACCTCGCGTCCCTTCCCACATATCCTGAACCAATTTGAGGACTCGATTCACCTCGAGATTCGTGCTTCTGATACCGACTTGAATGCCTATCTTCGAATGCAATTGTCGCATGCCTCGAAGGCAGTGCAAGTATTCACGGACGATATTGTAACAACGATTATCAAGAAGGTCAAAGGAATGTAAGCTAATACCCCGTCCCTTCGACTTGGCTAGATCGACTGACACCAAGTGAAGCTTTCTGCTTGCGAAGCTGTTTGTAGAGTATGTTCGCGAAGCAAAGAAGCGAAAGCTCGTCAACTCCATTCTAGCTCAGATCGAGACGCAATGCGACCTGGACATGAGCCTTTACAATTATGCGTACGAAAGTGCGATGGAACGCATCCTCGCGCAGACTCGCGATACTCGAGTGCTTGCTTTGGAAGCACTCGCATGGATCACACACGCTCAGAGACCTTTGATATCTCTCGAGCTCGAACACGCGCTCGCGATCGAGACTGACCTTGATATACATGAGTTCGATGAGCAAAACATCGTGCCGCGCGAAGAGATTATCAGTTGCTGTGCAGGACTGATCACGGAAGACTCAGAGTCTGGTACCATTCGTCTGGTGCATTATACTACGCAAAAGTACCTGGAGCGTAAGCTGACCACATTACCGGATGCGCCTGCACCAAATCCTGAATACGCAATCTCGATCAAATGTCTGCGGTATCTGTCGTTCGATGCACTGGTTAGTGGTCCATGTGCTGAAACTGACGAAATTGATCAGAGGCTCGAGTGTCATCCCTTCTTACACTATGCTGCAAGCTACTGGGCCGTTCACATTCGTTGTTCTGAAGACCATGACCACACCCTGGAAGACGATCATCGCATGACTGAGATTGCAGTGTTGTTCCTGAATCGCCCAGAACTCGTCGAAAGCGCGGTGCAGGCCGAGTTGTGGCGCAGACCATGGTCAAAGAAAGGCTATCAGGGAACGTGCGTACCTCAACTTCTGGCAGAGTCTGGCGTATTGAGACTCTTCCGCTCTCTCATAGCAAGAGGACTCGATATGGACTCCCGCGACGAGTGCGGTCAGACACCGCTAACTCGAGCCGTAGAGAACGGCCATGCCCAACTTGTTGAAATGCTTCTTGCCAAGGAGGCCGACGTGAATACTCGCAATCACATCGGTGAGACGCCATTATTGCTAGCCATTCGACTTGGCCATACTAAGGTCGCCGAGCTCTTGCTTGCGAGGGACGATATCGACGTCAATTGTGTTGGACGGGATGGCCGTTCAGCTTTGTATATTGCTGCAAGCAAGAGTCACGTCGCGATAGTAGAGCTGCTCCTCGCGAATGAGGCTATCGATGTCAACTTGCGCCGCGGTCAAGACGAAACGGCACTATCGCACGCCGTGAAGGCAGGCAAGACAGAGATTGTCAAACTGATTCTCGCGAAGGAAGCCGTTGACGTGAATACGCGCGATATGTGGGGAAAAACGCCGCTCATGCAAGCCGTAGTCAACGATTGTAATGAAATCGTCCAGATATTGCTTGCGAGAGTCGATGTTGACGTCAATTTGGCTGATAACAGACGAAATTCGCCTTTGTCTCTTGCTGCCGGAAAGGGTATCATTGCGATGGTTAGGCCGCTTCTCGCGACGGAGACTGTTGATGTCAATTAACGCAACTTTAACGGCGAGACGCCGCTGTCAATGTCGGTACGGGCGGGTCAGATTGAGGTTGTCAGACTACTTCTCGTGAGAGGGACTGTTAACGTCAATTCGTGCGATATGTCAGGGAGCACGCTGCTCATGCTGGCCGCAGCTCTAGGTCACACGAGCTTGGTTGATCTACTCCTCGGGACCAAGGGTAACAATGTGAACCTACACGAGAAACTTGGCCAGAAAACACCAGACCGGGTCATTAGAAAAGGTTATTGTTCGATCATCAATTCGCTCCTCGCGAAGGGAAGGATTGACATAAAGTCGCGCGGCATGGGAGAGCGCGAAGCCTTCCTGTCAGACGGTACTGAGAACGGCCGTGTGGAGATCATCGAGTTCCTCCTGGCGATGGGAGCCATTGATATCGGCTTTCGCGACCATCTCGGCATGGCACTGCTACATTGGGTCGCCCGTAGGAACCACATCGAGGCCGTCGAATTCCTTGCGAAGCCAGACATCGAAATCAATGCGCGCACTAACGAACACGTGACACCGCTGATATTGGCTATTGCCGCAGGCCATAGTAAGGTTGCGGAACTGCTCATCGAACACGGCGCTGATGTAAATGCTCGAAGCCCTTTGCATCACATTGTCCTCAGCGTTGCAATTCAACTAAGCGAAGAACATATCTTAAGATTGCTGATCGAACGTGGTGCAGATATTCAGGCGCAGACCGCCTTTTACGGCACTACCCTTTGTGTTGCATCGTATTGCGGTCGTACTAGGATCGCTGCGCTTTTGTTACAGCGCGGCGCGAACGTTAACGCACATCGAGGCATATGTGGTAACGCTTTGAACTGTGCATCATTCGAAGGCTTTACTGAACTCACAGCGTTGCTCATAGAGCACGGCGCAAATGTGAACGCCTGAGGTAGTCCTTGTGGCGGCCCACACGAAAGTGCTTTGAGGATTGCATCATCGGAAGGTCATGAGGAGCTTGTAGCGTTGCTGAGAGGGCATGGTGCAGTGGAGTTTGACGAGGCAGCTTCTCCAGCAGATTCGCTCTCTGATACTGATCTAGATCACGAAGCTTCATCATTACTTTGCTGGAAACAGAAGCTTCTGCTGCGACCGCAGACACCCAACGCGATGGCTGTCCCTGGTCTCGGGGCAGCTTAACAATCTAACCCGATATCCGGCTCAGCTATGATAGCGTTCAGCTGGCAGAGCTATCGGCAATGAGTGCGTCACACTAAATTGCCTTCGTATAATGAGCGCTGGAACGAATACAGCGATGAACGGGTAAAATGCCACAATCATTAACTTCTGCTAGACACCGGCGACCTGCCACATTGTTTCTGCTCTCCTTTCCATCGTCATAGCCAAGGAGCAGCAGTGATCGAATAACGTCCATCCCTGCGACCCGAGACGCACTGTGACACGAGACAGATTTTCCGAATTGCTGTTTATTTTCGCAACGCGAGGTCGTGTTGTGCAAGCAACACTTTAGCGTCAGAGAAGAACTTGACGCTGTGATCACATCCAAAAGTCGAGTCCTCTCCATCATCCGGTGATCTGTCGTTGTCGTCCCAGCTGCTGTGGCTGAATGTGGCGTGAGGTTTGCCCATTCCTGTACTGCCGTGCCCTTCAGGTTTTATCATTACAAAACCTGCTCGCATAAGTGCTCTGACCGTATAACACGACGCTCAGGGGAAATTGGATTTCAAAGGTGCGTCGAGGTTGCAGAATGTTTAAGATGCCGGACATTGGAAGATATTGACACCACATTGTGGCTGGAGAATTCGAAATGCGCCATATGTGGCTTGTCATTGCGGCACAGTGTATGAGATCCTAGAAGCATCGATGGCGGCGTGTTATCTGTCACTACTGCTCCATCTATCCATCGCTGGGTGTCGCGAACGTGCCAAAAGCTAGACCCATCCATCGTCGAGTCGTGTTGCGACGATGGACTCAGCCAGCTTGGTGCTCGCGCAGCAGAGACCTGCAGGCGTGCCGAATTCGTACCGCGCCCTCGCCGATCACGCCGGCGTCCCATGCTCCACCCTCCACCACCGTGCTCGGGGCCGACAATCGCTGCGTGCGAAAGCGGAACGTCAGCAATACCTCACGCCCCCAGAAGAGCAGGCCGTAGTCGAGTTCTTGTTGCACATGTCCAAGTTGGGACAACCGGTCCGGATGAAGCATGTTCCCTCGATAGCATTCAGTACGACGCAAAAGCGCTGCGCTACTAACAGACCATCGAAGCCGCCAGGTAAAAATTGGGCCAAGGCCCTGGAAAACCGGCACCCAGAGCTGAGAGCAAAACGGGTCGGAGCATTAGATTGGAATCGACATGAGAAGAACATATATGGGAAGATCGTACACTGGTTTGCTGTCATTGAAACCGTCCTGAAGAACCCCGCGATCGTGGCGGAGAACGTGTATAACATAGATGAGACCGGAGTCATGCTCTCTATGCTAGGATCTGTGAAGGTGCTCGTAGGCCGTGATGACACGAGAGCGTACAGAGGCGCGCAAGTCAAGCGCACGACCGTGACTGCCATCGAGTGCATTAGTGCAGACGGGAGGTGCTTGTCGCCGATGATCATCTGGCCAGCTGCCACTCATCGGAGTAATTGGACCACGTTTCCGACTCCCGGCTGGCACTACGCTTACTCGGAATCCGGATATACCGACTCTCAGATAAGCTTCGAATGGCTTCGCCAGGTATTCGATCCGCAGACGAGGGATCGCGCTAACGGTCAGCCTCGTGTATTGATCTGCGATGGCTTCGGTACGCACGAAACCCTCAAAATCCTGGAGTTTTGCTTTGCGCACAATATCATCCTCTGTCGCCTGCCGTCCCACACGTCCCACAAATTACAGCCTTGCGACGTCGCCGTTTTCGCTCCACTCAAAGCCGCTTACCGCGACAATGTCGAGTGCCTCGAACGAGGCGGCGTAAATGCGATCGGAAAGCAGCATTTTACGTATCTGTATGGACCCGCTCGTGAAAGGGCATTCACGAAGCGTAACATCTCCGCTGGATGGAGCAAAACAGGACTGTTCCCGTTCAATCCCGATAGGGTTCTGAGAGATCTGCCTCAGCCTGTCTATGAAGCCGACCACCCGACTATAGTACCAATCGTAGAGTCGTCCTTACCTCCCATACCCGTGACACCCGCGACGCCGGTCTCTGCGGAATCTGTCATCGCTTTGCAGAATCTGATCGTCGGCGAAGACGCTCAAAGTCTCAGTGCTACGAGCAAACAGAACCTCGAACGACACGTCGCAAAGTTAGCTCGAGCGACACAGAAGTCCTTAGCACACAGCTCGATGCAGCGTCATCGGATCGATCTGCTGCTGAAGACAAACAATGAAGCTAAGCCCCGACGGGCAGGCAGGTCAATCGTCCTCGGGAAGGCTCGAGTTATGAGCTATGATGATCTGGTGGAGGCACGCAAGAAGCGAGCTGAAAAGGATTCACTGAAAGAGCACAAAAGGGGGGACAGACGTAGCAAGCGACGGAACGGCGACACGGTGAGTACGACAACAGTCGCGCCAACAATCAATCCGTCACCACGCGATGACCGAGCTGTGACGGAATCGGGCTGGGGCGGAGAACTCGAGGATTCAGCATGGTGTGCCCCGATCGCTCATATGTATTAATGAAGCACTTGATATTGCAATTGCCTATTTGCGTCAAATTCCGCACGCACGGCAACACCCGTGTCGCCCCAGGCCCAAATTTCGCATCTGAAACGCGGACTCGGCGACGAGATTGATCGTGACTCAACTCAACGCATAGACCTGGTCATGCTCCATCGTCGAGTCATTTTTTTCGGATACGATTCCATGTCAGATTGTGCTCACCAGTCGACTCGTACCCCTGTGTAGTTGTGAGGATGGTGCGTCATAGTGCATTCTTCGAGGTGGCAGTGCAGCATGCAGCTGTGTCAAAGCTACAATAATGAAGGCCCCACAGCCTTGCCGCCGTGATTCTTCGATCGCCAGCTCGCTCATCACTTCTTGCTACGCATCTTATCACTAAGTCGTATCGATCGCGTCCACGAGCCATCATGCGTCTTCTCGATGTCAAGACTCTCGAATTCACCGAGTTCCCAGATGAGAAATCCCTGCCGAAGTACGCGATCGCGTCGCATCGATGGGGGCGTGAGGAAGCTACCTTCGAAGATGTGCAAGAGGAGCGTAACAAGAGCAGTGTCGGATATAGGAAAGTAGAAGCATTTGCACAGTATGTGCAAAAGCACGTGGCATCAGTGAACTGGCTATGGATCGATACTTGTTGCATAAACAAGAAGGATGCCGTCGAACTCTCGTACTCCATCAACTCAATGTTCAGGTGGTATCGCAATACAGAAATTTGTATTGCGCAGTTGGCAGCTGCAACGCAGCAGAGCGACATCGGGCTGGACGAATGGTTCCACAGAGGCTGGACACTGCAGGAGTTGCTTGCGCCGCGCTTGGTTGTCTTTCTGACGAAGGACTGGCAAGTCATCGGCAACAAAGGGTCAACGTTTTACCCACGTAACAATATCGGGCCTGACCTTGGAGCACAGATCGCCAATATAACAGGCATACCTGAGCGTATATTGCACGACTGGGGAGCGAGTATGAATATGCGAGTCGAGGACAAGATGCTTTGGATGGACAATAGGAAAACGACTCGAGAGGAAGACATGTCATATGCTTTGTTTGGCATACTAGGAGTGGCTCCGGGCGCGAATTACGGAGAAGGTGCGGACAATGCTAGAAATCGAGTCCTTGCTGCAATCCGGCAGCGCGACGAGGTGGAAGGTCAACGGAAAGCACGATATCAAGAAATCACCAAATGGCTCAGGCCTTCTGATCCATGGACGAACCATGAGTCTGCGCGGAAATTGCACGTAGAGCGGACCGGAGAATGGCTGCTACAAACAAAGGAGTATCAATCGTGGAAATCTGGAGAAGACCAATGTCTATGGCTATATGGCGGTGCTGGCTGTGGGAAGACTGTGCTTTGCTCTACTGTGATCGAGGATATGAAGGCATACCGTGAAAGTAATAGCAATATTGGTCATACTATCTTCTACTTCTCGTTCTCGGACGAGCGTAAACAATCGTACGAAGATCTTCTGACTTCTCTTGTCGCACAGCTTGGGCACCGGGAGCCGGCCTTCTCGACTCTCCAGCAAATGTACGACAAAATTGACCGCAAACCACCCGGGCAAGGGGAGCTCGAAAATATTCTACACACAGCGCTAGCATCGTACGAACGGGTTTTCTGCCATCTGGATGCATTGGACGAATGCCCTGAAGAAAGAGGAGCTCGACAGCGCCTGCTAGAGAGCATAGAGAGGCTTCTACGACAAGCACCGAACATGCATTTGATTGCAACTAGCAGAGACGAGCTTGGAATTCGCGATGCTATGGAGCAACTCGGCGTCAAGTCTATTTGTTTGACTGGCAGGAAAATCAATTCTGACGTCCAGCGATATGTGTCAAAGCAGCTGGCTCGCATACCGAAGCTTTCGCGGCTTGATGCTGCTACTAAGGAATTGGTTGAGACGACTTTGACAGAGAAAGCAGATGGGATGTAAGTCAAGTGAAGGCTTGCAGCTGGTACCATGCTAATCAATGAGCGCAACTATGCAGGTTCCGGTGGGTCTTCTGCCAGCTCCAAGAATTATCAAAATCGAAGCGCACTACGCCTATAGTAGTGAAAGCTGCGCTACTCGCACTCCCTGCGACCTTGGACGAGACATATGAGCGGATGCTGCAGAACATTGCTGCTGAAGACCAAGCATATGCACTGACACTTCTTCGATGGCTTGCATACTCGCAGACCCCCTTAAGACTAGATGAAGTAGCCGAAATCAGCACCATCGTTCCGGGCGAGGATCCTGCTGCCGACGATATTGTGGACATTAACAATCGAGGCGGATTGACCGATGTTTTGGACATACTCGCTGGACTCGTTGTTATGGTTGAAGCTGAAGCTTTGAATGAAAATGCGGCTACTGAGAATTCGTCCCTTGACAATATTAGCAAGGGAGACGACCATATTGATGAAGGTTCCAGGCGACTGATCGAAAAAGGTACAAAAATCAGACTGGCACATTTCTCTGTGAAGGAATACCTTGAATCGACACGGATAAAAGGAAGCGTCGCTCAAAGCTTTCGACTAGACCCAACCCGAGAACATCGGTGGATCACACAAAACTGCCTCGTGTATCTGATGCACTACAGCACCTCCGAGCAAAAGGCTTCTTGTGAGCAAGATCTTGTCGTGTTTCCTCTGTTGAATTATGCTGCTTCAATGTGGTATCGCCATGCCTTGCTTCAACAGGCTGAAGAACATCGCTGCGAGATTCAGCTGCTTGAGTCTAAGGCCCATCGAGCCGACTGGCTCAAGATACACAAGCCCGATATGTCTTGGAGCAGACCTTTCGACAACGATAGTTACGCTGATAAGGCGAGCTCATTGTACTATGCAAGCTTCATTGGGCGAGTCGGTGCAGTGCAGCAGCTGCTGGAGGCCAAGGCCGACGTCAACGCGCAAGGCGGACGCTACGGCAACGCGCTCCAGGCCGCATCTTCGGAGGGCCACGACAAGGTAGTGCAGCTGCTGCTGGAGGCCAAGGCCGACGTCAACGCGCAAGGCG